TCGTCTCATTTTGATACACGGGTGAGACACTGACCTCGGGCTCGAGACAGAAAAGTATCATATTGCGAGCTTTGTTGTAAGCGGTGACGAGTCTCTGGCCTCAAAACGTAGGTTGTAGGAGTCGAACAATGTACCAATTTTTAGTCCGACTGTCCGATTACAGCCTGCAATTTGAAGCTCTGCAATGAACCTATTTGTACAGTAACTGTGCGTGACTATCTAACGTACTAAATATTCGAAGCCAAACAGTAAGCCAATGCAGATTCATTCACATCTATAACTCTTTGAAACTTTCAAGTAGACTTCAAGTGAGTAAAAACAAAATCAAACCACCTTTTAACTAATGAACGTTTAAATCTTACCTTTTGTCGGACATAATGTCAGTAGACAGGTCAAACAGAGACGATTATTACTTTAAAGCTGAAGATTTACTCAGTGCTTAATGTATCCCTGACAACTTTTCTTGTTTGTCCGTTAATTATCGGAACTTCAGTCGAGGAACGGGCCCCTGAAGGGACATTTGCAACCCCGCTTAGGTTGACTCGTCCCCAGTCACGAGTAGCGTGACCAAAGGGAGCGCGAGGGGCGATGGGAAGGAAAAGGAGAAAAATTCCTCCTTCCCATCACCTCTAGCGCTCTCCTTCAGTAAGTTTGGGAATATACCGCACTGAATGTAGGCTCCTGTAAATAAAATTATTTGTATATCTCCACTTTAATACTTTGTTCTTGATCTACCCACTCAGGAGTTGACTGGAAACAGCGACATAAATACCATTGTTGTCCACTGGTTTGCTCCCCCGTTTGCAGCGCAATATGTCAGAATATTTCCCCAAACATACACCGGTGCAATATGTATGAGAATGGACTTGTTTGGCTGTAAGGATTGTAAGTATAATTTGTTAGATGGGGATTTGTAAAAATTTGAATTAATAGGATACATGTGCTGCCGTATACAGTCGATAATTTATAATAATAATTCAAAATTTATAACGCGCCTTTTCCATGCAAATGTGATCAAAAGCGCGTTACAATGCTTTAAATGTTAAAAAAGAAATAAGCTGAAATGTACATTTTAATTTGGGCTAAAAAGTAACTTAAGCTTAAAAATTTGAATAAACAAACGAGCTTAATCTTGCCATCACAGTGTTAGGCGCTTGTAGCTAGCCTCGCACGCAGCCGTTTTGGTCTCGTCACGCAACGCTCCTCACCATCTTGCTTCCTCGGGTCACCAATCAGCCTCATCTTGCCCGCCAGCCGTATAATAAGTACAGCTGCACTTTCTAGCCTGCGCAAAGGAATATTGGATGGAGATATCTACCTGCTAACTGCTACCGTCAAGAAGGCCGGAATCTGCAGTTAGAAGTGAATTTTTTTTTTCGTCAGGAGCCGATTCCTGTCTTCGTAAACGGTAATGCAAACTTTTCTGTCAGAAGACAGTGTTTGTATAGGTTATCATACGACTTCAAGTTCAATTTGGAATTTATTTGCTTGAGTGTGTTTTTCAAAAAAGTATCAAACGGGCAAAAATTTACTACATCAAAACTCGTCCTCAAAACATCCCCACAACGCAATTCGATCGGCACAACACTTGAACCCAGTCTCACGCGCAACCTCAAAGTTGCCAATAAGGATTGCGGCGCCTGATTGGTTCTTAAACATTTCTATTGTTTTTTGCCAATCACGGTTCTCCATTATCTGATAATTGAATTATATTTCTTCGTTTTTGCACTCTGTTTACTTATAGGCTGTTTACAGTCCGTTATTTTTCCGTAAGTTCCTCAAGATCAACCGCTCTACATTACGCGCGGCCATATATCTTGGATTTGTATCAAATCTACTTTCTCGCCTCCCTCCCCCCACATAAACCCCACATGCTATAAACCCCGGCTCCATCTTGGAACTGCATTACTGCTCTCAGCCAATCAGATTCAATAAACCTAATGGAGTGTAAAATCGAGATATTGTATGTGATAAGTTTGCCTAAGTTACTTCTTGTCGTCTTTACATCTAATATTTGCTCGTCTTTTCCAGTCGAAGTTTCGTTACCGTTAAACATTGGTCTCGATGATGTTCGTTAGACAGCCGACCCTAGTGAATCTGTCAACCTGACCTGTGTGGCTAGTTACAGCCCTCGACAACCCTCTGGGTATAGTTGGAGCAGAGATGGAACGGGGCTGTCTGACACAACCTCTTCGGTTACCATACCATACAACAATGCCAGTAATATCTACAGTAACTCTTGTACAAGAAAGCTCCCTTCAGCAAGTGGAGTCCAGTGTAATTCAACCTACCAATGCTCTGCATCACTTTCTGGAATACGAGGCAGTCATCTGACCACTGCAAATGTTATAGTGTCCTTAAGTAAGCAACAATTAGTGCGTACCTTAGAACGGTTTTTTGCTCGTTATTGTGAAGGTCAAAATTAATTTAATATACTGGATCACGCAGTCGTCAATAACTAACATAATTTAAGTCCTTTATAAGGACACGAAAATATTGCATTCCAACAATACACGACTATGAACGGTATTATATGAACAAGGAAGTACCTAAAAAAATGCCTCAACCTTTAACGTATTCTAAATGGGTAACGTATTTTTAACGCGTTTGTTTATTCGTTGATTTTCAGAGAAACCAGGCCAGCCAGTTGTTCAAGTTAATCCAAGTAAACTTAAAGCAAGATCAGCATTAGTCACATGGTCGTATAATCCTGGAGCGGATGAAGTGCCTGTAACTGCCTACAATCTTGAGTATCGAAATAGTACTTTTGCAGAGAATATATCTTTGGGAGCTGTATTAAGTAAATGGATTATCAACCTCAAGCCATACACAACCTACAGTGTTAGGTTGATACCCAACAGTGTCTTAGGAAAGAGTCCATGGAGTAATGTCCAGAATTTCAAAACAAAAACTGCCAGTAAGTGATGATGCAAATTAGATGCAGTGCTTAGAATGATAATTTATATAATACGTTATTTTTCCAAAATATTGACCACTACATCGTTTTACATTGACTACTGTTGTTATCATCTAATCGATATTTTCATTAAAATCTGAAGAACTGTGACACATAAAGGTATGTAAGCAAACTAATTAAGCGATTTTTCATGTAATAATCAGGCCCCAGTTGTTCAAAAGCTGTACAGTGCTATCCACCGGATAAAGCACTCTCTCGCGGATAACGTGATTGATTTCCGTAATACTTATCGAACAACCCGGTCCAGGCGTCCGGTCATAGGACAGAGCTATTCAGACTGAGTATCAATCAATCTAAACTTTACTTGTTATTTTCCCTTTTTAGAGCCTGAAGTCGATGTCCAGATCCTAAGTGTGACAAGTCCTACTTCGCAGTCAATTCTAGTGAAATGGCAGGTAAACATCAGATTTATTGTAACAAAAACCCCTTTCGTGTCCATAAGTACTTCGTTTCTCTAGAGCGTTGCCTATTATTTCCATTCTTCTCGAAAGACTCCTACCCAGACCCAGTCGCTATTGAGGTAAGCGATCTTTGGGTTCATTCATTTCACTGCTTTGTGTAACCAAAGGAAAAAAGTGAAGGCTTGAAATTGTCTGCATCAATCCCGCAAATTTACCATTTTCAGACCTTAAAGTTTAATGGAGTTCACTGTTAAAAGGCTTGAAAATAAACATAGAACGAGAAAGGAGGACCATGAAAAAAACAAAACAAACAACAAATACAACTTAGACGGACGAGGGTTTTCTATTTAGATATTTCATCTGCGGTGGTCTCCCAATTTTGGTCTCGCACTGACAGTTATGAGGGCAGTTACTGGGCATCAAATGTTTGAAGTTAACCGCGGGCATGTCCGTATGAGCATATAAGGTTTAACTAGGAGGAGGAGAAATTATTCAACGATGTATTACTTAAACACTAATTTAGTCAAGTTCATGTCGTAGACACCAAGCACCACCAATTTAAACGGACCCTTTAGAGGATACAGCATTGAATACATGGAAGCAGGGAAATCTTCCTCGAAAGTCAATGTCAGTGGATCAACCCTCAGTCATACTTTAGAGAACCTGAAGAAATGGACAGTATATTTCATTAAAATCGCAATCAGTAATGGCGACTTTCTAGGTCCACCGAGTCCTGAAAAGCAAGTTCGGACGCGAGAAGATGGTTTGTATACTCCTTGACTTAAGCTTGTTTGACTCTTGCTTGTTTTCTACAAGTATCTGTTTCTTTTCCCCCTTATCACTTCCAGAACATGAAACAAAAAACTAGCAAAAGCAGAGCAATTGACTTTCACCTCTGTCTCTCAACCATTTTCTTTCATTTAGCCCCCAGCAAACCACTGAATCTATTGTTCACCCTCCAAAAGCCAAGTGAAATAGCGATGCCGAGAATGACGGTCCACTGGCAACAACCTGCTGAACAAAATGGTATCATCAGAAAATATAGATTGGTTTTCACGTATACCATAGACGGAAGACAAACTACCATTGCAAGTGAAACAAATAACCAGACCTTTAGCCACAGTTTAGATGTTTTCGGTGGAACACAGTACAGTGTTGAAATTTGGGCACAAACTGTTAAACCCGGGCCAAGGCTAACTGGAGCTAAACAAGTACCAGAATACAGTAAGTATCTGCTTTCAGTTTCCTGCTCTCAGTGCTGTTGTATCAGCGGGCCTTTGAAAAGATGATGTGTGTAAACGGAATTCGTAAGGGATATGATAACCACTGAGAAGCTATACAGCTCTGAGCTGCAAGTCCTAGAAATGAAAGAGAGATACTCCTTTTGCTTAAAAAGCCCTATAACGCCTGCAAACAGGAAACAAAAGAAGGGGAAGATTCCCAAGCCCATTTTGAATTACTTCTGCCAATGAGCATCGTGTTCAGTGAAGTCTATGGTGTGTATTGAATATATGGTTAATTTTTTTAACCCTCCACTTCAATCTCGAATAATTACTTGTCATTTACAATTTTTCGGTTATCGCAACTTTGTATTCTCACCAATTGCTTCCTTTTTCATTCTTTTTTGCAGAACCAAGCGCGTCACCTCAAAACATAACCTCTGAAAAGATGAACGAAACAACTTACAAAATAAGTTGGAATCCCCTTCCCAGAGACAAGACCAATGGTAGAGTGATAGCATATGAAGTGAATCAGACGAGGCTTTCTATTACACGCACTGCAAGATCCGCGTCCACTCCGTCAGTTCTACAAAACACAACAGACACATTTATCGTTTTAACTGGTCTTTCATCGTGCTCTGTTTACAAAGTTGAAGTACGTGCCTACACTTCTGCTGGTCCAGGAGTCTTTGGTAGACTTACTCGTAACATCGCGACTTCAGGTATTTCACTATCACAAGTCGACTTAAAACGGACACGAAAGGGACAGAGCCGAGTGTGCGCGTTGTAGAGGTGTCCCGTTAGAGATGGGTAAAGTTTTGTTTCTTTGAGAAGAACTGTCCAAATAGAGAGGTGTTAGGATTAGGTACGATCTCCAAGGGAAACTGAGCCGCCTCTTTGTCAGAACTAATATTAAGCCATACGGGGAAAACTTTCCGTTCCAAAGAAAGCAAAATACATAACGAAGTATTTAGTATAGTCGAAAATGTTCTTTGCCGGAAGGGCGATGTATTTGACTCGTTCTCATAGATTGTGCGTTCATCCCTTACAAACATTGCAAATGATCATTACTGATTGGTTGTAGTTCCAAGTGAACCAACTGACGTGAAGACGGAAAATCCTGGTAAACGAAGCATAACCTTGCGGTGGGGTAAACCGAAACTACACGGGGATGATGTACAACGTTACAAGGTAACTTTTGACTTTCCTTATAACGAATATTTATGGAGTTCTAAAGTGATGACGTCATAAAAATCAAATTTTTGAAATTATGGGATTCGCTGGGATATTTTGAAAGAACATCTGAAAGAAATAATTCCAATGCCTCGCCTTTTCTTTTGAGATAGAACAATACTTGTGCAATTTTTGCGTGTTTTTTCATGTAATCCTCGAATAAACACCAAATTCTTCTGATTGCAAGCGGCGTTTAATTGAGTGAATAGTGGTAACTGTGAGATCGACTACACACTTCGCCCCAGTCTTCTGAGGCACCTTACGAATTTTCGACTCCGCCTCGTGTAAGGAAATCCAGGATAGTTTTGGATTCTGGATTCAACGCTGTGGATTCCGCATTATAGGTACTGGACTCCAGTATTTGTCAGTAGAACTTGAATTCTGGATTCATTGAGATGTAATCCGGCTTCCAAAACCCAGAAATCCGGATCCCCTTGTATGGGGCGATTCGACCAGTTGCAAATTCGTACGTTTAGATGATCTGTTCACGAAACCACCTTAACCGTGCGAAAATTTATACGCCTCGCCGTTCAAAGTTCCTTGTGGAAAAGCGAAAATATTGAACGATCCCGTGTGAACGAAGAGTCCGGTCAAATTTTTCGGCCGTTCGAAAATTCCTTGCCATTTCGGCATAGCCTTATAGACAACCATATAATTACGTAACAGTTATTGATGTATACCGCAGATAACCTATAAAGGTACAAAGGATTATTATCCAGAATTTAAACCGCATACTGGAATTCAAGAAACGGAGTGTCCGACGTTAAGATTGACAATCACCAATCTGGTCCCTGGTACAAAGTATGCTTTTGTTGTGATGGCTGAAACCTACTGTGGCCACGGAGGCAACAGTTCTATTGCGCAGGGAAGCACAAAAGTGGATGGTAAGTTATTTACTGTGTGTGTACGTTCCGTTGTTCAATAACGATATTCTCTTAAACTATCTTCCAATTTTCCAACAGGGAAAATGCGTTTGTGCTGATAGATGAGGGCGAAGAAACCTACCAGTGATGACACTGAATTAAATATAAATCAAAAACAAAAACAGCAAAATTAAAATAAAAAACAAAACAAACATACAGAAACAAAACGTAGGATAATTTTCTTTCGAGTAGAACGTATACACAGCACGAAAAATTTACTCCGTGCAAATCTGGTGCAAAAAAGTGCAAACTAAGATTAAATAAAAGGCAAAGATGGTAAATACCGCATTTGCCCTCAAATTTACAACCCCATGTAAACTGGCAAGCAAATGCGGTATTTACCATCTTTGCTTTTGATTTACGCCTAGTTTGCACTTTTTTGCACCATATTTACACGAGTAAATTTGTGTAAATCCAACGTTTCGTGCAGTGATAATAAATTAAACTAATTATTGCGACCGACAAGAGGAGCCCGCAATCCTAATCTGCGGGTTGCTATTAAGCATGCGTCGGATGTATGTAGCCAGCCGGCATTCGTTTAGACTTCCACTAAGAATGAATGGAATGTACAGAACGTGATTTGATCACTCGCGAATGGACCTTCTATCGCTCGTAATGTGACCACACGTGTTTCGACCATCTATCACGTGAAACGTAAGCAAAGCACAGCGATGGAGCAAAAGCGTTTTGATCTTCGATCGTAGTCGCCCGCACTCCGTAAACTTTGGTTATTGCTAGTCATTATCATTAATAAAGAGGGTTAGAGGGATGGGAGTCCTCATTTTTTGGTAGTGGGCGGAGGGGGGGGGGGTTGGGGGTGATCCCATTGAAAAAATATTCGATAATTGGAGGAGCAAGAAATGTTACTAAGTACAACCAGCCACATGAAGTAATTGAAAGGAGCAGAAAACATCGATGAACTGGAACTACAGCCCATAATTATTCTCAGAATCTTTCCAGACAGAATAGAACCAATGCAATAGAATAGCATTAGAATAGCACCATAGCAAACGATCGAATTTCCGGTTTCCCTGTGTAAATGGCTAAGTTATAAAAAGTCTCCTATTTTCAGTGTTATCTTTTGTTCGGCTTACAGCACCTTTGGCGCCTGTAAACCATGACGTCCACGTAATCGAAACAAAAGGAACATCTGTGAATGTCACAGTGTGGCATGCATCACAAACCAATGGTCCCATCAGGTATGAGTCATCTTATAACCGCTTAAAAATATTATACAACTGTAAACAATTACATAAAGAGAAAATCTTTCTTTTTTTTTTCTGAGGGACGACGGCCACGCGATTTCCCGCCAAAAAGAACGCGGGTTGCCTAAAAGCGTTTCCCGGAGAAAAAATGTAGCAATAGCAAACGTATACTCCTTCCCTAGTCAAGCTGCCTTGTAAGTCCCTTCCCCACTTCCCCAGAGTCTGTACGGACGGTGCGCGTTCGGTCGTACGCTGACTTCATAACCGAATTCTCTCGGATCCATAGGTTTCCAATTTTCTTTAGCTATACGGCTCCGCTCGCGTCCGCTATAACACTCCCAGACCACGTTATGAACGTTAAGGCAAGATTATTTGTCACTCTACTCTGCCTTTTCAATTGAGTACGAAATCCTCAGGTATTGTCATAGTAATACTTATTATTACTAAGTATTTTACAAATAATAATTTGACAACTGAAAGGTCTTGCAATAAATACTACGCGCACTGTGGTCACTACTTTAATACCAATGATCTAACTAGGTACATACACATGGCTGACGTAAATGGAAAATTTTCCTCTGCTTCGCCTGTCCTATTAAAATAATTGTCTTCAAAATGCCACAGTTCAGTGACGAATTGATTGCACTTCAAGACTTGTAAACCAATTTTCTCACTGAATCATGTTGTCGGCCGGATCGTTATGTGTGATAGTGTTGCAAACCAGAGAAGAGAAGTCATCGGTAAATAATTTTGATGTTCCTCGCTTGAAGTTCATTTTGACTTTGATTGTGGACAGACTTATAGCATTTGTAAATCGATAATTTTTTGAGCAGTTAGAAGTAAAAGCTTTCTAACATGTGTTTTTCTATTTTGTTTTTATTTTTCTGATACTGACAGTGATTATCAAGTTTTGGTGCAAAAAGTGAATGACTGGTGTAACGAGGTTTCTGACTGGAAGACACTTGGATCAGATATATATATTGCTGCTCAAATCCCCGCTAATTCTGTGAATCCATCCATAGTTTTTGAGGTCGGAGATGGTAAAACATATGATGGTTATGAAAACAAGCAACTGTCAAATGGTCAGAAGTACAAGATATATTCCAGAGGATTGGCTCGCCGCGCAACAAAGGTAAACGAGTTCAACAGCGATGTTGCGCGTTTTACCATCATCGTTCGAACGTGTCTTACAACATATCGGTTGCAAGTTTTTTTAGTGGGTGGTAAAACGCGCAACATCGCTGTTAAACTCGTTTTGCAGCAATGTTGAAAAATTAAACAAGTTGCACGTTTTTTGTTGCCCGTTTTACAGGGTGAACTTTTTTAAAAGCGTGTGTGATGAAAAGCTATAAGGGTCTTAACCTTCATCACGCAAACTTCACTAAAGTGTACAAATTTCATTTTGTAAATCCCCGAAAAACAAATGCTTCTGTGCAAAAAACAGTTGCCGAGGAGAATTCGTTTGAGTCGTCGTACCATAGAATTTCAGTTGATATAGTTTTTCCAACATCAACTGCCTTATTAAAGATTTATTACTGTTAAACTCACAAAAATCAGGTTATTACGCGCGACAAGAGGAGCCCGCAGTCCTAACCTGCAGGTTATTATTACGCATGCGTGGCATGTATACAGTCAGCACTAGACAGAGTCTATCCTCTTTTTCAGAAACGTTCTGTGAATCAAAACTATTTGCTTGGTAAAGCAAGTCTAATTGCCAAAGTTCAAATAGAGAAAGGTAAGATTGTTTTTTTCATATTTTGTGTGGGAATAGCCTTTCTTTAAAACATTCCTTTCATTTATCCGACTGAATCAGAAACAAGAAAGGTGAAGCAGATTCTGTTTTCCTTTTTCGCATTTCATTTTATTTCTGTGACATAAAATTAAAAGCCAGTGGTCCCGCTTCAATAACGATTATACGGCAATACCGAAAACCAGAAGTTATTTTCAGTTGCGTAAGGGTACGATCACGAAATAATGTCATGCAGAAGATTGAAAAACAATGACACCAAAAATAGTTCTTGCTTAACCCAGAAACAGCACAAAAACCCTGTTAATTCAATCACCCACCGGCATGGACCATGGAAATCTGTACGCAATAAGGAGGTTTCCTATGGTGTGACCGGCCATATAAGTGAAACCTCTTCAGCAGTACTTTTAGATGGAACTATTAACTTTTTGTTATTGCTGAGAGGACCATATATGTAGTTGACAGACAAATAGAATGAGGAACTATAATTGGCTTATTGACTTCAGACTAACCGATAGATAGAGAAAACTCTCCTATGCACAGACTGAATGATTCAGTGAGACACTGTGATTCACCTACCAGAAAGAGTCAGAATGACGGATCAGCTAAACTAATAACCACCTTCAGACTGACTGACTGATTGACTGACTGACTGACTGACTGGTTGGAATGTTCTTTCACTCATTTTCATGCTCAATCCTTTAGTTTACAAATCTGATGATGCAGACAGACAGGGAGGAGACACCGACTCACAATCATGGGACAAACCTTCAAACACAGGTTTGTTAGTTGATTTTTTATAGTTCCCCAATACTAACTGTAATCGAACTAAAAGACGGTTTATTTTAGGAGCTGAATTTTGGAAATCTATGCATTATAAGCAACAACCAAGTTCCCAAAATCCTCTCCCTCCGTTCCTTTGAGGGAAGAAGGGATATGACGTAAAGATGGGAACGAGGTTGTATTTAGAAATCGGCTATTGATTCACTGAGTGACAGGAACTTTAACATTGCAGCATCCGTAATATCATCCATCGTCTTAGGGATTGCATTGGTCATTTCTCTTGGAGTGCACCTTTACCAATGGCGTGCTCGGGGAATTTCCAAATCTGGCAAAAAGTACTCTACCGAGGAATTGCAAGTCGAAGCTCACCAAAATGAAGGAGGTTTGTAGCGTTTGTGGAAATAATGAGTGGCATTTTCAGTTTGAACTGAGTATACAATTATGGTATCGGGCACTGTTACTGGGTACTTAAAGTAGTATTTATTCCCAGGCCACAAGTGAAATATCTAAAATAGTATATAGAGAATAATTATGATATAAATTTACTCACTGTAAATCTCGTTATAGCCATGTTCATGCAAAAGCTAGGTACTTTCGCATCTACAGAGACGACGCTGCTTAGGAAAAAATCTTCATCAAAAAGGAAGAAGATGGAGGAAAAAAAAAGAATTACACTTGCCACTATGTAACTTGTGCGGGAAAAATATTCACAGGGATAAAAACAAATACTTGAACAAATGAATAAAAAACGATAATAATAAACCTCTTCTGTAGTAATGTCTGTGGGCTTGTTTTGTAATGACGATGGAACTCTACCTTTCCACCCCCAAGAAAAAAAAATCAAACAAAACAAAACAGACTTACATTAATTTGTTAAGATATCCATTCTTCCTTTTTCTCCTCAATTTTGATCAGATTCCAACCATTTTCAATCTTAGGCGTTGCAGAAGTCCCGTCTCCTCAAGTGGAATCGTTTTATATGGAACTGCAGCCCACTGAAAACCAGCAAACGTCAGAATATGGATCTCTAATGAAGAACCCGGAAGGAGATAGTGATGATGCTAAAACGGAACAAGATTATGCTAATACCGCCTTCCATCGGCTTCCTAAACCGCAGGAAAAGGAAGTATATCAAAATATATAAAGGGACGGAAATGAAATAAGTGAAAATGACAAATACCTTGACAGCTTTGTATGCGAAAAACATGCAGCAGAACCACGGTCTGTTCGAATTCTCACCTAAACTGGCCTGTAAAGTCTGCACATACGTCTGATGTGAAACTTCCTAGTAAGTCAGCTTTCTGGCTGGCAACTCTACCATCAGTCTTGCTGGGAGTGAGGAACATATAAGTTTTTTCCAGCAATCTTTCAAAATGCTTAAAATGGCTTCAGAAAGCTTTATTCACGCTATGTTGTTGTTTTTCAGGGCCTTTTTCCCAAAATTTCTCGTTTGGTGCCCCTGTTAACTCACATGAAACATTTTATTGTATGCCTATAGAACGTCTAGTTGCCGTAGCTTTCGCTTTCTTGTATTTGTTGTTGGAATTTTATAGCGAATCACACGCACACAAAGTTGTGAGCATAACGAACAACAGTTGTAATTTAATTTAACTCAGTCTTATCAGTGTTATCGTTTGTTATTAACTGAAACCTGCTGAGTCTTTGTTTGTTTCCGGCCGTCAGTGTGGATAAACTCCCACAGTTGCTTCGCACTTGCGGTGTTTCCCAAGATACACGCTAGTTTCTCCTCTGACAACTCACACAACTCTTGAATGTTTGTCACGTTTTTCATAATAAATCTGAAAAGAAGGCAGAAGTTAACGAACGGTCAGTTCTCTCTAGCGCCACAACGATGATGTCTACAGCTACCAGGATGCTTCAGGAGAGTTGCTATTGAAACCTTTGCTGTTAACGTCGCCGTCGTCGTTGCTTAAGCTTCCTGAAGTCATATATCAGATACTACAAGCATTACGCATGCTCTGTAAGGGATGCTATCAAATTTCCATGGTTTTAGCGTTTTCCTATGGACAAGCGAAAACGATTAAAATCCAATACGTCAACCTCGTCCCCAGGGCGCTTCTCCCTGGCTCCAAAGCCAGGAAAAAGCGCCCTGGGGACAAGGTTGACCGTGAATACGTGTGGATCTGCGTATAATTTTGAAAACGGAGAAAAAATATCCGTTTTCAAAAAAAATATCCGGATACGAGTGGACGGGGCCTTATTTACGGAATCACAATAACAAGCGTTGTTACGTAGCTGTTAGAGAGTATTTAGTTTAACTTTATCATGATAGGAAAAACCTTTAAGTACGTTACAAGGCAAAACCGCTTTACCACAACCCGAGTAAACTATTGGAATAAAAGCGTTTATATTTTGACCCATGATTGACTGTGAACAGTTCCTTTATAGTCATAAATTCAGGCCTGGAAGGAATGGAGAGCGAGTGAAATGAGAAGCAAACTGCGGAGAGCGGACGCCTTATTCGCTCGCTCGCTCGTAACATGTTTGCCGACGGGACAATCGTGAAGGATTACTAATAATCTTATGGCAGTCTATACTCTTCTCAGAAGGTAGTATGTGATTTAACTGTTTCTTTACTAATTGCCTTTAATAACCGAGGTACCAAGTTCCTGTCTGGCTGCCCCAGGCTTTCTCGGTCATTAAACTCGCTCGTAACCTCGTGATCCGAAACGCATAGGCCGCGCGGGATAATGAGGCCTTGGAACTAGGGACTAGGCAATGCTAACGGAGAATCCGTTTGATGTGACGATAAAGAATAACGCTACAAAAGAAATTGTCATGTTATGAGTCTGTACCTGTTGTTCTTGAAGGTGACTCCAGGAAGTTTCAGTGTAAAGTCCTAATTGCAACTAGTAATAAATTCCCCCTGGAAGCCCTCACTCCCAAACGCCCCAGGCAAGGATTAGATATGGGAATAAGCGAGCCCGGACGCGAAAAGGAGGGGGAGCTATCTAGGATGGCAACAATGGTCATCGCTGCGGGGAGGAGGGAGGGACGCCAAGCTAACGACTGGCGAACGTTTAACGAAAAGAGAATTAAACAGGCCAAAACAGGCCTATTTGTACAAAACCTGTGTGAAACAGAACACCCAAGAGACTACGAGCGCGGGGAAAGTTTTATCCTTGAATCCCGAAGGAATTTGGGGCGTTTGTACGAGATGGCCCCAGTGAGAATAGAAGAGAAAAATGACATACGAGTAAATGGCCATAGCTTTTCTGGTGCCACTTGTTTAAAAGTTAGATAATGCTATCTGACCGAATGAATCTCTATCCAATGGATATCGCAGTTGCTTTCCCTAATACTTGTCCTCTGGATAGCGCAATGCTACTTAAAGTAACAGACAAACGCTAAACCAACTTACAATCAAACCATATAGGGATTTTAAACAAACGTTATGATCATTATACGTTTCTGGAAACTGTCCACCTACCCCTCCCCTAAGCGAACAATTTGCCCTAAGTGAGAACTAAGTGTTAACGCTGACTTAGGGGAGAGGTAGGTGGGGATCATTCGGACGGGACCAATCACCAAATGACTTAATACAAAAGATTGAAAAGACGATGAATAAAACCCACGCTTACAATGGCTTCCACAACACCAAGAAGCACCCAATACTCCCCCCCCCCGGCCCGTCCCCAAAAGAATTTTTCGTTACTATCCTGGATGTAACAGACGTTCCAAGAGAAATTTAAGACATTACTGTACCTGTGGCCCCATGTTGTATGTGAAGTCTGAAGTAGCTCAAGTAGCATCTGATTCTATCAACTGGCTGTACTAGCATCAGGATCAGGATAATTTGACTGTGAATCAATAAAAAAAATATCTTGAATATAGCTGCCGTAAGGCGACTTTTTTTACCGATCAGCGCTAACAATAGACGCACAACTTTATTCCGGTTTGAGTCCTCGAGGGTTACAGCAATTAGCAAGATGGTAGACTATTGAACCCAAAGACTCGACTGACATTAGGTCCGATGTACCGTAATCTGTCGTATTTGATGTGTTGTGTTGTGGTTTAAACTGAAATACAAGGTGAATATAAAACTTCAAGGAAATACTGCGAGCGCAAAAGAAATACAGCAATGCACTTACATTCTTTTGGCGCAAAACTTCTGACCGCAAAAGAGATACTCCTGACAGGAAACTACTACTTAGTGCTCTTGAAGAAGCAACGTTGAAATAAAAGCTGAACTGAAAATGCTAGAAGGCGATTTAAGTTGAAAACAAAAAATGCAAATAAGGACTAGGCGCACGTGGGATTCCTAGGGGAGTTATTTTACAGCTAAATTGTTCTTTAGGGCGTTAGATACAATAGTGAATATGTCTGTTCTTAACAGTCCTTTAATCTGAGAAAACAGCTGACACCTCACAGCATCATCACTGGTTTCCCCGCGAGATGACTTCTGACGAACAACTGAAAAGCTTCCATACTGATGACGTGTCACCACCCAGATCTGGGTAGTGTTTCTAACTGGCCGAAAGAAAATTTCCCTCGCGATACGACCAGTCGGAAGCAATAGCCAGCTCTGGGTAGTGACACGTCATCAGTATGCCATTTCTGCGCTCGTTCCTCAGACATCATTTCGTTGGAAAACCAGAGGTAGCTTTGCAAAATGTCAGCTGTATTGTCAGGCTAACAGTCTGTCGGTGGCGAGACTGTACTGTTATTAAACTGCTGTTCACTGGAAAATCAATGCCCAAAGATATAAAGGCGCACTCACCTTTAGTTCATCGAACAACTCAGTGGTTGCGTATGGACTATGACATCATAAGATTCTTAACTGGCAATTGAAGAGAAACAGCTTGTAGTTATAGTTGCAAGCGGCAATGAAACCTGCTCCAGAACTGTAAATGCTATATAAAGCTGGATAGCGTAATTTCAAAGAAAAAAGGACCAGATTAGGGATTTTGGCCCAGTAAATAACAGGAACATTTTCCCAGACCATAGTTAATTGAGTGGAATGGTTATGAAACCTGTCAGACTCCTTTGTTATATGTTTTTGTGGACCTGAAAGTGCACAACGTTCAAAAGAATTCCTATCATTTTGATTGTATTGACCAATAAAAACGTTGTATTAATTTATTCCGTAACAATTTGCCAACAGAAAACAAAAGATTGAGCACTTTCACGGTACTTCCAACATAAACTGCAGCACTGTTGTTTTTATCACTGATGTTTGCCGCTTTTTCATAACCAGTCTCCTCTAATAACTATGCCCAGACGTAAGGGGCCAAGAGTGCACAAGGATGGCCCAGGGGTGTGAGCACTCGCCTGCCACCAATGTGGGAGGGTTCCAATGCTGGCGTGGTCGCCATATATTGGTTGACTTTGTTGTTGGTCCTTTTTTATGGCTCTAAGAGGTTTTTCTCCGGGTACTCCGGTTTTTCCCTCTCCTCAAAAACCAGCATTTCCAAATTCCAATTTCACCAGGTATCAGGAAGACGAAGAACGACCTAGTGGATATGCGGCCTCTAAATCGTTATTGATTAAGTGATTTAATATACAGATAGGTACCCAACATTGTTTTACCTTGAGTATATTTAATTTCGTGGTACAAACAGTCTAGAAGATCAAGATAAAAGACAATTTTGGAAACTTGAAGGGCGCCGCCAAAGAACTAATGAATGATGCGTGAAAATTAGGACGTTTTTTGGAATATGATGAACTTACGTGGTCCTCAGGCAACAGCCGCGGCGCTCGTTACCAGCCGTCAAACAAACGCTTCAAAGGACTCCTAAAAACAGATACACATGATAGGTTCTGTCGTTAATTTTAAAATGTGTCTCTGCACTCTTTGATCTAGTGAATGAGAATTATATGGTCATTTACCTTTCCCTTTATCGTGTATGGTAGAAAACAAAATAAAGATTATTTCATTATTTCACAAAGAATGGGCATTTACATATTGAATTACAATACCCTATCAGCTTCTTACCCATAGCCTGAATTTCAGCCGGCCCCTGGAGTCGCATACGCCCTAAAGGGACGTTTGAATCAACGAGCTTAGCTGCTAATGCAGTCCAGTAAGATCAGACTATTGTCAGTACTTTGTACGAGTCATGATCAGGTGGGTCGGAAACATAAACCGTCAACAATTCTCTTGAAAAAAAGAAAAAAAAGAAAGAATTGCTGGAGAGGAGTGTACGCCCCAAATCATCACGATGGTTCTCAAAGTGTCACGACGAGAACACCGGCCTCTGTGATGGTGCATGACCTATCACCCCCCCGGGGGGGGGGGGTACTTTTGGAATTTCTGGGTGGGGATGTGCCGCTGGGACCCTGGAACCCTTAACCTATACCAGAGCTAGTTCAGCTGAATTTTGCTACCCTATACTAGAGTAAACTCCCCAAATCCCCGCTATCCTAGAGTAGCTGTTTTCCAGAAACTATTGTTCGGTCACGAGCAAAAAAACAAAACCTTATACCACAATCTCTGGTCTAGATAAAACTTCAACCAACTGATCAGTTTCCTTAAAAATGATACCCTATTCTAGACCCAAACGCTCTGATTTATATACCCTATGCTAGAGTAAACTGCTTGAAAACCATACCCTTCACAGCGGCACATACCTATATAGCCCATATATGGCAGTACCCCCTATCCCCCCCCCTCCCCCGGGCCTATCACCCGGGTTCGAAAAGGTCAAACACCAGTTCTCCTTAATATCAACTAAATATTAAGATTTTTTTTCATTTTTGTAACTATCAGAGCAAACTGTTATTCCACTATGTTTGCCTTTTTTCTGTTTATTCAATTCAGTCTTATTTATTTTGATTCGCAGAATTTGCAGAGAAATTAATAGATACAACTGCCTCACGACTTGCTAAACATTTTCTAAGAAACAAGGAAAAGATGGCGTGAACTTTTGTTCTGTCGGGTTACGTCCGACGCGTTGCTAAAAGACACTCAACATGCCTAAGAGCTGCTGAAATCCGACAGACATCAGATAACAAAGATGAAGTGATACCGAAAGGGAAGTCACATATAAGAGTATTGCTTTGTATGGTGTGTCACGCCATACGTGAAAAGTCAAAAATCGGCTTGAATCGAATCATTAATCGGGGGCAAATCTTAAAAAGACAGTGCACATGGATGACAAACAAATTATCTTATTCTTATTCGTGGCAATTTGTCTTTTGGGACAACGAATGGTATCAGGTAAGTTTACAGCAAAAGTATATCGATTCTTTGCATGTTTACGTCCTGAAGCATAATTTGACACCATGCAAGTCAAACAGCGAAGTATCTGATTTTCATCCAATTTGCGATAAATATCTTTTATAAACCCATAAACCTCGCATTTTCCCCGTGGACCCATCTCTATACCGACTTCTTTCCGAATCGTGATCAGTTTCGTCTAGTATTCCTCTTCAGTTCAAACACATTTTTCAGTCACGCTTGGTCGCATCACAATGGCGGAATAATAACTTTCACTTTCCAAACATTGCGGAAATAAGACCGCAGGCAATGATGTAACTTGATTTGCACTTAAAAATTAAAGAAAGGCATATCTTGGAAGGAAAGTATTTAAAGGGACCACTAAGAAATGTGACCTGAAAGCAAAAACAGTCACAGTATTAAAAGGATGGTACACGTAAATAGTTTACGGTTAACTGAACAAAAGTTTTTAAATTCCATTTCCCTTTAAAAGGATAACGATAAGCGTGGAACAGTCGGGCAAAGCAAAACTTAAACGGCTACGAAATTTTGCAACGGAAAGCCGATCGAGAACGTTAATTGGCTGAACAAGATCCAAAAACATCCGCCTCAAAAGATATAGACTTTAAAAAAGTAGGTTGTTATACGTGGGTGCAATACCGTATGTTTAACATTCGTTTGAACAAGATGCTTAAATTGGTCTAGCTGATAGATGCATTCTAGGCAAACAGTAATTTCAATGTTTTATCCCTTTTTGTAGCATCATGTGAACAAGTTGATGTAGGAGTGAGCTGGTACATTCTCGACAATCAGTTAAATGCTTCCTCTGAACTGAATGCCAGCACACCAGCAAAGAATGGCCGACTGAACTTTGTAGCGGGATCATCATGGTGTGCATCCACGAGTGACAGCGGTCCATATCTACAGATTGACTTACGGATTCCTCATATCATCTGTGCTGTATCCACTCAGGGGAATTCCCAGGGGAGTCAGTGGGTGGAGTCTTACACCCTACAGTCATCTACAAATGGGACAACTTGGACAGACTATAAAGAAAATGGAAAAGTTAAGGTAGTTGAAGTTAAAGGGTGCATATATTAATGGCCTGACCTGTCACTTTAAAAAGAAAAAAATGCTTTTTTCTAGAGTTTTTTTTTTTTTTGCATAAAAAGACGATCTCTTCCTACCACCCTACTTAGGATAAGACTGGTCTGGCTGCAAACACAGTTCTGATTGATAGGAAGCTGAAACCCATTTTCTGCTGCATGAAGCACCTAGGAGTATAAATTGCTTCTCTCCTTTGAATGGAATGCTAGTCTGTTCAAAGGTTACCTTACGAAATTTGTTGCACTTATATACTGAGGTGGAAGAATGACAAGCGTGTAAAGGAGCAAAGTTTGTTATCTAAGGGAGTAATGCCATGTGGCAAAGATAATTGAATCCAGAAGGGAGAAGTGGGAAGTGAGGGGGTGATATCCCATTGGGTTCACAGGAAAGTCACTAAGTGCTAGTGACCAGGAATTTCCTAGCTATGTCCTACTGCCAGTACGACCCCTGGCTACTTTCAAAGGAAACAAAAGGAAAGCAGACTGAACCAATAGAATGTCCTAGCTGTTCAAATCATTACCTATAATTTGCATATATCTTGCAACTTAGTGACAGCCCTGCGTTTAGTAAACTGAACTCTCCGCTATCTTTATTTAAGAATCACCTCCTAAATGCTAAGCCTTTTTTTGTTTTTAATTTTTTTTCCAGACCTTCAATGGAAACTTCGATCAGAACTCAGTAGAAAAACAGATCTTGTTCAGTGCATTTGTTGCCAGATACTTGCGTTTTGTTGTTGGGTCCAAACATGGTGAAGCTTGTTTACGAGTAGAAGTCTCTGGCATACCTAGAAGCAGAGGTTTGATATATTGAGGATATTCTTCAGTTTTCAAGGAATTTAGTTTTTTACCCAGTTGTGGAACCTTCCTTCACATCATTGATATGATCTTTTTCTTTTTGCGACCACATCAGCTCTTCAACCATTATCTTTCTCTTTCTTTTTTAAAAATCTTGTTAAAATACAGTCTTCGCAAGTAATTCACTGTATGGCGTAGTCTCTCCTCACTCCTTGCCACTAAAGACATTTCACAGGAAAGAGGTCTGCAATTTTGCCACAAAGATTTCATTTTGATGATCATATGTAGATTTGTCTCTGGAATCTGGTCAACGAGCAGGGATTGGTCAAAGTAGTGGCAAATGACAGACAAAAGACAAAAGGTCACAATGATGTACAGTAAATGCCATGAATCAAGTAAAAAAGTCATTATTCATGGAATATTATCTTCTTTACAAGAAGAATTTGAGTTTTGCTGCTGCTCTTTCACAGAAGAAACCAAAACCTTAACGATAACACACCAGGAGAGACTTAGACTCAAACAATTTTATATCTAGAACCCCATCACTACCAGATTAATTTTGTAAACATTGATTTACGTCATCAATATGGAATTTTTGGGGCTATTTCACAGATGGCTCTCCTGTGAAAGGTCACCAGTGGCGAGGATTAAGGAGAGATGGTAGTGTATTTGCAGGCTGGTTTGTGGCCAACCTGTCAAAATTAAGAGGTTTAATTTTTGAACAGTTACCGATTAAATACTTGCCATGACCATTGTTTTGTACAGCACTGCAGACACACTACATGTACAGCTGCTATACACGTACTCTGAACATTAACAGGAGTATTCAGAAAGGCCTTCAATACTTGATTTTCCTTTCAGTGTTGAAGGCTGTGCTGTAATAAAAATTCTAAGGAGCCGAATGCTCTGCACCTAGCTGTGAAATCCAGGGTGCCCAGCATATGATTTCCATGCAGACGCTGAGATCTTCTAGTCCCCAAGAACAGAAGTAAGGACCCAGTGGTCTCCAAGAGGGGGGAGAGCACAGCCTGCAACCCTGCTGCGTTTATCTGTAATTTCTATTATTCGTTTGGTTTTTAGTTCCGAGAAATATTGCCCTTTTCAAGCCAACAAGTCAGTCAAGTGCATACAGTGATTCGATATCCTACCCTGCTAGCAATGCAGTGGATGGAGATAGGGGTACAGACATCAGCAAATGTACACACACTCTCAAAGAAAACAATCCTTGGTGGAGAGTAGACCTGGGGCGAGTACAGCCTGTAGCTGAAGTGAATATACTCAACAGAGACACACTGTCAAACAGATTGGATGGAGCTGAGATAAGAGTGGGTAGGTAGTAAGTGTGGGAGATGCTGTAATCAGTTGCTTTACCTTGTTCAGAAGTGTTCCTTGTTAATTTTGAAATATTTTAATTAACTGAAATTATTTTCCATTGGCTTTTAAGTTAAGATTTCTCAGAAGAAAAGTATGTGAAAGTGATCACTGTGCTTTGTAAAAGTGTACATGTATTTAGTATCAATAGCATTTTCTTCCTACATAGTTACATTCATGTAAAGTCAAAATCCCACAGATTCTATTTGAGTGAACCAATATATACATCAATGTAGAGGTTTTGCAAGTGAGATTGCAGCACTCCCCTGATCTTGAAGTCAATGCCAAGATTGTTTCTTTTTTTTTTTAAACTATTATTATGCATGAATTGTGTTCAAATATTGCAGTAAATGTTACCTCATATTTTCTTTTATTCGCTTTGCAAGGAAATGAAACAACAAATGGAGGAGCAGACAACAGTCTTTGTGCAAATAACATACAAATCCCAGCAGCAAGTTCCAAGATATATTTCTGTCGTCCCAACGCATATGGCAGATATTTGTACATCAGATTACCTGGCATTACGATGTTTTTGACGCTCTGCGAGGTTGAAGTTTATTCCTATCTTAACTCAGAAAGTAAGAGCGCTTTTCTTTCCTCCTGTTTATTTTGTAGGTACAGTATGTGCATTCCCAACATACGTGTGGCTTTACATACATGACAATGCAATCTACTTAAGATGAAATACAATTAAATAAAATTAAAAAGACACCTATTAATAAAAGATCTCTTAAAGCGTTTTGTTTTAACAGCAGGTAAAATAAAATCATGTCCTCTGTTTCGCAAAACTCTCTGTTTCTTAGGGGGTAATAGTTGTGAAAACTAAAATTGCGGACACTTCACTCGTTTCAAGAGTAAGAACTACAGCTGTAACTAGGCGAAATAATGGCTAAAAACTGATAGAAAAAACAGCAAGAAGACAACTCGGAGGGCGACATCTGCTTTTTGGAGAATATTTGCGGGGCTGGACAAGCCTAAACGTTCACTATCGAAGATAAATTTAACATCGATCCAGGTAAGAATGTTTTAGCTATGTTTTTAAACTAGGAATTATTTAATTTGAATGACTAATAAAGCAATTAATGAATTCGGCTTTCGTAGGATATGAAGAATTAAGCAGATGTCGGAGGGTGTTATCCACCGCGACCTTCGGCCTCTGTGGATAGCACCCTCCTCGATCTGCTTAATTCTTCATATCCTAGGAAAGCCGAATTCATTAATTGCTAATTATCAACCTTTCAAAGGAATCTGGAATACTTTGTACTGATTTAAAAGTGGCTAGTGTCAAACCACTGCTCAAGAAGCAATCTTTGAGGTCGGATGAATTCAAGAATTTTTAGGCCAATTTTGAACTTGGGTTTTCTGTCTAAAGTAGTCGAGATATGTGTTGCCAAGCAGCTCATTGATTATTTAGATGCCAATGGTCTCGCTGTCTCATATCAATCAGCGTACAGGAAACTTCATAGCACTGAGACTGCTTTAATCCGTGTCCATAATGATATCGCAATTGCCTCAGATCAGAAAAGATCAGTGATTTTGCTGCTCCTTGATCTTTCCGCGGCGTTTGATACTGTAGATCACTGTATCTTACTTTCACGCCTTTCTCGTCGATTTGGAGTTGGTGGTACTGCATTGGCATGGTTTCAATCGTATTTGGATGATCGCACTCAGTTTGTGAATACCAATGGATCTACCTTCGAGCGACGTGTTCTGCAGTTTGGTGTACCCCAGGGGTCGGTTCTTGGACCTCTTTTATTCTCATTGTACACCTCTCCACTGAGTAATATCGCCAGTAAGCGTGAACTAAGTTTTCGCTTTTATGCGGATGACAGGCAGCTTTATGTAACATTCGAGACGTCACCCTTACTGACATGGAATTGAGCAAGTATAGATTGGAAGCCTGTGTACTAGAAATTTACACCTGGATGCTTCTGAATAAGCTAAAATTAAATAAAGACAAAATTGAACTTCTTGTGATATCATCTTTACACCGTGCTCGACCTCCTTTGTCACATATTCATGTTTGTGATGAGAGAGTGCTGGCTTCACCAAAAGCGGGTAACATTGGAGTTCTCTTCGACGAATCTTTGAGTATATATGGTTCCTCAGGTGACAGCAACGAGCAAATCCGCATTCTATCATCTCCGTAAAATTAGGCTCATTCGTAAACATCTCACCTTTGATTTAGCCCAGCTTCTTGCTCGAGCTGTTGTTACATCAAAGCTTGACTACTGCAATTCGTTACTATATGGTTTACCTAAGAACGTGATTAAACAGCTCCAACGTGTGCAGAATGGAGCTGCTCGTGTTGTTACTCTTTCGCCCAAGTTCTGTCATATTACATCTGTTCTTGCGAATCTTCACTGGCTCTCGATTTATCTCCGGATTGAATTGAAAATACTTATCGTTACCTGCAAGACTCTCCATGGACTTGCTCCTTCTTATATTAAAGATCTTGTTCAAAGTTACCTCCCGGCACGGGATCTTAGGTCTTCAAAGAAAAATCTACTTGTTGTGCCTGTTTTTAACATAAACAGTTATGGCCGTCGAGCTTTTTCTGTTGCTTCGCCGCTTCTTTGGAACAGTCTTCCTCAGCATATTAGGGATGCTGGATCACTGGACATTTTTAAAAGACAGTTGAAAACTGTTCTTTTTAGACGCGCCTTTTTAAAATGATTACGTGACTGTGGTTTTTTTTATATCAGGTCTTAAATTATTTTATCTTTAGTTTTTGATTTTTAAATTTTAAATTTTAACTGTGTTTGTACTTTAAAATTTTAACTTTAAATAGCGCCTTTGGACCGTGTGGAAAGGGCGCTTTATAAGTGTCTCATTATTATTATTATTATTATTATTATTATTATTATTATTATTATTATCATTATTATTATCAAAACTAACTATTAAAACCTATTTACAATTAATTTCGCTGAAGAAGAAATATATATATATATATATGTTTAGTCAAGCACTTTTTACAAGTCATTTTATTTCATAAGTTAAGGTTCTATTCATTTCGATTAAAAAAAAATATTCATTCAATTAAAAAAAAAAGCTCATTTCAATTAAAACCAATTCATTTCGATTAAAAATAAAATAAAAATATTAAAAAGATCCTAAAATACTAATATTGTTATTATTATAGGAAGGAAAAAATTATTCAACTGTAAAAAAATATGTACATAATTTACAGAAATATTTGAAGTACAAATTAAGCACTATATAACATTAAGAATTATATAAATAAAAAATAGCAATGTCAATAGCGATTTCGCATATATATACCTTGCGGCTTAGATGCGGTCAATAACTCTTGTAGGCAGTCCAGAGTTTTAAATTAAGTCATTACAAATCCGTCTCTGATATTAAAGAGAAAACAAGTCAAAAAGAATAAAATCTCGTATTCCTAAATTCCTAATTCTTTAAAAAAAAAATATTATTATTATTATTATTATTATTATTATTGTTATTATTATCATAAGTTTGATAAGTATCTGCTATAATAAGTTCTATTAATGAGTGCTAACGATCAAAACTCTGGCGATACTCTATCTTTATTCCGCGAGCTCCCACATTTTGGTTTTGGCTTATAGTCAATACAATAATTGTTTTCCCCCATTTGCCGACGAAAAAGTGCTAAGAAAAACTCTCGGGCACTGTATGACCTTAATCTTTTCAGGCTAAACGTACTTGAAGACCCTAATCCGGGGGATAGTCTCTATAATCATCGTATCCATAGTCGCCACTATTCCCCATATAGTTTCTACAATTTAAAAGTGAACTTCCCAGCCGTGTCAGTGATTCGAGCTTCTCTCTTCTACGTAATAACATTAGGAGTCTTAGGCGAAACCTTGAAAACTTTCAAGTTCATCTATTGGACGAGTTGAATTTTGAATTTAGCATTATAGGAGTTTCCGAAACTAGAATAATCAGCGGTAAAGAAATGCATTTTAATCCAAGCATACCTGGATATGTTTTCGAATATGTTCCGACACCTCTAGCCTCTCACATTGACAATTTTATTGTCTAAAAAGCCTCCTTTTGATAAAACAACATCATCAAACGAAAAAACCGAGGTCTCTTTTACAGAAAAGTAGGTTTCCAAAGGTAATTGGAATTTTGACAAGAATCATGAGTTAACCCCTTTGGAAAAATGCCAATTTTTCGACCATAGTGAAATGACATTTTTATCGTCCAAAAAGACTCATTTTGAGAAAACAACATCATCAGACGAAAAACCTAGGTCTGTTTTACAGAAAAAAGAGGCTTGAAAGAAATTTGGAATATTTAACCAGAATCATTGGTTAACCCCTTTGGAAAAATGCAAATTTTTCGACTATAATAAAATTACATTTATGTGGTCTAAAAAGCCTCCTTTTGGGAAAACAACATCATCAGACGATAAAAAAGAGGTCTCTAATACAGAAAAGTAGGCTGGAAAGACATTTGGAATTTTTTACCAGAATAGTGGGTTAACCCCTTTGGAAAAATGCAAATTTTTTGACTATAGAAAAATGAAAGGTTTTGGCTTGTATATTAAAGATTCTCTGAAATATACTGTTATTAAAGAGGTATCTGATGGAGCCTTCCAGTCACTTTGGATCGAAATCAAAACGTCTGTATGAAGCTAATAGTTGACAATAGATTACAGACCTTACGAGAAGTGGATGTACTCGGCGTAGTTCATTATGGAAGCCATTACACTTTCATCCCTTTTATACTTTTCTTATGTTGTTGTTGTTGTTGTTAAATAAAACAGGAAGGAACCCCAGATCAAAGCAATAACATAATTTGTTCTGTGAGTCTGTAGTTTCTACGTTAAGAATAATAACACGATAATAACTCTTCCTCCTTTTTTTCATAAACTTAGGTTGTGTACTTTTTTTAATGTTTTTTTTAGGTTGTGTACTTGATCCAGTAGGAGTGTCGGATTATAGCGTTGTTTTTGATCAGAGGTTTTCAGCTTCGTCATTTCTTAGCGGCCGCAGTCCATCTGATGGCCGATTAAAAGGATCAATGCCTGGATTCCTGCCACAAACAGTAACAACAATGATTTCCTGCAGATCGATCTGGGATCCCTTTACTTTGTTTGTGGAGTAGCAACACAAGGAAATCCAAATAATGATTATTGGACAAAAACATACAAGATAAAGACGTCCCTGGATAATGTCGCGTGGAAATTCTACTCTGAGGGTGGTTCCGAAAAGGTACATCCTTTTTTGCTCTAGGTGAAGTAATAGCGAAATTATAATCGTGGAGACACTAAGTAATAAAGGATTGTGTTTACCTCTTAGCCTCGAGAACCAGGATTTCACATGCCGAAGTTGCTTTCGTCCCCTTTCTCTCCCTTCCATTCGCTGTCCTTTCTCTTCTCCCATCTTCACCGTCTCTAGTTGCCCCCTTCTTTTCTTCCTGCCTCCTGCCTTGCTTTCTTTTTCACCTCACTTCTACAGCCTTCCGTCCTTGGTCTCTCACCGTTTACATATGGCAAACGTTGGGGAAGTAAGTATTAAAATGTAAAAGAAACTGACATATAGACGTGGCTTAACCCTTTTAATATCCTTTGCCTATTGTTCTGCCGGCGGGAGTCATCGTCAACGTAGTTGCAATCCTCATAAATATCGTCTGTTTATATGTTCTTGTTTCTCCTGTTAACCGTGAGCGGGTAGGGTTAGACGTAGGCTACGTTAAAAAGGCACTAGACGAATTTTCGACCGGTTGAAAAATTTGACCGGACACGGAACCGTTCAATATTTTCGCTCTCTTGACATGGAACTTACAAACCAGTTTCCGAATTTTGATTATTTTCAGTTGTTTTTCCATCTACCCATGCGCAGAACACTACTTCACATGAAATCCAGTATGGCGTCTCCCAGCTGAGTTACCACGCATCCATGCAACCACGCCCTTGCTACACAAAAATTTAGATGGTTATGGTGTTCACACCTCTTGATTTTGCTCATTTCAAATGTTTGAACGGCTAGGCGTTCAAGTTTTCGTACGGTTAGCGTGTTTCCGTGCGAATGAAACACCTAAACGCACGAATTTGTCTTTCATCAGAATTTTATAGAAATTTTTGTTAATTTGCTTTTAGATATTTACTGGAAATGATGACAAAAACAGCATTGTAAGAAGTGAACTATATGAGCCACTTGCTGCCAAGTTTATTCGTTTTTATCCAGTTACATTTCACAACAGCAAAGCATTAAGGGTGGAGGTGTATGGATCTGAGCAAGGTTGGTCTCTTAGTACTTATCCAATACATACAGTTCAAAAGACAACCATAGCATTAAAAAACGCACTTTGAGTGTCAATGTATTTAGCACGAAAGTTTTAATTGGGGACACTATTATTTACGTCTGCTACTGGAGAAGTGACCGCCATTTTACCTTGTCATTCGAGCCACGCGAAGGTCTGCCCGTCTGCAGAGTAAAGAAAGTACCTTCATTTCTCAGTTATTTTAAGACCCTGAGTATTTGTTCGGCCCCAGGAATCGAACCCGCGACTTCCCACTCTGCAGTCGAACGCTCTACCGACTGAACTAACCCTGCTGCTAAATTCTGGTTTGTACATACGATGCAAGGAAACTGACTTACCACTTGGTTAAGTGCTCAGTTTTAATAGGGAGCTTAAGCGTGCAACCACGACGGCGACGGAATCAACGTCTCATCAGATCACGCTAAATTTGTCAAATGTTAGAGATTTTTTCTCGAGTTGAGTTCTAAGGGTCTGTATCTCAGTTAAAAAAAAAAGAAAGGAAAGTAGTTGTCTTGTATTACATTCTCAATGAAACGTGAAATTAAGAAGTTTCACGTCGTTGTCGTACCCTTGACGCCAAAGGAATGTACAAAAATACGTAATGCTCGTGCAAAGTTGTTGTTTGCTTATAAGGCTCCGTCACACGTATCCGTTTTTGGTTGAAAATGGATATTTTTTCTCCGGTTAAGCTTACCGTCCACACTCACTAATTCAGTGAAAACGGTCACAGAAAACGCACCCTTTCAAAAACGTTCTCCAGTGTGGAGATTTTTGAAAACGTCGGCTTTTCTTTTACGTGTGGACGGACGAAAACGGTTTCGAATTCGGAATACGATTATGTCATACATCATATACTTCTAGCATAACGCATGCTCAATAATGAGGCTATGGTATTTCCATCGTTTTAGCGTTTTCGTGTGGACGGGTGACTACGATTCGAATATGCTACGTGTGGTTGTGTATTTGTTTGAAAATGGAGGTAAAAATCTCCGTAATCAAAAATATCCGGATACATGTGGGTGGGGCAAAACCTATTGCTTTTTTGCCGTTGTTGTCGTTGGTTAGGCTTCCTAATTACTGCCTGACCAATCTTTGTACATCTATAGTGATTATTTCACGTTTTCTTGTTTCCTCTCTGTTTATTTTTCTCCTTTACTTTAGAAAAAGGGTGCTTTTAATAATTGGATTTACTATATTGATTTTGTTCCTCCTCGTTTGTTTCCTTCTTTGTCATTGTAACTAATATGGAGCGAATGGAAATTTTTTCAAGAGTTCAAAAACTCATTAATAATTCATAAGGAAAAAACAAAAGAAAGTTTAATGAGTGATTTAACGGGAGCACCCAATGACTGTTTTCTTTGAAATATCTGTTCTGAGAACAGAATTGTCTAGATTTTTTTAGATGACCGTTCCACTCATGTACAATTTTTGAAGGCTATCTAATAAATTCCCTACGATTTTGTGAAGCTAATTTTTTTCCATTTCACTCCCCAGGTTAAGCCTTTTTTCAATAGAGAAAGGAATTTTAAACCTAAAATTTTTGGAACCAAAAATGTGATGCAGACACAAATTCTCACTTTCGTAAAACTCTAAACTGCAGCTAAAATTTTCGGGAAAATAATGCTGAAGCTCTTGTAATTTCGAAAAGACTCAACTAACCCTAGGAAGACCGAACAGATAAAAATTTTTAGCCCTAGTTAGAATACATTTCTAGAGATCTAAGAGTACTCTGGATATCCTAAAAAGTGTTGTCAATGCATTTAGGAGGAAACCGTCGTTGGGTGCCCCTGTCTTTATATCTGATAAACAGATGAACTTTACGTCACGTTTTTTAGACCAAAATGACCCCAAATCTAAATATCAGTGTAAGAATGAGTTGATCTTTATCAGGGATTTTGAAGTCGTTAAAAAACTCGCAGTCTGTATTATCAGGTTTAAAACCTGATAATCGAAACCGCTCGTTTTTTAAACAGTACATTTAATTTTTCTTAATTAATATGCCATATTTCCTAATGTTTTTACAGGTTGTTTTGTATCGTTCAAGAATGAACGCGGTAAAACGAGGGATTTTACAATTACAAAATCCTCAGAAGATGGTGGATATAAAGCTATTTGGAGTCGCCTTTATGGTACTCACGGTTGGTGTAGCTTTTCAGTATCCCTACCCCAGTACCTACAGGCTAATTTCGGACAAATTGTAACAGTCACAGGCGTGGCCACTCAGGGAGATGCTCAAAGGAACAACTGGGTGACAAGCTATTTAATCCGCTTTGGATATGATGGTAAAACATGGATTAGTTACGGAGCTGGACAGGTAAATTTTCAACATGTATTCATATATCTGTGTGGATTTGCTTAAACTGAGCTCCAGGAGTTTTTCCTTGACATTCTCATTTCGGGCTCGTTTACTTTACTTTTTTCTGTTTTATAACGTTTTGAGTACACAAATCGTCTAACAAACTGCAGTAGGCATTAAATCAGGTTCATCCTCGGTGTAAAAACCTTTGAAACTCACGAGTGACGTAAAACAATGAATACAAAGAGCCACTGAGAAGCCAACACAATAGAGCCAAGAAAAATAAAAGCTAGAAAACAAAGAAAAACTTCACAGGTTTTTACACCTAGATAAACCTTAAAATCATGTGTTTATAATGCTGTCTGCATCTTTCTTCATCCTCCTCCCCCGGCCCTACCACGAACACCACTACCTGCGATCATTTCCCACAATTCTCATTTTCGTGTGATAAAACAATCCTACTTGAAATCAGCACGCGCGATAGAAGTTGTTTTCTGTAGTCGGTTAATTTTCTATTTTTCCTTTTGGCCGCCCGGAGCAAAGTTTTCCGGAAGCCATTATTAAACCTTATGAAGGAACAAGTCTCAAGATTGGCAATCGTCCAACAAGGGCTCGAGACAGAAAAGTATCACATTGCGAGCTTTGTTGTAAGCAGCGACGAGTCTCTGGCCTCAAAACGTAGGTTGTAGGAGTCGAACAATGTACCAATTTTTTAGTCCGACTGTCCGATTACAGCCTGCAATTTAAAGCTCCGCAATGAACCTATTCAGTACATTAACTGTGTATGACTATCTAACGTACTAAAATAATATTAGAGGCCAATGCAGATTCATTCACATCTATAACTCTTTGAACTTTCAAGTAGACTTCAAGTGAGTAAAAACAAAACCACACAACCTTTTAACTAATGAACGTTTAAATCTTACTTTTTGTCGGACATAATGAGTAGATAGCGGAGACTATTACCCTAAAGCGGAAGATTTACTTAGTGCTTAATGTATCCCTGACAACTTTTCTTGTTTGTCCGTTAATTATTGGAACTTCAGTCAAGGAACGGGCCCCTGAACGGACATTTGCAACCCCGCTTAGGCTGACTCGTCCCCAGTCACGAGAAGCGTGACCGAAGGGAGCGCGAGGGTTGACGGGAAGGAGAAAAAGGAGAAAAATTTCTCCTTCCCATCACCTCTAGCGCTCCCCTTCAGCCGATTTGGGAATATACCACACAGATTGTGGTCTCTTGTAAATAAAATTATTTGTATATCTCCACTTACTTTGTTCTTGATCTACCCACTCAGCATTTGACTGGAAACAGCGACAGAAATACCATTGTTGTCCACTGGTTTGCTTCCCCGTTTGCAGCGCAATATGTCAGAATATTTCCCAAAACATATACTGGTGCAATATGTATGAGAATTGACTTATTTGGTTGTAAGAATTGTAAGTATAATTTGTTAGAGGGCGATTTGTAAAAATTTAAATTAATGGGATACATGTGCTGCCGTATACAGCCAATACTTAATAGTAATAATAATTAAAAATTTATAACGCGCCTTTTCCATGCAAATATGATCAAAAGCGCGTTTCAGTACTTTGAATGTTAAAAAGGAAAATATAAGCTTAAATGTACATATTAGTTTGGGCTAAAAAGTAAATTAAACTTAAAAATTGAAATAAACAAACGAGCTTAATCTTATGATCATCACAGTGTTGGGCGCTTGTAGCTAATCTCGCACGCAGCCGTTTTTGTCTCGTCACGCAACGCTCCTCCCCATCTTGCCTCTTTGGGTAACCAATCAGCCTCATCTTTCCCGCCAGCCATATAATAAGTACAGCTGCACTTTCTAGCCTGCGCAAAGGAATATTGGATGGGGAAACTACCGGCTAAGTGCCGTCGAGAACGGCGGAATCTGCAGTTAGAGGTGAATTTTTTTTGTATCGTAAACGGTAATGCAAACTCTTCTGCCAGAAGACAGTGTTTGTGTAGGTTATCATTCGAGTTCGGGTTCAATTTGGAATTTATTGGCACGAGTGTGTTTTTAAAAAAAGTATCAAACGGGCAAATATTCACTGGATCAAAATTCGTCCTCAAAACATCCCTACAGTGCAATTCGATCGACACAACACCTGACTTCAGTCTCACGCGCAACCTCAAAGTTGCCAATAAAGATTTGCGGCACCTGATTGGTTCTTAAACATTTCTATTGTTTTTTTTTGTTGTTGTTTTTTTTTGTCAATAGCAGTGCTTCATTCTCTGATAATTGAATTATATTTCTTCGTTTTTGCACTCTGTTTACTTATAGGCTGTTTACAGTCCGTTATTTTTCCGTAAGTTCCTCGAGATCAACCGCTTTTACATTACGGGCGGCCATATATCTTGGATTTGTATCAAATCTACTTTCTCGCCTCCCTCCCCCCACATAAACCCCACATGCTATAAACCCCGGCTCCATCTTGAAACTGCATTAATTACTGCTCTTAGCCAATCAGATTCAATAAACCTAATGGAGTGTAAAATCGAGATATTGTATCTGATAAGTTTGCCTAAGTTACGTCTTGTCGTCTTTACATCTAATATTTGCTTGTCTTTTCCAGACCAAGTTTCGTTGCCGTTCAGCGTTAGTTTTGATGATGTTTTTGTGATAGCCGACACCAGTGAATCTGTCAACCTGACCTGTGTGGCTAGTTACAGCCCTCGACAACCCTCTGGGTATAGTTGGAGCAGAGATGGAACGGGGCTGTCTGACGCAACCGCCTCTCTTACCATACCATACAACAATGCCAGTAATATCTACAGTAACTCTTGTACAAGAAAGCTCCCTTCAGACAGTGGAGTCCAGTGTAATTCAACCTACCAATGCTCTGCGTCACTTTCTGGAATACAAGGCAGTCATCTGACCACTGCAAATGTTATAGTGTCGTTAAGTAAGCAACAATTAGTGCGTACCTTACAAAGGTTTTTTGCTCGTTATTGTGAAGGTGAAAATTAATTTAATATACGGGATCACGCAGTCTTCAATAACTAACATAATTTAAGTCCTTTATAAGGACACGAAAATATTGCATTCCAACAATACATGACTGTAAACGGTATTATATGAACAAGGAAGTACCTCCTAAAAAAATGCCTCAACCTTTAACGTATTCTAAGTGGGTAACGTATTTTTAACGCGTTTGTTTATTCGTTGATTTTCAGAAAAGCCAGGCCAGCCAGTTGTTCAAGTTAATCCAAGTGACGTTAAAGCAAGATCAGCATTAGTCACATGGTCGTATAATCCTGGAGCGAATGAAGTGCCTGTAACTGCCTACAATCTTGAGTATCGAAATAGTACTTCTACAGAGAATATATTTTTGGGAGCTGTACTAAGTAAACGGATTATCAACCTCAAGCCATACACAGCCTACAGTGTTAGGTTGATAGCCAACAGTGTCTTAGGAAAGAGTCCATGGAGTAATGTCCAGAATTTCAAAACAAAAACTGCCAGTAAGTGATGATGCAAATTAGATGCAGTGCTTAGAATGATAATTTATATAATACGTTATTTTTCCAAAATATTGACCACTACATCGTTTTACATTGACTACTGTTGTTATCATCTAATCGATACTTTCATTAAAACCCGAAGAACTGTGACACATAAAGGTATGTAAGCAAACTAATTCAGCGATTTTTCATGTAATAATCAGGCCCCAGTTGTTCAAAAGCTGGATAGTGCTATCCACCGGATAAAGCACTCTCCAGCGGATAACGTAATTGATTTCCGTAATACTTATCCGCTGGATAGTAATTTTTGCGGTGGATAGCGTTATCCATCGTTCAAACAACCCGGTCCAGGCGTCCAGTGTAGGCGTCCGGTTATAGGACAGAGCTATTCAGACTGAGTATCAATCAATCTAAACTTTACTTGTTATTTTCCCTTTTTAGAGCCTGAAGTCGATGTCCAGATCCTAAGTGTGACAAGTCCTACTTCGCAGTCAATTCTAGTGAAATGGCAGGTAAACATCAGATTTATTGTAACAAAAACTCCTTCGTGTCCATAAGTACTTCGTTTCTCTAAAGCGTTACCTCAGATTTCCATTATTCTCGAAAGACTCCTACCCAGACCCAGTCGCTATTGAGATAAGCGATCTTTGGGTTCATTCATTTCACTGCTTTGTGTAACCAATAGAAAAAAGGGAAGGCTGGAAATTGTCTACATCAATCCCGCAAATTTACCATTTTCAGACCTTAAAGTTTAATGGAGTTCACTGTTAAAAGGCTTGAAAATAAACATAGAACGAGAAAGGAGGACCATGAAAAAAACAAAACAAACAACAAAGACAACTTAGACGGATGAAGGTTTTCTATTTAGATATTTCATCTGCGGTGGTCTCCCAATTTTGGTCTGGCACTGACAGTTATGAGGGCAATTACTGGGAAACAAGTGTTTGAAGTTAGCCGCGGGTATGTCCGTATGAGCATATAAAGTTTAACTAGGAGGAGGAGAAATTATTCAACGATGTATTACTTAAACACTAATTTAGTCAAGTTCATGTCGTAGACACCAAGCACCACCAATTTAAACGGACCCTTTAGAGGGTACAGTATTGAATACATGGAAGCAGGGAAATCTTCCTCGAAAGTCAATGTCAGTGGATCAACCCTCAGTCATACTTTGGAGAACCTGAAGAAATGGACAGTATATTTGATTAAAATCGCAATCAGTAATGGCGACTTTCTTGGTCCACCGAGTCCTGAAAAGCAAGTTCGGACGCGAGAAGACAGTTTGTATACTCCTTGACTTAAGCTTGTTTTCTACCTGTTTCTTTTCCCCCTTATTACTTCCAGAACAACAAACAAAAAACTAACAAAAGGAGAGAAATTGACTTTCACCTCTGTCTCTCCCCATTTTCCCTTCATTTAGCCCCCAGCAAACCATTGAATCTATTGTTCACCTTGCAAAAGCCAAGTGAAACGGTGATGCCGAGAATGACGGTCCACTGGCAACAACCTGCTGAACAAAATGGTATCATCAGAAAATATAGATTGGTTTTCACCTATACCATTGACGGAAGACAAACTACCATTACAAGTGAAACAAATAACCAGACCTTTAGCCACAGTCTAGAAGTTTTCGGTGGAATACAGTACAGTGTTGAGATTCGGGCAGAAACGATTAAACCTGGGCCAACGCTAACTGGAGCTAAACAAGTACCAGAATACAGTAAGTATCTGCTTTCAGTTTCCTGCCCTCAGTGCTGTTGTATTAGCAGCCCTTTGAAAAGATGATGTGTGTAAATGGAATTCGTAAGGGAAATGATAAGCACTGGCATGAGAAGTTACGGCTCTGAGCTGCAAGTCCTAGAAATGAAAGAGAGATTATCCTTTTGCTTAACAAGCCCTATAACGACTACAAACTGGAAAGAAAAGAAGGGGAAGATTCCCAAGCCCATTTTGAATCACTTCTGCCAATGAGTATCGTGGTCAGTGAAATTTATGGTGTGTATTGGATATACAGTTAAATTTTTAACCCTCCACTTCAATCTCGAATAGTTACTTGTCATTTACAATTTTTCGGTTATCGCAAGATTGTATTCTCACCAATTGCTAATTGTTTCATTCTTTTTTGCAGAACCAAGCGCGCCACCTCAAAACATAACCTCTGAAAAGATGAACGAAACAACTTACAAAATAAGTTGGAATCCTCTTCCCAGAGACAAGACCAATGGTAGAGTGATCGCATTTGAAGTGAATCAGACAACGCTTTCTATTACACGCACTGCTAGATCCGCGTCCACTTCGTCAGTTCTACAAAACACAACAGACACATTTATCGTTTTAACTGGTCTTTCATCGTGCTCTGTTTACAAAGTTGAAGTGCGTGCCTACACTTCTGCTGGGCCAGGAGTCTTTGGTAGACTTACTCGTAACATCGCGACTTCAGGTATTTCACTGTCACAAGTCGACTTAAAACGGACACGAAAGGGACAGAGCCGAGTGTGCGCGTTAGAGGTGTCCCGTTAGAGATAGGTAAAGTTTTGCTTCTTTGAGAAGAACTGTCCAAATAGAGAGGTGTTAGGATTAGGTACGATCTCCAAGGGAAACTGAGACGCTTCTTTGTCAGAACTAATATTAAGCCATACGGGGAAAACTTTCCGTTCCAAAGAAAGCAAAATACATAACGAAGTATTTAGTATAGTCGAAAATGTTCTTTGCCGGAAGGGCGATGTATTTGACTCGTTCTCATAGATTGTGCGTTCATCCCTTACAAACATTGCAAATGATCATTACTGATTGGTTGTAGTTCCAAGTGAACCAACTGGCGTGAAGACGGAAAATCCTGGCAAAAGGAGCCTAACCTTGCGGTGGAGTAAACCGAAACTACACGGGGATGATGTACAACGTTACAAGGTAACTTTTGACTTTCCTTATAACGAATATTTATAGAGTTCTAAAGTGATGACGTCATAAAAATCAAATTTTTGAAATTATGGGATTCGCTGGGATATTTTGAAAGAACATCTGAAAGAAATAATTCCAATGCCTCGCCTTTTCTTTTGAGATAGAACCATACTTGTGCAATTTTTGCGTGTTTTTTCATGTAATCCTCGAATAAACACCAAATTCTTCTGATTGCAAGCGGCGTTTAATTGAGTGAATAGTGGTAACTGTGAGATCGACTACACACTTCGCCCCAGTCTTCTGAGGCACCTTACGAATTTTCGACTCCGCCTCGTGTAAGGAAATCCAGGATAGTTTTGGATTCTGGATTCAACGCTGTGGATTCCGCATTATAGGTACTGGACTCCAGTATTTGTCAGTAGAACTTGAATTCTGGATTCATTGAGATGTAATCCGGCTTCCAAAACCCAGGAATCCGGATCCCCTTGTATGGGGCGTTTCGACCAGTTGCAAATTCGTGCGTTTAGATGATCTGTTCACGAAACCACCTTAACCGTGCGAAAATTTATACGCCTCGCCGTTCAAAGTTCCGTGTGGAAAAGCGAAAATATTGAACGATCCCGTGAGAACGAAGAGTCCGGTCAAATTTTTCGGTCGTTCGAAAATTCCTTGCCATTTCGGCATAGCCTTATAGACAACCATATAATTACGTAACAGTTATTGATGTATACCGCAGATAACCTATAAAGGTACAAAGGATTATTATCCAGAATTTAAACCGCATACTGGAATTCAAGAAACGGAGTGTCCGACGTTAAGATTGACAATCACCAATCTGGTCCCTGGTACAAAGTATGCTTTTGTTGTGATGGCTGAAACCTACTGTGGCCACGGAGGCAACAGTTCTATTGCGCAGGGAAGCACAAAAGTGGATGGTAAGTTATTTACTGTGTGTGTACGTTCCGTTGTTCAATAACGATGTTCTCTTAAACTATCTTCCAATTTTCCAACAGGGAAAATGCGTTTGTGCTGATAGATGAGGGCGAAGAAACCTACCAGTGATAACGCTGAATTAAATATAAATCAAAAACAAAAACAACAAAATTAAAATAAAAAACAAAAAAAACATACAGAAACAAAACGTAGGATAATTTTCTTTCGAGTAGAACGTACACTGCACGAAAAAATTACTCCGTGCAAATTTGGTGCAAAAAATTGCAAACTAAGGTTAAATAAAAGGCAAAGATGGTAAATACCTCATTTGCCCTCAAATTTACAACCCCATGTAAATTGGCAAGCAAATGCGGTATTTACCATCTTTGCTTTTGATTTACCCCTAGTTTGCACTTTTTTGCACCATATTTACACGAGTAAATTTGTGTAAATCCAACTTTTCGTGCAGTGATAATAAATTAAACTAATTATTGCGACCGACAAGAGGAGCCCGCAATCCTAATCTGCGGGTTGCTATTAAGCATGCGTCGGATGTATGTAGCCAGCATTCGTTTGGACTTCCACTAAGAATGAATGGAATGCACAGGACGCGATTTGATCACGTGCGTTTGGATCTTCTATCGCTCGTGTTTCGACCATCTATCACGTGAAACGTTAGCAAAGCACAGCGATGGAGCAAATGCGTTTTGATCTTCGATCGTTGTCGTCCGCACTCCGTAAACTTTGCTATTTCTAGTCATTATCATTAATAAAGAGGGTTATTGGGAGTCCTCATTTTTTGGTAGTGGGCGGGGGAGTTGGGTGATCCCACTGAAAAAATATTCGATAATTGGAGGAGCAAGAAATGTTACTAAGTACAACCAGCCACATGAAGTAATTGAAAGGAGCAGAAAACGTCGATGAACTGGAACTACAGTAAATAATTATTCTCAGAATCTTTCCAGACAGAATAGAACCAATGCAATAGAATAGCACCACAGCAAACTATCGAAATTCCGGTTTCCCTGTGTAAATGGCTAAGTTATAAAAAGTCTCCTATTTTCAGTGTTATCTTTTGTTCTGCTTACAGCACCTTTGGCGCCTGTAAACCATGACGTCCACGCAATCGAAAAAAAAGGAACATCTGTGAATGTCACAGTGTGGCATGCATTACAAACCAATGGTCCCATCAGGTATGAGTCATCTTATAAACCCTTAAAAATATTATACAACTGTAAACAAGTACATAAAGAGAAAATCGTTTTTTTTTTTTTCAGAGGGACGACGGCCACGCGATTTTCCCGCCAAACAGAACGCGGGTTGCCTAAAAGCGTTTCCCGGCGAAAAAATGTAGCACTAGCAAACATATACTCCTCCCCTAGTCTGGCTGCCTCGTAAGTCCCTTCCCCATTCCCCCAGAGTCTGTACGGACGGTGCACGTTCGGTCGTACGCTGACTTCATAACCAAATTTTCTCGGGTCCATAGGTTTCCAATTTTCTTTAGCTATAGGGCTCCGCTCGCGTCCGCTATAACACTCCCAGACCACGTTATGAACGTTAAGGCAAGATTATTTGTCACTCTACTCTGCTTTTTCAATTGAGTACGAAATCCTCAGGTATTGTCATAGTAATACTTATTATTACTAAGTATTTTACAAATAATAATTTGACAACTGAAAGGTCTTGCAATAAATACTACGCGCACTGTGGTTACTACTTTAATATCAATGATCTAACTAGGTACATACACATGGCTGACGTAAATGGAGAATTTTCCTTTGCTTCGCCTGTCCTATTAAAATAATTGTCTTCAAAATGCCACAGTTCAGTGACGAATTGATTGCACTTCAAGACTTGCAAACCAATTGTCTCACTGAATCATGTTGTCGGCCGGATCGTTATGTGTGATAGTGTTACAAACCAGAGAAGAGAAGTCATCGGTAAATAATTTTGATGTTCCTCGCTTGAAATTCATTTTGACTTTGATTGTGGACAGACTTATAGCATTTGTAAATCGATAATTTTTTGAGCAGTTAGAAGTAAAGGCTTTCTAACATGTGTTTTTCTATTTTGTTTTTATTTTTCTGATACTGACAGTGATTATCAAGTTTTGGTGCATCAAGTAAATGACTGGACTGACGAGGTTTCTGACTGGAATACACTTGGATCAGATATATATATTGCTGCTCAAATCCCCGCTAATTCTGTGAATCCATCCATGGTTTTTGAGGTCGGAAATGGTAAAACATATGATGGTTATGAAAACAAGCAACTGCCAAATGGTCAGAAGTACAAGATATATTCCAGAGGATTGGCTCGCCGCGCAACAAAGGTAAACGAGTTCAACAGCGATGTTGCGCGTTTTACCATCATCGTTCGAACGTGTCTTACAACAAAATCAGTTGCAAGTTTTTTTTAGTGGGTGGTAAAACGCGCAACATCCCTGTTAAACTCGTTTTGCAGCAATGTTGAAAAATTAAACAAGTTGCACGTTTTTTGTTGCCCGTTTTACAGGGTGAACTTTTTTAAAAGCGTGTGTGATGAAAAGCTGTAAGGGTCTTAACCTTCATCACCCAAACTTCACTAAAGTGTACAAATTTCATTCTGTAAATCCCCGAAAAACAAATGCTTCTGTGCAAAAAACAGTTGCCGAGGAGAATTCGTTTGAGTCGTCGTACCATAGAATTTCAGTTGATATAGTTTTTCCAACATCAACTGCTTTATTAAAGATTTATTACTGTTAAACGTTAAACTCACAAAAATCAGGTTATTACGCGCGACAAGAGGAGCCCGCAATCCTAACCTGCAGGTTATTATTACGCATGCGTGACATGTATACAGTCAGCACTAGACAGAATCTATCCTCTTTTTCAGAAACGTTCTGTTGATCAAAACTATTTGCTTGGTAAAGCAAGTCTAATTGCCAAAGTTCAAATAGAGAAAGGTAAGATTGTTTTTTTCATATTTTGTGGGGGAATAGCCTTTCTTTAAAACATTCCTTTCATTTATCCGACTGAATCAGAAACAAGAAAGGTGAAGCAGATTCTGTTTTCCTTTTTCGCATTTCATTTTATTTCTGTGACATAAAATTAAAAGCCAGTGGTCCCGCTTCAATAACGATTATACGGCAATACCGAAAACCAGAAGTTATTTTCAGTTGCGTAAGGGTACGATCACGAAATAATGTCATGCAGAAGATTGAAAAAACAATGACACCAAAAATAGTTCTTGCTTAACCGAGAAACAGCACAAAAACCCTGTTAATTCAATCACCCACCGGCATGGACCATGGAAATCTGTACTCAATAAGGAGGTTTCCTATGGTGTGACCGGCCATATAAGTGAAACCTCTTCAGCAGTACTTTTAGATGGAACTATTAACTTTTTGTTATTGCTGAGAGGACCATACATGTAGTTGACAGACAAATAGAATGAGGAACTATAATTGGCTTATTGACTTCAGACTAACCGATAGATAGAGAAAACTCTCCTATGCACAGACTGAATGATTCAGTGAGACACTGTGATTCACCTACCAGAAAGAGTCAGAATGACGGATCAGCTAAACTAATAACCACCTTCAGACTGACTGACTGATTGACTGACTGACTGACTGACTGGTTGGAATGTTCTTTCACTCATTTTCATGCTCAATCCTTTAGTTTACAAATCTGATGATGCAGACAGACAGGGAGGAGACACCGACTCACAATCATGGGACAAACCTTCAAACACAGGTTTGTTAGTTGATTTTTTATAGTTTCCCAATACTAACTGTAATCGAACTAAAAGACGGTTTATTTTAGGAGCTGAATTTTGGAAATCTATGCATTATAAGCAACAACCAAGTTCCCAAAATCCTCTCCCTCCGTTCCTTTGAGAGAAGAAGGGATATGACGTAAAGATGGAGACGAGGTTGTATTTAGAAATCGGCTATTGATTCACTGAGTGACCGGAACTTTAACATTGCAGCATCTGTAATATCATCCATCGTCTTAGGGATTGCATTGGTCATTTCTCTTGGAGTGAACCTTTACCAATGGCGTGCTCGGGGAATTTCCAAATCTGGCAAAAAGTATTCTACCGAGGAATTACAAGTCGAAGCTCACCAAATTGAAGGAGGTTTGTAGCGTTTGTGGAAACAATGAGTGGCATTTTTAGTTTGAACTGAGTATGCAATTATGGTATCGGGCACTGTTACTGGGTACTTAAAGTAATATTTATAACCAGGCCACAAGTGAAATATCTAAAATAGTATATTGAGAATAATTATGATATAAATTTACTCACCGTAAATCTCGTTATAGCCATGTTCATGTAAAAGCTAGGGACTTTTGCATCTACAGAGACGACGCTGTTTAGGATAACATCTTCATCAAAAAGGAAGAATATGGAGGGAAAAAAAGAATTACACTTGCCACTAAGTAACTTGTGCGGGAAAAATATTCACAGGGATAAAAATAAATACTTGAACAAAAGAATAAAAAAAGATAATAATAAACCTCTTCTCTTATTTTTTGTAATGACGACAGAACTCCACAAAGCGGACTTACATTAATTTGTTAAGATATCCATTCTTCCTTTTTCTCCTCAATTTTGATAAGATTCCAACCATTTTCAATCTTAGGCGTTGCAGAAGTCCCGTCTCCTCAAGTGGAATCGTTTTATATGGAACTGCAGCCCACAGAAAACCAGCAAACGTCAGAATATGGATCTCTAATGAAGAACCCGGAAGGAGATAGTGATGATGCTAAAACGGAACAAGATTATGCTAATACCGCCTTCCATCGGCTTCCTAAACCGCAGGAAAAGGAAGTATATCAAAATATATAAAGGGACGGAAATGAAATATGTGAAAATGACAAATACCTTGACAGCTTTGTATGCGAAAAACATGCAGCAGAACCACGGTCTGTTCGAATTCTCACCTAAACTGGCCTGTAAAGTCTGCACATACGTCTGATGTGAAACTTCCTAGTAAGTCAGCTTTCTGGCTGGGAACTCTACCATCAGTCTTGCTGGGAGAGTGAGGAACATATACATTTTTCCGAGCAATCTTTCAAAATGCTTAAAATGGCTTCAGAAAGCTTTATTCACGCTATGTTGTTGTTTTTCAGGGCCTTTTTCCCGAAATTTCTCGTTTGGTGCCCCTGTTAACTCACATGAAACATTTTATTGTATGCCTATAGAACGTCTAGTTGCCGTAGCTTTCGATTTCTTGTATTTGTTGTTGGAATTTTATAGCGAATTACACGCACACAAAGTTGTGAGCATAACGAACAACAGTTGTAATTTAAATAAACTCAGTCTTATCAGTGTTATCGTTTGTTATTAACTGAAACCTGCTGAGTCTTTGTTTGTTTCCTGTCGTCAGTGTGGATAAACTCTCACAGTTGCTTCGCACTTGCGGTGTTTCCCAAGATACACACTAGTTTCTCCTCTGACAACTGACACAACTCTTGAATGTTTGTCACGTTTTTCATAATAAATCTGAAAAGAAGGCAGAAGTTAACGAACGTTCAGTTCTCTCTAGCGCCACAACGATGATGTCTACAGCTCCCAGGATGCTTCAGGAGAGTGGCAATTGAAACCTTTGCTGTTAACGTCGCCGTCGTCGTTGCTTAAGCTTGCTAAAGTCATATATCAGATACTGCAAGCATTACGCATGCTCTGTAAGGGATGCTATCAAATTTCCATGGTTTTAGCGTTTTTCTATGGACAAGCGAAAACGATTAAAATACTGTGGATACGTCAACTTCGTCCCCAGGGCGCTTCTCCCTGGCTCCAAAGCCAGGGAAAAGCACCCTGGGGACGAGGTTGACAATACGCGTGGACGCGTATAATTTGAAAACGGAGAAAGAATCTCTGTTTTCAAAAAAAAATATCCGGATACGAGTGGACGGGGCCTTATTTACGGAATCATACTAAGAAGCGTTGTGATGTAGCTGTTAGAGAGTATTTAGATTAACTTTATCATGATAGGAAAAACCTTTAAGCGTGTTACAAGGCAAAACCACTTTACCACAACCCGCGTAAACTATTGGAATAAAAGCGTTTATATTTTGACCCATGATTGACTGTGAACAGTTCCTTTATAGTCATAAATTCAGGCCTGGAAGGAATGGAGAGCGAGCGAAACGAGAAGCAAACTGCGGAGAGCGGACGCCTCATTCGCTCGCTCGCTCGTAACATGTTTGCCGACGGGACAATCGTGAAGGATTACTAATAATCTTATGGCAGTCTATACTCTTCTCAGAAGGTAGTATGTGATTTAACTGTTTCTTTACTAATTGCCTTTAATAACCGAGGTACCAAGTTCCTGTCTGGCTGTTCCAGGCTTTCTCGGTCATTAAACTCGCTCGTAACCACGTGATCCGAAACGCATAGGCCGCGCGGGATAATGAGGCCTTGGAACTAGGGACTAGACAATGCAGTATAACCGAGAATCCGTTTGATGTGACGATAAAGAATAACGCTACAAAAGAAGTTGTCATGTTATGAGTCTGTACCTGTTGTTCTTGAAGGTGACTCCAGGAAGTTTCACGGTAAAGTCCTAATTGAAACTAGTAATAAATTCCCCCTGGGAGCCCTCACTCCCAAACGCCCCAGGCAAGGATTAGATATGGGAATAAGCGAGCCCGGAGGCGAAAAGGAGCGGGAGCTAGCTAGGATGGCAACAATGGTCATCGCTGCGGGGAGGAGGGAGGGACGCCAAGCTAACGACTGGCGAACGTTTAACGAAAAGAGAATTAAACAGGCCAAAACAGGCCTATTTATACAAAACCTGTGTGAAACAGAACACCCAAGAGACTACGAGCGCGCGGGAATTTTTATCCTTGAATCCCGAAGGGATTTGGGGCGTTTGTACGAGATGGCCCCAGTGAGAATAGAAGAGAAAAATGACATACGAGTAAATGGCCATAGCTTTTCTGGTGCCACTTGTTTAAAAGTTAGATAATGCTATCTGACCGAATGAATCTCTATCCAATGGACAACGCAGTTGCTTCCCCTAATACTTGTCCTCTGGATCGCGCAATGCTACTTAAAGTAACAGACAAACGCTAAACCAACTTACAATCAAACCATATAAGGATTTTAAACAAACGTTATGATCACTATACCTTTCCGCGAAACTGCCCTCCTACCCCTCCCCTATGCTAACATTTTGCCCTAAGTGAGAGGTAAGTGTTAACGTTGACTTAGGGGAGAGGTAGGTGGGGATCATTCGGACGGGACCAATCACCAAATGACTTGATACAAAAGATTGAAAAGAAGGTGAAAAAAACCCACACTGACAATGGCTTCCACAACACCAAGAAGCACCCAATACTCCCTTCCCCCCGCCGGCCCGTCCCCCAAAGAATTTTACGTTACTATCCTGGATGTAACAGACGTTCCAAGAGAAATTTAAGACATTACTGTACCTGTGGCCCCATGCTGTATGTGAAGTCTGAAGTAGTTGAAGTAGCATCTCATTCTATCGACTGGCTGTACTAGCATCAGGATCAGGATAATTTGACTGTGAATCAATAAAAAAAATATCGTGAATATAGCTGCCGTAAGGCGACTTTTTATACCGATCAGCGCTAACAATAGACGCACAACTTTCTTCCGGTTTGAGTCCTCGAGGGTTACAGCAATTAGCCAGATGGTAGACTATTGAACCCAAAGACTCGACTGACATTAGGTCCGATGTACCGTAATCCGTCGTATTTGATGTGTTGTGTTGTGGTTTAAACTGAAATACAAGGTGAAAATAAAACTTCACGGAAATACTGCGAGCGCAAAAGAAATACAGCAAAGCACTTACATTCTTTTGGCGCAAAACGTCTGACCGCAAAAGAGACACTCCTGACAGGAAACTACTGCTTAGTGCTCTTGAAGAAGCAACGTTGAAATGGAAGCTGAACTGAAAATGCTAGAAGACGATTTAAGTTAAAAACAAAAATGCAAATAAGGACTAGGCGCACGTGGGATTCCTCGGGGAGTTATTTTACAGCTAGATTGTTCTTTAGGGCGTTAGATACAATAGTGAATATGTCTGTTTTTAACAGTCCTTTATACGTTGAAATTAAAAAAAAACGATATTCATAGAATACTTAAATATTCATTAGATACTACATTATAGAACACTATCTATTCATCTTCATCGAAAAAAAAATGCATATTTGGGTCCATTAAATATAATTTCATGGAGTTTGTGTCACCCCTGGTTGCGTGACGGTTTCAACATTTTATCCAAAAACATCGAAAGTGAACTTCGCGTTTACCTCTCTCGACGGGTTGCTTTTTAATTGCCCAAGCTGGACTTTTTTTTTACTGAGTTATAATAATTCTTCTAAAATTCCATGTACCAAGCCGTGATTTTTTCCCTTAAAGTTGTCCAAAATTTCATTTCTTATGAAAGTGCTGAAGATAGGAATCTTCGGGCGATTTTTAACCGAGTGAAAAATGCATTATCTTGCAATATTTTTTACCAAATGGCATTTTAACTGGGATGCCTTACTTACCTGCCAAAGATGAACTTGTTTCCTTCAACCGCCTTTCTTCCCGAGGGCTTTGAAAATGGTAAAATTTCACTTTTTGGCGGTTTTCTAGAAAAAAAAAATCCTTTGGAGACTTTGATTGTGATTTTCGAAAATGTTTCACCAAAGGGTTTTTCCTGACTGAAAATGAAGTCTTTCGAAATTTCAGGTTTTAAGGCAAATCAGACGACGAGCGAATAGTATCCCATGATGCATTTTTCCAGAAGCATCACGTAATATCGAAATAAGGTCTTTTTCTCGTCGCCTTTGTTCTCATTTTTGTTCTAGTAAAAGTAAGAAAATTGCATTATTTTGTTATTTTGTTGTTAAAAAAAGATTATTAAATTTAGTTTTAAGCTTATTTAGGAACAAGTCAACTAAATAAAGTAACGCAAGACTTCAGCTTAATTTGCATTTGTAAACAAAAAACTTTTTCACCGGTTTTATCGATAAATTCGAGTCAAAAAGACAAAGCTTTACCTGTTAAAACTTTCAAACCGAACTTCGTCACCTTCTTCGTGTATTTCTATTGTTATAGGAGGTGGAGGAGGAGGAGAAGGTGGAGGGAAAACAATAAAAATGAGGAGGAGGGAATTCAAGAATGAGGAGGAAAAATAATAAAATTGTGGAGGACGGAATAAAAAAATTGAGGAGGGAAGCGTGGTAAAAAAAAAAGATAGCTTGCTTTCTTTGACTATTTTAATAGATTTCTTTCAGATCGCTGTGTATTTGACTCTTTTTGTTTTAAACGGTATCTCGTGTCTGATTTTATTGCTAGCAATTATTAGTCGCGTGTTTAATCAATTGATCCTTGTTTAGTTATTTGTTTTATTAGAATACGTCAAGATGCTTCCTTGAGGTTTTTCCTGTTGTAGAGCTAATTTGTATTCAACTTTGGGCTTGTGAACTTGCATAATTACCTGACTAACGGTGCGTGAAACGTTGAAACTTCAATAGTTTTTCATTTCCTCGAGATAGAACGGAGAAAACAGTTCTGTAATAGTCAGACAAAATTGAAATTGAGAGTTTTTATCTCCACTTTGTGTATATGTGCGTGTGTTTTGTTTATATATCTGACTTTTAGAGCTAAATAAGAAGACGTAAACCTAATTGAAATAAAGACTTTTCAACTCCACTTTCTGTATGTGTTTTGTTTATATGTCTGAGTTTAAGCGCTAAATAAGATATAGGAAGCTGTTTCTCGCGCTGCTAGGTGATCGCTTCTCTTATTCCTATTTTCCTTTTAATAGACGGTATGAAAACCGAGCTCAAGTTACTTCACCGGCAAGCCGAGGCAAGCCTATTGTGCTTATTGTAGTATTCGCTCATTAGTAAATCTATACCGAATTAGTATGCAGAAAGACACTTATACATATTAATAAAGGGAATCCACTTTTTGCGAGGGAATCCAACAACGAGGCTTATCTTAGACCCTAGTATACTACTCATAATAACATAAAAAAACTGATGATGAAAAGCACAAACTTTTTATCGAAATAGAATTATCGTACATTTTGAAAGGATCAGAATAGCAACATGAAAAATCCTTTCAATTAGCTTTTATAAATACCTGATATATAATCTAAGTCTCCTACGAGCGGTAATAATTAATCGTTTTCAGCTTTTTTAATAAAGACCCGCATAAAAAAGGAAAAATTATCAAAACCATTGCTAAAAAGGATTACCTGGGAAGAAGTTAAGCTCGTGTCTGTTAACGTAAGACACGACGATTAAGCCAAAACTTTAATTCGCCTTTTTTTTTTTTGCATTTAAATCAGCTCTCGTTTGTCCTCGATATCATCTATCATCTGCAGTACTAGTGAATTATTTCAAAATTTAAAGTGGACAAAACTTGTCCATCAGCGCGCAGTTAGTAAAGCAATAATGATGCATATTATTGTAAATAACACTGCTCCAGAATATCTGACTTGGCGTTTTGTTCGCCGCTGCGATTTAACTAGTTATAACCTTAGAGAGAACGAATACAAGCTCGCTGTTCCACAACCCCGTACTGAATTTTATAAAAGAAGTCTTTCTTACAGGGGAAGTGTGTAATGGAACGGCTTGCCTGTGGAGGTGTGGCAATTGACATCCCCTAGTATATTTAAGGGAAAATTAAGAGACATAAATTTCGATTGACAAATAATTTAATTAGCGATATTCTGTTTTTACACACGGCCTCCTTGAAAAGCAGGTGTTCTCTTTTCATCTTTATTATTTTAGTTTTTATCTTAGATTTTAGATTAGTTAGGAAGTCAGTTTTTCTATACTTCAATGTAAATGTATACCTGAAGGAAATACCGTGTTTAAATAAAGTTACCTTACCTTAACTTACCTTACCTTATCCAGGAATATCTTTGCACGACAGGTTTAAAGTTACGATAACATACCCATAAAGACATTGTATAAAGAAAATATTCCTCTTGATATAAAGTAAAACCATTCCTTTTTATATGAACACACTGCAAAATCAACAGAGCTATCATCTTTGGTTGTCATTTTGCCCACCTGTATGATCTTTCCGCGAATGACGTCATTTATTGAAAATTCAAGATGGCGCCCAGACTTATTAAAAGCGTGTATAGACAGTCGCTCTTAATCGGAGGCAAATCTTAAAAAGACAGTGCGCAAATTGTACTTTGTATTGCTGTTTTTTTGCTTAAGATAACACATGGATGACAAGCAAATTATGTTATATTTCTTCGTGGCAATTTGTCTTTTGGGACAACGGAAAGTATCTGGTAAGTTTACAGCCAAAATACATCGATGCTTTGCATGTTCACGTCCTGAAGCATAGTTTGACACCATGCAAGTCAAACAGCGAAGTATTTATTTTCATCCAATTGGCGAAGAATATCTTTTATAAAGCCATCATCGAACCTCCCATTTTCCCATCTCTAACGACTTCTTACCGAATCGTGATCAGTTTCGTCTAGTATTGCTCTTTAGCTCAAAAGCATTTTTTGTCGCATCACAATGGCGGAATAATAACTTTCATTTTTCATGCATTGCGGAAATGAGACCTCAGGCAGAGATGGAACTTTATTTGTACTTAAAAAATAAAGAAAGGCACATCTTGGAAGGAACTCCCTTAAAGGGATCACTAAGAAATGTGACCTGGAAAGCAAAAACAGCCACCACTGTTAAAAGGACGGTATGTACACGGAAATAGTTTAAGGGGTGACGAATGGTCTTAGCGAGCATTCGCGAACATTTCGAGCACTGCGATTTTTTTGCGAGCACTAGCAGAGATAAAAAATTTGCTTTCCGAGCAGCGAGCAGTTTAGAGAGTACAACTCGCGAGCAGCGAGCACGTCTTATATTTTCCGCTTGCAGCAATCCATATGGAAATCCTTTTCCATATGGGGTTTTAATTTTGAGCGCACCAAGTTCTTTGAAGCAAGTTTGAGTGACACCTTATCGAGATCTAACCAATTACAGTCGCCTTTGATGCCAAATGATGTCACATTTTCGCTTCACTTCATCACGCACGTGTTCGCACGGATGAGAAAGCAAAGGTCACAACAAGAACAACCGTATATAACAAAAATAAATAACGTTACCATATATCTAGATTAGATAGATTAGATCATTTATCGTGTGCATTTCCACTGAACTTGATCGCCATATTTATAGGAATCAAGCACCTTACAGAATTACATTTACTTTAACCCAAAGAAGGATTTACAAAATTTCGATCAATACTGACAAGAAAGCGAGGTTTTTGGAGCACGAGCAAGCGAGCACTCGTTTAAATTTTGCGAGCAAATCGAGCAAAGGTAAAATTTTGCGAGCAGTTAAAAATTTAGTCTGCTACACAGCCGTTTTTAGAGTCGTCACGGAACGCTCCTTCTTTGTGGGGAGGAGCGTTGCGTGGCGACACTAAAAACGGCTGTGTAGCAGACTATTAAAAATTTTAATGGACCATTCATCACCCCTAGTTTACGGTTGACTGAACACAAGTTTTTAAATGGATTCCATTTCCCTTTTAAAGGATAATGATAAGCGTGGAACAGTCGGGCAAAGCAAAACTTTAACGGTTAAGAAATTTTTTAACGGAAAGCCGCGAGCGTTAAATAGCTTAAGATCCAAAAATACCCGTTGTCTCAAAAGATATGCCAGACTTTAAAAAATTGTTATTTGCTGCGGTTCTAAGAATAGCAGCAAATTATTGTTTTCACGGTTCCAGCTTATTGACAGCTGTCATGGAGACTCAAGTATAAAAGGGCGGCATTTTACCGAGGTGATCATTCTAAGCTGACATCGCTGCCTGACTTTCGTTTGTCAATGCTTTTTTCTTTCTGTTTCATTTGAATTGATTCTCGTTGGTCGCTGATGTACTCATAATTTTGTATTCTAGTACAACCTCTCTCCTGGCTCTGCTATCAGGAGGGTTCAGGTTTCCTCCTTAGTTAAGGGGGTCTTTCCTGACGGGCAGCAGACACGATATCATCTTTATTATTGATCAAAGAACTTTACTTGGAACTAGCCTTGTTACTTTTTTTTCTATATCACTGCCTATGCAGTATCTAAGTGTTTGTATTTGTGTGAATAAACGGGGACTGATGTTCTCATTACGCTGGGCTTCTATCCAGTGTAGCAGTCAGTTTTCCTATTTAACACGGAATGATTTCATTTTTTTCACTCTGTGTTCACCGTTTCAACAATAGGGAATAGGGAAAACGTAGGTTCTTATACGCGGGTGCAATACTGTACGTTTTAACATTCGTTTGAACAAGATGCTTAAATTGGTCTAGCTGATAGATGCATTCTAGGCAACCAGTAATTTCAATGTTTTATCCCTTTTTGTAGCATCATGTGCACAAGTTGATGTAGGGGTGAGCTGGTACATTCTCGACAATCAGTTAAATGCTTCTTCTGAACTGAATGCCAGCACACCAGCAAAGAATGGGCGACTGAACTTTGTAGCTGGATCATCATGGTGTGCATCCACAAGTGACAGCAGTCCATATCTACAGATTGACTTACAGATTCCTTATATCATCTGTGCTGTATCCACTCAGGGGAATTCCCATGGGAGTCAGTGGGTGGAGTCTTACACCCTACAGTCATCTACAGATGGGACAACTTGGACAGACTATAACGAAAATGGACAAGTTAAGGTAGTTGAAGTTAAAGGGTGCATATATTAATGGCCTGGCCCATCATTTTAAAAAGGAAAAATGCTTTTGTAAAGAGCTTTTTCAAATAGAAAAAAACATCCACAGAAGACGCGACGAGATTGCTAATAAGAAAATACTACGAGACGAAGAATTCAAGAAGATGAAAAGCGAAATGGAAAAAATATATACAGTTGAACCTCCATGTGCGACCAGCTCTCGTAAGCGACCATCTCCCATGCAATAAGCGACCCCCCATCCTAAACACCAAAACTTTCCCCGTCAAAGCCATACAGTTGGAACTTCTAGAAAACGACCACCTCCTTAAAGCGACCGCGACCACTCTCTAGGCCTGAAAGTTTTAAGATTTTCTGTTATGTTTAACCTCTTTTATTGTATAGACACGAGTGTTTCACTGGAAAATATACCACTCGTAAAATTCATAAAAACTACATCCGGGACCCGAGTGGTTTATTTTCCATAATCTCACACGTGAGTTTATCTATGTCGTAATTTCGGTGATTTCCCTCTATTATTTTATCGATGTCTTTTTGTCTATATACAAATTGTTTTGCCACTCGAAAATAAAATTCATATCTTCGCGCCACCGTGTAATATCCTCTATGTAAGCGACCACTTGACGCATTCTCTGTGGGTATAGGTAAAAGGAGCCTTTGACTGAAAGTTTATTCCCACGCGAGGTTTATCGAACTCCGCACAGCAGAACTCTGACTCTCCATTTAGGGGGTAATTTTTGCATAATTTGCTTAATTAAAATTCCAAGAATTTAAGCTAGAGTTGATTCTGCACACGTACAATAGGTGGTTTTCACGTTACGTCATCGCCGCCATGCTGGTGGACGGTAAACAAAAGATAGCTCAATACCTCGTTTTGTTTGTCCACCAGCATTTGTTCATTTCACCATTGTTATTTGTGTCTCCCGAGATTGCATAAAAACCACCTATAGCTGACAACAGCTAAAACCAGGAAGGGTTTAGAAATAGATGTTTTTGTTTCTGTCGTTGTTGTTTTCTACTTTTATTGCTTTATGTAAATTTTTCCGTGCACAAAGGCGGTATGCTTTGCCAGTTCCACTTGATTGACGAACGCGGATCCGTATACGTAATCAATGATTACCTCTAGTTATTTGGGACTTTAAGATCCAACGAAGCGACGGTGACAAGAACGTCACTTAAAAAGTGAATTTGCGTTCTTTCAGTTTTTATACCGATTATTCCTACCCACTTACTTTGTCAATTGTAGGCGAACCCCCCTTAAGCTGAATTTCAAGGGAACAAAATCAAGCTCAGAAAGAGAAATAAAATTTCGTCGTTGCTTTTTTACGACCTCCGTAAAACTAGAAATTAGACATTTTCACGTCGTAGTCGTGCAAAAACGGAAAAGAAATGTACAAAAAAGTGTGATGCACGTGCGAAGTTGTTGTTGTGCTAATCAAACCATGCACAAAAGCTATCACGGGCGACTGCAAATTAGCCGCCCCCCTTAATTTTATCAGGGGCATCTCGGCCGGGAAACTGGACTCTGTTCGACTCCATTTCATTTCGGTAAGTGACGAACGCGGATCCGTAATCAATGATTACCTCTAGTCTAACTATAGTGGTAACCAAAGCCGAGATAGAAAAACGAACAGCAATAACACCAGTATTAATTCACGTGAATATTACTATAATAAATGGAAATCTTTAATTGAGAAGAAGTTTGGTCGCTAACAAATATTAATTCAACTAGTAAGGTTATATAACATTAGACTTGCATTTCACTGTACTTTTGTAGCAAGACTGCAATACAATGTACCGCAATTTGTTGTAAAGTATAGTAATTTATTTTTTGTTCCTTATTGTTTATATATTTTTAGTATATTTAAAGGCAACTTTTGTTGTGCAAGTGTTGTTAGAAATTGAAATAAAAAACTATATTAAAAGAAAAAAAAATCTAAGAAGATTCACCCACACAAATGGTTTAAAGCAATGGACAAATTATCTGCAATTGAAAGACTTACTAAACCTTTTCAGCTTTCATATTCATCAAGTAAATTACATGTAACTGAGTTCCCTCCTTGTGAGACCACTGGGGGTTCTGAGCTTCATAGAGGGTAAATTAATGTCAAGATTTCATCTGGGTTCCTTGGTTAAAGCAACCCTAACCTTCAGTCGTAAATTGGTTACCCTTTTATTGTTCAGTAGAACTTTAATACTACTATTACAGGTGTTTAGGTGTTTTTAGGGAGGGCAAGATGAAAGAATAGGGGTGGGGATGATGTGGGGGAAAGGGGGGGAGGGTTGGGGTACTTCAACTCCCAGCGCTTAACCCATTTTGTGCTTCATGAAGCACCTAGGAGTATAAATTGCTTCTCCCCTGTGAATGGAATGCTAGTCAGTTCAAAAGGTTACCTTCATCGCACTTATATATCAGGTGGGAGAATGACAAGCGTGAAAAGGAGCAAAGTTTGTTATCTAAGGGAGAAATGCCATGCCGGGTGAAGCTAATTGAATCCAGAAGCGGGCAGTGGGGAGTGAGAGGTTGATACCCCACTGGGTTCACAGGAAAGTCACTAAGAGCCAGGGACCAGGAATTTCCTAACTATGTCCTACTACATACCAGTATGACCCCTTGTTACTTTCACAGGAAACAAAAGGAAAGCAGACTGAACCAATAGAATTTCCTTGCTGTTCAAATCATAACCCATAATTTGCTTTTGCAACTTGAAATCTTAGTGACAGCCCTGGGTTTAATACACTGAACTCTATCCTTACTACTTTAAGAATTACCATCTACATGATAAGCCTTTTTTTGTTTTTGATTTTTTTCCAGACCTTCAATGGAAACTTCGATCAGAACTCAGTAGAAAAACAGATCTTGTTCAGTGCATTTGTTGCCAGATACTTGCGTTTTGTTGTTGGGTCCAAACACGGTGGAGCATGTTTACGAGTAGAAGTTTCTGGCGTACCTAGAAGCAGAGGTTGGATATATTGTAGAAATTGTTCAGTTTTTAAGGAATATAGTTTTTTACCCAGTTGTGGAACCTTCCTTCGCATCATTGAAAAGATCCTTTTTCTTTTTGCGACCACATCAGCTCTTTCTTTCTTTTGAAAAATCTTGTTAAAATACAGTCTTTTCAAGTAATTCACTGTATGCCGTACTGTCCTCACTCCTTTCCACTAAAGACATTTCACAGGAAAGAGGTCTGCAATTTCACCCCAAAGATTCCATATTGATGATCATAAATTATGTAGATTTGTCTGGAATCTAGTCAACGAACAGGGATTGGTCAAAGTTGTCATTCTATTCTTTTAGTTATTGTTTACGAATGACAGAAAAAAGACAAAAGATCACAAAGATGTACAGTAAATGCCATGAATCAACAAAAAAGTCATTATTCATGGTATATAACCTTCTTTACAAGAAGAATTTGAGTTTTGCTGCTGCTGGCTTGCAGAAGAACTCAAAATTTTTCAATAATAGACCAGGAGAGACTTTAACTCAAACATTTTTACATCTAGAACCCCATGACTACCAGATTAATTTTGTAAACCTTTGATTTATGTCATCAATGTGGAATTTTGGGGGCGATTTTGCAGATGTCTTTCCTGTATAAGGTCTTAAGTGGCGATAAATTAAGAGAGATGGCTAGTGTATTTGCAGGCTAGTTTGTGACCAACCGGTCACAATTAAGAGGTTGAGATTTTGAACAGTTACCGATCAAATACTTGCCAAGACCATTTTTTCATGCTGCACTGCAGACACACTACATTACAGCTGTACATGTACTTTGAACAATAACAAGTTGATTCTGAAAGGCCTTCAATACTTGATTTTCCTCTTTTTAAGGCTGTACTCTAAGAAAAATTCTAAGGAGCCGAACGCTCTGTACTTGTGAAACCCAGGGTACCCTACAGGGTACCCTGCAGTGGTCTCCAGGAGCTGGGGCCGAGAGCACAGCCTGCATCCCTGCTGCCTTTATCTGTAATTTTTATTATTTGTTTGGTTTTCAGTTCAGAGTAATATTGCCCTTTTCAAGCCCACCTCTCAGTCAAGTACTGTAGAATTTTTGTATGCTAGCAAAGCGGTGGATGGAGGAAAGGGTTTATACTACAGCAAGTGTGCACACACTTACAAAGAAAGCGATCCTTGGTGGAGAGTAGACCTGGGGCGAGTAGAGCCTGTAGCTGAAGTGAATATACTCAACAGAGGAGACTGCTGTGGGAACAGGTTAAACGGAGCTGAGATGAGAGTGGGTAGGTAGTAAGTGTGGGAGATCATTGGCTGTAATCAGTTGCACTGCCTTTTAACATTTCTCAGAAGAAAAGTATGTAACATCGACCTCTTTGTTTTGTAAAAGTGTATCAATAGCATTTTCTTTCTACATAGTTTAACACATTCATGTAAATTCAAATTCCCACAGATGCTATTTGAGTGAGCCAGTATATATGCCAATGTAAAGGTTTTGCAAGTGAGATTGCAGCACTCCCCTGATCTTAAAGAGAATGTCAAGATTGTTTCTTTGTTACCTTTTCAACGATTATTATACATGATTGTGTTTAAATACTGCAGTTTATGCTACCTCATATTGTGTAGTTCCAGAAAATATCTATACCCCCCACCCACGGAGGGCACTTTTGCTTAAAACCCCCACCCCCCTGGAATTTCCATTCCAGCAGGTACTCGTCATACCCCCCACCCCCTGTAATTTCCGTTATTATTCAACTTGATTAGGTACCCCCTGGAAAGAATATTTGTGTTAAAAAGGTTGTTGCACTTTATTATTATTATGTAAAAGATAATTTTTTCTGCGATAAAGTGAGATAAAAATCTTTTCCTTTACGTTAACAGGGTGTCTAATTATCTCAAGGACGTTCTAATAGGTAACCATAGAGGCGATACCTTACGCTACTGACTACACAAATATTGTCATCTGCAAAAGAACCCATTACATTCAAACTAAACACCACGTGAAATTGAATTACTTCATCAGTAAGAACATGTTACAAGAAGGCTTAGAACATGACCAAATTACGGTGAATCAAATGGGTAATAAAGCAACAGCCACTGAACAGCTAGATAACCAGAAGTTTATTCATGAGCCGATGACATTGTATCTATGAAAACTGTCGCATAGCCGTGAAAAAGATGATCAATGCAACACCGGTAACAGTAAAATAACTTATAGCTTGCTTAGTAGAGAGGCTGTTATTTATTAATAAATCACCAATTTTACTCAGCCTCCCTGGAAAAAAATCTGTAAGCAGCCCACAATCCTTGGAAACTGACTTTTTTGGACCCCCCTCCCCTCGGAATTACCGTTGCCCTCCGTGGGGAGGGTGGGGGCATATGCGGGATATTTTCTGGAACTACACATTTTCTTTTATTCACTTTGCAAGGAAATGAAACAGCAAATGGAGGAGCAAACAACCATCTTTGTGCAGATAACATACAAATCCCAACAGCAAGTTCCAAGACATATTCCTGTCGTCCCAAAGCATATGGCAGATATTTGTACATCAGAATACCTGGCAATGACAAAATTTTGACTCTCTGCGAGGTTGAAGTTTATTCATTAGGTAAGAGTGTTAATCTTTCCTCCTGTTTATTTTATAGGTATGCATGATGCTTGTGTGTGTATCTTTTGTATCTTTGTTTTTTTGCCTTTTACTAAACAAGTAATCTGTTAAAAAATAAGAAAAAAAAAACACTTGCCATTACCATTTTTTTATGTATGTATAGCTGTACATGTACTTTGAACATTAACAAGTTGATTCAGAAAAACCTTCAGTACTTGATTTTCCTTTGTTTAAGGCTGTGCTCTAAGAATAATTCTATCGAGCCCAGTGCTCTGTAGCTGAGATTTTCTAGTCGCCCAAGAGCAGAAGTAAGGACCTAGTTGTCTCCAGGAGCTGGGGAGAGCAAAGCCTGCAACCCTGCTTCGTTTATCCGTAATTTTTATTATTTGTTTGGTTTTTAGTTCAGAGCAATATTGCCCTTTTCAAGCCAACAAGTGAGTCAAGTACATGGAGTAATTCGAACCCTGCTAGTAATGCAGTGGATGGAAATAGGAGTCCATACATCAACAAGTGTACACAAACTAATGCAGACAACAAACCTTGGTGGCGAGTAGACCTGGGGCGAGTAGAGCCTGTAGCTGAAGTGAATATAGTCAACAGAGACAGATTGCCAGAAAGATTGACTAAAGCTGAGATAAGAGTGGGTAGGTAGTAATTTTGGGAGATGCTGTAATCCGTTGCTTTACCTTGTTGAAAAGTGTTCCTTGTTCATTTTGAAATAATTTAATTAATCTGAGATTGTTTTCCATTTCTCAGAAGAACATTATGTGATCACTGTGTTTTGTAAAAGTGTACATGTATTTAGTATCAATAGCATTCATTTGTAACGGCTTTGATTGCCTCCTTCCGAACCGGATTTAATCTTAAGTTTGATCTTATCTATTTCCGCTAGGCTGATAATTACACGTGATTCCAAAATAGTTATAGTCTTACCCGAAACCGCGTTTTAGTTAATTAGCCTTTGTCTTGCTACTGGACTCATCAGGAGTGTCAGTTAAGTCAGAAGTAAGAATACTGAAAGTTTTGGAGGATCGGTAAAGCGGGACTGTTATGTAAGTGATTTTTATTCTTTTCTAAGGTTCAGTAAATTTAAGTTTAAGATTTTGTTTTGTTTTTTCGCTAGTTTTAACTGCAGTTTTGCCAAGTCAAGTTTTGTTCACGTTGCATGGCTTGATCGCTATTTCATAGCCTGACATAATATGTTTTTGTGGGTTATTGGTCAATACTAGTTTTACTGTCTATCCATTCAGCCTTTGTAGCATAATAATTAGATTTTGGATTATCGTGCGTCGTAGTTTTGATTTTGCTTACTATGTAGCTGTGGAATGATTGGAATGCTACTGTACCCATATTTCAGCACGCATATTGGCTGAGTGCTCGTCAATTTATCCCAAATAGTGCAGAAAGTTGAATCTTTTGTTGCTGTTGTTGTTTTTTTAATTTTTAACTTTGCGGCCACGGTTTTAGCTAAAACCGTGGCCCCAACGTTTTCTCACGCCTTGCGTAAAAAATTTCACAGCTGCGCCTGTTCCTTTTCGTAAATCCGGCCAAACCCTCAATGTTTGCGACCATCATTATTTTTAGTCATATTATGGCTTAAATACAGGGGTTTAGTATTTGATTGTAAAACTTCCTGAAGAAGTCTACGTTAGTTAGACGAAACGCGTAGGAGAATAAACAAGTTTTACAGCAACAGTGGCAGAGTTTCTAAAAATCAAAAAATTATAAAAATTTTTAAAAATTGCAAAAAAATTAAATCAAATTGATTGTCAGCCTCAGGTAAGTTAAGGGTCTTTCAGTAGAATAATCGACGACTTCTTTATGTAATTTGTCTTTTTGGTAAGGATGAAGAATGTGCAAACACACGTAAATCACAAGCCATGTAACCATGAAGCCATTCTGATTTCAGCAACTTCTTTCACGCGGCATTTTGATCCACACTCCAAGAAAGAAACCATAAAAAAAAAAGCCAAATAACAAATTGCAAAATTCTTGACTGACAATCAAACATGAAAAATGTCTTGAAAGAAAAACACTAAGTTTTCTTTACAACTCCCTTTTTATTAACAGTCACTGTTAAAAAAGCTTGTGTATTTTCAACACGAGGCCATACATCGTGTAACATTTATCTACCGAGTCACCGTAAGAACATGGTAAGAAACTTAAAATAGTTATGCCCGCCGTTAAACGAGACAAAAAATGTAATAACTCAAACTCACCTGAGATGCAACTCCTGAAAGCTAGTAATTGAGGTTCGTATAGAAACGCTTTAGTTTTCTCTGTTACTCTGCTGTGAAAGCCTGCATTAAAGTTCTTACAAAAACAGCCATCGATGAAACCACAGTTGCGACGCTTTCCTCAACCAAAACCCAAATAAACAAACCACAACATTGGCGGATCCAGGGGGATGGTTGAGTGGGCTGCAACCCCCTCTTTGGGAAGTTTTTTAAACTTGTCTGGTTACCCATGTCTATCCCTTTTTCATACCAAAAATAATATTATAAGTTATAATTTAAGTTTTGGTCCAATCGGCCATTACAAGAAGACTTTTGCTATTCCTCTTCTTGAATTGACTCCTTACTTATCCAAGTGCAAGATCGATTTTCTGACGAAGATCGCCACGCCCACCATCTGCTTTGTCTCGTGCCATCGATTATAGTAAATAAAGCACTGCAGCTGGATCGGATAAAGTAAAAGGCGCGCTGTTCTGGGAGAAAAACATTCCACTTCTGAAATCCCTTGGAAATGAGTTACGTAGATGGAAAACACTCTGGCAGTCAACAGATAGGTAGGTTCCAAACAACCTTTTATTAGCATTTGACGAAGGAGCTTTTCCAAACATCTATCGCCTTCTGGTCGTTACCTGCCCCCTAACGATCACAAGCGGAGAAGCTGAGTTGTCGTTTTCACTGATGAAATGAATCAAGACCTGCTCTAGGTCAACAATGGAAGGATTCTCTGATCTCGCAGTGATCGTCATGCACTACTCCGAGAGATTCGAGGTGCAGTAGACGAGATATGCGAAGCCTTTGTAAATGCTCATCCGAGAACGCTCTGTCTCTGTCTCTGAAAACTGTCCGATTTGAGCTGTCCGATTACCTGGAGCTTGTAATCGGACAGGTCAAATCGGACAGCTATAGAACCAATGAAAACCAAGTAGCAAATGTCCCAAGCCATTGAAGTTTGATCACATAGCACACGATAACCAATCAAAATCAATGACGAAATAGTGACCGGGTAAGCTGTCCAGCTTCAACTGGAAAAGAAAAATGCATAAAACTAACTGGTCCAGTGACTTTTATACACATTAATAAATATTCCAAAACTGAGATTCTCGCATTTTGTTACTGACACAATTATTCGATGACAGGAATTCGTGTCATACACCACTCAATCCTATTACCATTACTAATAGTGCCTCAAATTCCTCTGAAACATATTCAAACATAACCCTAACCTTCGTCACCCTCCCCCATTCCCACCCTTCCCCCTCCCCCATTCCTTGGCCCTGGGACGTTTGAAAAAATCCTGGATCCGCCCCTGCACAACAAAGGAATCTTGTTAGTAGATGTATTTATTTCCGTCGCGGCAGTGGAAAAACATGACGAATTAAAGACGCAAAATCAGCCAAAATGACAAAAGGCTTCAGTTTTCTATAAACAAATTTCTAGCTGCTGCGTTTTTAGCCATCAATATTCGCCTGTCAAAATTTTGACCAATCTTGGTCGAGGTTGTCACTTGTAGGCGGGAAGAGGGAGCTGTGACAAACGCTGCGAGGTGACATATTATTAACAAGTAATCACATGATTTTTCGCGTGCAATTTAGGCTAAAACAGCAGTCGTAAGTTTTCAAAGACCACAAATTGCACTCGCCCTGGGGGTGCGTGCAATTTGGTTGGTCTTTAAAAAATTTGCTTGTGCTGATTTATCCCAAATTGTGCTCGAAATCATGCAATTACCTATACATATTGTTATTGCTTCAGTTTACGATGTGATCTCGGATTCGTGGATGTTGTGATAAATTAAGATTGATTCAAGGAGAGCGTCCGTAAAGTACATCCCCGTAATCGTAATTTATCGCGTCGAACCCGAACAAGTTGGTTCTCAAGGCTTCGGGCGCCGATCCGTTACAAACATTTTCCTCCTAAATAGTTACATTCATGTAAAGTCAAATTCCCACAGATTCTGTTTGAGTGCTGCGCCAATATATACATCAATGTAAAGGTTTTGCAAGTGAGATTGCAGCACTCCCCTGATCTTAAAGCAAATGCCAAGATCGTTTCTTTGTTACCTTTTCAACTATTATTGTACATGAATTGTGTTCAAATACTGCAGTAAATGTTACCTCATATTTTCTTTTATTTGCTTTGCAAGGAAATACAACAACAAATGGAGGAGCAGACAACAGTCTTTGTGCAAATAACATACAAATCCCAGCAGGAAGTTCCAAGACATATTCCTGTAGTCCCAAAGCATATGGCAGATATTTGTACATCAGAATACCTCGCAGGGAATTTTTGACGGTCTGCGAGGTTGAAGTTTATTCCTATCTTAAATCAGAAAGTAAGAGCGCTTTTCTTTCCTCCTGTTTATTTTATAGCTATGCATGATGCTTATGTGTTAAAAAGTTAAAGGTTAAAGGCTTGTTTATAGTGGAAATTGCACTTAGCTTGTCCAGCTAATTTACAGGCACTCCACTCAAATATTTAGAAACAAATAATTCAAATACAACATAACAAGATTAAAAACTGGCAGAAGGCAACCAGTTGGCTATTTACAAGCGTGGCCGAGAATTTGAACTCGGGACGACCGAGCACAAATCCAGCAAGTGGCCCGAGCGGAACTCGAACCCGGGACCGCCGGAGTACGAGTCCGACGCGCTGACCACTCGGCCACGCTGCCTCCTGTCTGTGTGTATGTGTGTGTGTGTGTGTGTGTATGTGTGTGTGTGTGTATCTTTTGTATCTTTTTTTTTGCCTTATACTAAAAACGTAATCAGTTTTAAAAATCGTTTTGTATAGTTAACATATAAAGAGTTTCTTTATTTTTTAATCAATCTGTTCATTTTTCTTTTGTGGTGTTTGCCTAATTTGATACAGTTATGTGATAAATTCCTCTTACCGAGAGAATTCCGTTGTTAACAACGGTTTCAACAGTGTAAAATATTTTAAATTCCCTTAAATTTAAGTTTACTAAGGTGCATTGCATTTTTTTTGTCACTTTACATCATTCTTAATATTGTCCACGATAATCAGCCGGGAAAACCTTGAGAAATAAAGGGGCGTCTTTTAGTGTATACTGTATTGTATCTTAAGCAGTATTCAGTGAATATGAATTGATTAAGTGTGAGGAAATTCGTGCCCCTTTCCCCGCTAGTTTCTCGGTGAGTTGCCGAAGTGTGCGATCACCAAATGACATAATACAAAAGGACACTGACAATACCCAAACCACAACAAGATACCTAACTTTCCGCCGCTGATCAGTAGTTACGCCCTGCTCGCACAGTGTTCCGCGCTTTTTTGGTTTCGGCTTAACATGGTTTTACTTTAAGCTCTGCTGATTTGTTCATTAGCTAGATTTGCCGGCGTCGTGATTGGTCGGAGTATTAGCTTTGGTTTGAATTCATACTACACTCATTCTAAAACCGCGAATAGGTTAAACTGGGCACCCTCACGTCGCTGTATATGAAGGAACAGCGGTCGATCCGAAGCGAGTATTTATTGAGCTTGTAAAGTGAAGTGTATGAATGGATGATGAAGCGGTCAGGAGCCAAGATGGACGTTAAATTTTAAGCTCACACTTCTTACCTTAATAAGTCGTTTTTCCACAGTCCTTTTATTTTGCGTGTCAAAAGATCGGGGTGGCCCCGGGGTTGCCCGGCCCACGGGCAACGCAAAATTTGCAAATGCCCCACCCCCGGGACTGACAAGGCGGGCAAATGCCCCGCATTAGCCCGGGGTTAGGGGCGCGGGGCTGGGCGCAGCTGCCTGTTGGCTGATGCATTAAGCGAAACCTTGAAAACCAAGTTCATCTCTTAGACGAGTTGAATTTTGAATTTAGCATTATAGGAGTTTCAGAAACTAAAATAATCAGCGGTAAAGAAATGGATTTCAATCCAAGCATATCTGGATATGTCTTCGAATATTTTCCGACACCTCTAGCCTCTCACATTGACAATTTGATTGTCTAAAGAGCCTCCTTTTGATAAAACAACATCATCAAACGAAAAAACCGATGTCTCTTTTACAGAGAAGTAGGCGCCAAAGGTAACTGGAATTTTTGACGAGAATCATGAGTTAACCCCTTCGAAAAAATGCAGATGTTTCGACCATAGTAAAATGACACTTTTATCGTCTAAAAAGACTCATTTTGAGAAAACAACATCATCAGACAACAAAGGTCTCTTTTGCAGAAAAAAAAAATGCTCGAAAGAAATTTGGAATATTTGACCAGAATCATTTGTTAAACTCTTTGAAAAAATGCAAATTTTTCGACTATAGTAAAATGACATTTATGTCGTCAAAAAAGCCTCCTTTTGGGAAAACAACATCATCAGACGACAAAAAGGAGATCTCTAAAATACAGAAAAGTAGGCTGGAAAGAGTCATTTGGAATTGTTGTTATTGTTGTTGTTTTTTTTTTTGGTAAAACAGGAAGGAACCCCAGATCAAAGCAATAACATTGTTCTACGTTAAGAATAATAACACGATAATAATTCTTCCTCCTTTTTTTCATAAACTTACTAAGTTTGAGGTTGTGTACTTTATATATTTTTTTAGGTTGTGTACTTGATCCAGTAGGAGTGTCGGATAGTAGCGTTATTTTGGATCAGAGGATTTCAGCTTCGTCATCTCTTAGAGGCCGCAGTCCATCTGATGGCCGATTAGAAGGATCCAATGCCTGGATTCCTGCCACAGACAATGACAACAATGATTTCCTGCAGATCGATCTAGGATCTCTTTACTTTGTTTGTGGAGTAACAACACAAGGAAATCCAAATAACGACTATTGGACAAAAACATACAAGATAAAGACGTCCCTGGATAATTTCGTGTGGACATTCTACTCTGAGGGTGGCTCCGAAAAGGTACTGTTAACATCCCTTTCTGCTGTAGGTGTAGTAATAGCGAAATTATAATCGTGGAGACACTAAGTAGTAAAGGATTGTGTTTACCTCTTAGCCTTGAGAAACCAGGATTTCACATGCCGAAGTTGCTTTCGTCCCCTTTCTCTCCCTTCCATTCGCTTTCCTTTCTCTTCGCTCATCTTCACCGTCTCTAGTTGCCCCCTTCTTTTCTTCCTGCCTCCTGCCTTGCTTTCTTTTTCCCCTCATTGCTACAGCCTTCCGTCCTTGGTCTCTCACTGTTTACATAGAAAACATTAAGGAAATAAGTGTAAAATGTAAAGAAACTGACATACACGTGCTCCTTTTAATATCCTTTGCCTTTTGTTCTGCCGGCGGGAGTCATCGTCAACGTAGTTGCAATCCTCATAAATATCGTTTGTTTATATGTTTTTTTTTTTCTGCTATTAACCGTGAGCGGGTAGGGTGAGACGTAAGATACGTTAAAATTTTTGACCGGTTGAAAAATTTGACCGGACACGGAACCGTTCAACATTTTCGCTTTCTTGACACGGAACTTACGAACTAGTTTGAGAATTTTTTTTTTCAGTTGTTTTTCCATCTACCCATGCCCAGAGCACTACTTCACGTGAAATCCAGTATGGCGTCTCCCAGCTGAGTTACCACGCATTCATGCAAACACGCCCTTGTACACAAAAATTTAGATGATTATGGTGTTCACACCTCTTGATTTTTCTCATTTCAAATGTTTGAACGGCTAGGCGTTCAAATTTTCGTACGGTTAGCGTGTTTCCGTGCGAATGAAACACCCAAACGCACGAATTTGTCTTTCATCAGCATCTTATAGAAATTTTTGTTAATTTGCTTTTAGATATTTACTGGAAATGATGACAAGAACAGCATTGTAAGAAGTGAACTATATGAGCCACTTGCTGCCAAGTTTATTCGTTTTTATCCAGTTACATTTCAGAACAGAAAAGCATTAAGGGTGGAGGTGTATGGATCTAAGCAAGGTTGGTCTCTTAGTACATACCCAATACATGCAGTTCAAAAGATAACCATAGCATTAAAAAAATGCACTTTTTCTGAGTGTCAATGTATTTAGCAAGAAAGTAGTGATAAGGGACACTATTTTTTACGGGACCGCCACTTTACGTGGTCATCCGAGCCACGCGAAGGTGTACCTGTTGCAGGGCAAAGGGAGTACCCTTCATTTCTCAGTTATTTTAAGACCTTGTGTATTGATCCGGCCCCGGGAATCGAACCCGCGACTTCCCGCTCCGCTGTCGAACGCTCTACCGACTGAGCTAACCCTGCCGCTGAATTCTGGTTTGTAAATACGATGCAAGGAAACTGACTCAGTGACCACTTAGTTCAGTGCTCAGTTTTAATAGGGAGGTTAAGCATGCATGCAACCACGACGGCGACGGCATCACAAACCTCACTTGTAAAAGCATAGGCGCTCTTTCAAATTTCATCGCTTTTGTTTCATCACGCTAAATTTGTCAAATGTTAGAGAATTTTTCGCGAGTTGAGTTCTAAAGGTCTGTATCTCAGTTTAAAAAAAGAAAAAGAAAAGGAAAATCGTTGTCTTGTGTTCACAATCTCAATGAAACGTGAAATTAAGAAGTTTCACGTCGTTGTCGTGCAGTGACGGCAAACAAATAAAAATACCTAATGCACGCGCAAAGTTGTTGTAAGTTTTGCTTATCTAAGGCCTCGTTCACGCGTATCCTTTTTTGTTTGAAAACGGATATTTTTTCCTCCGGTTGAGCCTACCCTCCACACCCACTAATGCACTGAAATTGGTCACCGAAAACGCACCTTTTCAAAAACCCTCTCCCGAGTCTAGATTTTTGAAAACGTCGGCTTTTCTTTTACGTGTGAACGGACGAAAACAGTTTCGAATTCGGAATACAATGATGTCATACATCATATACTTCGATTCTAGCATAACGCATGCTCAATAATGAAGCTATGGTATTTCCTTCACCGGCGAAAAACGTCTGATTGGTCGACGCGCGACCACGTGACATTGCCAAATTCAAAATGGCGGCAATACCTGTATCGTTTGTTTATTTCAGTGGAAAGAAGATTAATTGCGGCTTAATATGAGTTGTAAATGCATAAAATTATAGGGATATTTTTAGAATAGCCTAGAATTTTTAATATCCTTTTTCACTTATTCCTGTCTTCCACATGCAAACCAGCGATCTCAACGTCAATAACACTGAATCAGACCATGCTAATGCGATTTTTCGCCAGTTTCAGGACGCTATATTCTCTAGAAAACACACTTACGTCAAAACTTTGACCAAAATAATTTTTGATCTCTTACAGTGGCAAGAAATTGCAACGCTGTCACTGCCAAAAAAGCCACCATCGCTTCTTTCATCTCAACAACATTTCGTGGGCGTTTTTGCCTCGGAGCCAATGACATTGCCCGAAATAGATCACGTGTCATTTTTAGTAGAGCATGCGCAGACATTTTTCGCCGGTGAAGGTATTTCCATCGTTTTAGCGTTTTCGTGTGGATGTGTCTACGATTCGAATATGCTACGTGTGGTTACGTATTTGTTCGAAAACGGAGGAAAAAATCTCCGTTATAAAAAATATCCGGATATCACTGCCTGACCAATCTTTGTACATATATGCTCATTTCACGTTTTCTTGTTTCCTCTCTGTTTAGTTTTCTCCTTTACTTTAGAAACAGAGTGCTTTTATAAATTGGATTCACTATACTGATTTTGTCCCTCCTCGTTTGTTTCCTTCTTAGTCATTGTAACTAATATGGGGCGGATAAAAATTTAAAAAAGCGTTCAAAAACTCATTATAATTCACAAAGAAAAAACAAAAGAAATTTTAAAAGTTTAATGAGTGACTTTACAGGGACATCCAATGACTGTTTTCTGTAAAATCTGTTCGGAGAAGCAAAAATTGCCCAGAATTTTTTAGATGACCTTTCCTTTCATGCACAATTTTCGAAGCTTATCTAATAAATTCCCTTCGATTTTATGTATTTCACTCCCCAGGTTAAGCCTTGTTTTTAGAAGAGAAAGGAAAGTTAAACCTAAAATTTTTGGAACCAAAAGTGCGACGCAGAGAAAAATTCTAACCTTCGTAAAACTCTAAATTGCACCTAAAATTTTCGGGAAAATAATGCTAAAGCCCTTGTAATTTCGAAAAGACTCAAGCTGCCCTAAGATAAACAAACAGATAAAAATTTTTAGCTCTACTTAGAATACATTTCTAGAGATCTAAAAGTACTGTGGATATCCTAAAAAGTGTTGTCAATGCATTTAGGAGGAAACCGTCGTTGGGTGCCCCTGTCTTTATATCTGATAAAGACACGGCTAAACTTTACGTCCAATTTTGTAGACCAAAATCGACCCCAAATTTAAATATCAGTGTAAGAGTGAGTTGATCTATATCAGAGATTTTGAAGTCGTTCAAAAACTCGCAGTCTGTGTCTGATCAGGGTTAAAACCTGATAATCGAAACTGCTCGTTTTTTAAACAGCACACAAAAATTCTTAATAAAAATGCCATATTTCTTGATGTTTTTACAGGTTGCTTTGAATCGTTTAAGAATGAACGATTTCAATCGACCAGGGATTTTACAATTACAGCATCCTCAGAACTTAGTAGTTATCGAGCTGATTATAGTCGCCTTTATGGTATTCGTGGTTGGTGCAGCTCTTCAGCATCCCTACCTCAGTACTTACAGGCTGATTTCAATAAACCTGTAACAGTCACAGGCGTGGCCACTCAGGGAGATGCTCTAAGGAACAACTGGGTGACAAGCTATTTAATCCGCTATGGATATGATGGTAAAACATGGATTAGTTACGGAACTGGACAGGTAAATTTGCAACATGTATTCATATATTTGTGTGCATTTGCTTAAAGGGAACTCCAGGAGTTTTTCCCCGACATTTCGGCTCGTTTACTTTACTTTACTCAAGCTGCAGTAGGCATTAAATCAGGCTCATCCTCGGTGTAAAAACCTTTGAAACTCACGAGTGACGTAAAAAAATGAATACAAAGAAGCCACTGAGGAGCCAGCACAATCGAGCCAAGGAAAATATTAACTAGAAAACAAAGAAAAACTTCACGGGTTTTTACACCGAGGTAAACCCTAAAATCATGTGCTTATAATGCTGTTTACATCTTTGTTCAACCTCCCCTGTCCCCCTGGCCCTTCACGACCACCACTACCTGCGATCATTTCCCATAATTCCTATGTCCATATGATAAAACAATCCTATTTGAAATCAGCGTACGCGATAAAAGTTGTTTTTTCTGGTCGGTTAATTTCCTAGTTTTGTGTTTTGGCTGTCTGGAGCAAAGTTTTCCGGAAAGCATTATTAAGCCTTATGACTGAACAAGTCTCACGATTGGCAATCGTCCAATTTCCGTCGTCCAGTCTGTTACCGTATTTCGTCTCATTTTGGCTACATGGGTGAAAAACTGACCTCGGGCCCGAGACAGAAAATTATCACATTGTGAACTTTGTTGTAAGCGGTGACGAGTCTCTGGCCTCAAAACTTAGGTTGTAGGAGTCGAACAATGCACCAATGTTTAGTCCTACATTGTCCGATTACAACCTAAAATTTGACGCTCCTTAATGAACCTTAATGAACCTTTAACATGAGCCTCTGGCTCGGAAGATTGTGTAAACACTTCCCACGTCTTCGACATTAAATAACCTATATTTGTACAGTAACTGTGTGTGACTATCTAATGTGCTAAATATTCGAAGCAAATACAGATTCATTCACATCTATAAGTCTTTTACACTTTCGAGTAGACTTCAAGCGAGTAAAAACAAAATCACACAACCTTTTAACTAAAGGATGTTTAAATCTTATCTTTTGTCAGACATAATGAGTAGACAGATCAAACAGAGAAGATTATTACTTTAAAGCTGAAGATTTACTTAGTGCTTATCCCTGACAACTTTTCTTATTTGTCCGTTAATTATCGGAACTTCACTCGAGGAACGGGCCCCTGAACGGACATTTGCAACCCCAGTTAGGGTGACTCGTCCCCAGTCACGAGAAGCGTGTTCGAAGGGAGCGCGAGGGGTGATGTGAAGGAAAAGCAGAAGAATTCCTCCTTCCCATCACCTCTAGTGCTCCCCTTCAGTCGGTTTGACAATATACCACACAGATTGTGGTCTCCTGTAAATAAAATTATTTGTATATCTCCACTTACTTTGTTCTTGATCTACCACTCAGCATTTGATTGGAAACAGCGACAAAAGTACCATTGTTGTCCACTGGTTTGCTCCCCCGTTTGCAGCGCAGTATGTCAGAATATTTCCCAAAACATATACTGGTGCAATATGTATGAGACTGGACTTGTTTGGCTGTAAGGATTGTAAGTATAATTTGTTAGAGGGGGATTTATAAAAATTTAAATTAATGGGATACATGTGCTGCCGTATACAGCCAATAATTAATGGTAATAATAATTAAAAATTTATAACGCGCCTTTTCCATGCAAATATGATCGAAAACGCTATACAATGCCCTGAATATTAAAAAAGAAAATAAAAGCTCAAATGTACGTAGCAATTTAAGCTAAAAAGTAAATTAAGCCTAAAAATTTGAATAATCAAACGAGCTTAATCTTGTCAATCTTAGTATCGCACGCAGCCGTTTTTGTCTCGTCACACAACTCTCCTCCCCATCTTGCTTCCTCGGTTAACCAATGAGAACAAGGAATGTGCCTCATCTTGCCAGCTAGCCACATAATAAGTACTTTAGTGCTATTTGGTATGATGCAGCACTTTCTAGCCTGCGTAAAGGAAATGGGATTAAGACATTTACTGGCAGGCTAACTGCTGTCGTCGAAAACGGCGCAATCTGCATTTAAGAGTGAACGAAGTTTGTATCGTAATGCAAACCTTTTTGCCAGTAGACAGTGTTTGTATAGGTTGTCCTACAACTTCGAGTTCAATTTTCAATTTACTTGCACGAGTGTGTTTTTCAAAAAAGTATCAAACGGGCAAAAATTCACCGGATCAAAATTCGTCCACAAATCACCCCCACAATGCAATTCGATTGACACATCACCTGAACCCAGTCTCACGCGCAACCTCAAAGTGGCCAATAAAGATTTGCGGCACCTGATTGGTTATTAAACAATTCTATTGTTTTTTTGCCAATCACAGTGGTTCATTCTCTGAGAATTGAATTATATTTCCTCGTTTTTGCACCCTGCTTACTTATAGGCTGTTCACAGTCCCCTATTTTTCCGTAAGTTCATCGAGATCGACCGCTCTGCATTACTGGTGGCCATATATCTTGGATTTGTATTAAATCTACTTTCTCGCCTCTCTTCCCCTACATAAACTCCACATGCTATAAACCCCGGCTCGATCTTGAAAATGCATTAGTGCTCTCAGCAAATCAGATTCAATAAACCTAATGGAGTGTAAAATTAAGGAATTATTGTATTTCATAAGTTTGCCTAAGTTATTTCTTGTCGTCTTTATATTGATTATTCGCTTGTCTTTTTCAGTCGAAGTTTCGTTGCCGTTAAACATTGGTCTCGATGATGTTCGTTTGATAGCCGACCCTAGTGAATCTGTCACCCTGACCTGTGTGTCTAGTTACAGCCCTCGACAACCCTCTCGGTATAGTTGGAGCAGAGATGGAACGAGGCTGTCTGACACAACCCCCTTTCTTACCATACCATACAACAGTGCCAGTAATATATACAGTAACTCTTGTGCAAGAAAGCTCCTTTCAGCCAGTGAAGTCCAGTGTAATTCAACCTATGAATGTTCTACGTCACTTTCTGGAATACAAGGCAGACATCTGACCACTGCAAATGTTATAGTGTTCTTAAGTAAGTAACAATTTGTGCGTACCTTGAAACTCCTTTTTGCTCGTTATTGTGTATGTGAAAATTAATTTAATATTCGGGAACACGCAGTTTTCAGTAACTAGGATAATTTAATTCCTTTATAAGGACACGAAAATATTGCATTCCAACAATACATGAAAGTAAACGGTTACCTTATTAGGTGAAAGAAGTACTTTCTAAAAAAAACCCTCAACTTTTAACGTATTTTTAGTGTGTGACGTATTTCTCTAAAAAAAATATTATCCCTTTTTTTCAGTGCGCGCGTTTGTTAATTTGTTGATTTCGTCACTTTTTTAACGGTTTAAGGGCTGAGTATTACTTAACCTTATAAATTAGGCTCATTATGAGGCACATTTTTGCTGTTTTCAGAGAAACCAGGTCAGCCAGCTGTTCAAGTTAATCAAAGTGATGTTAAAGCAAGATCAACATTAGTCACATGGTCGTATAGTCCTGGTGTGGATGAAATGCCTGTTACTGGCTACAATCTTGAGTATCGAAATAGTACCACTATAGATGATATATCTTTGGGAGCTGTATTAAGAAAACAGATTATCAACCTCAAGCCATACACATCCTACAGTGTAAGGTTGATAGCCACAAGTGCCTTAGGAAAGGGTCTGTGGAGTAATTTCCAGAATTTCACAACAAAAACTGCCCGTAAGTGACGATGCAAATTAGATGCAGTGCTAATAGAGGATATTATATGGCCGCGCGGAGATACGAAATTTCTCTTCGAGTGTTGAAAAATTCAGAAATACAGATTCTACGGTTATTAATCGTTCTTTCTAGGCCAAACCAGTGTAATAATCGTAAAATACTACATTTTCAGTTTATTAAACGTAAAAGACGTAAATTTACGGTTATTATAAGTGGAACTGTACGATTATTAGTTAGTCCATCAGCTAGGGGGGTTGTATGGCTCACTGAAAGGGAACAAACAAAACATGCATAATCTAAATCTTTGAGTAAGAAACATCACAAAAATGCATGACAGCTAGTATAAAACGGCAGCTTTCACTTTGTAAATCGAATTTTAAATTTGCCACTTAAACCCTTACTTTGGTCGCCATCTTGGATTTATAAACAAACCTTTGATTCCATCTTAATTTAAACAATTTTTTTAACGAAGATTTGAACAACCGCATTTTCACCAATTCCTCTTCTTTGGACTGGTTTTCGCCTAATTAGCATGGCTAAAAGAATGGCTAAAAATGAATTTTGCATCAAACAAAGGCATATTTTTCCGACTAATCGCGTAATTAAACAGCTTTTTTTGTTTTTCACGCATGTGCACAATTCAAAATTTTGACTTTGTTATTTGCGAATCTATTTCGATCTTTCTCTATCTCTTTCTTTTTTTTTGCCTTTCTTCTATATTAGCAGTTTTTTGCTCTCTTTATCGTCTTTTTTTTTATAGATTCGTGGCTAGCCAACTTTTGAGGAAAGGAAAATATTTAATCTTCAAAGAGTCGCAGATAAACCGCCACACTGGCAGTGGATTTTTCCTCAAAATGTTACCTTTTCTATAAGTGTAACGTTGTTAGGATTAGTCAGAATATCCAAAACGAGATATCGCTGGAAACGTTTTGTGACGTTGTTGCTTACAAATTTATTAACTTATATAAACTGAAAGCTAAATTGGTCTAGGAAGGGAAACGTGCTTGATCATGCATCGTTCCATATGGAGTGATAATGACCAAAGCAGTCGTCGAAAGTTTAAGGCCGTCGGGATCACAATGCTAGAAGAACATGTTTAGAGCTATTGTAGCTTCGTTTTCTACGGGAAGTACCTCTACCAAGAGGCAATAAGGCACAAATAAGAGCAGATAACATGCTCCGAGGGGGGGAGGGGGAGGGGGCTGGACTTAAGGGAAGTCTTGAAAGAGCTGTGCCGCCGAGACCTTCAAAACTCGACACTGTTTAAGATTCTGACATTCACTTGTTTTGCTTTACATGAAAAATCAAATAGTTTTTCAAACTAACACCACAGAAATAAATACTATGGAAAAAAACCCGAAAATCGTTCTAAAATATGGAGCGACTAGAAATTTTCTACAAATTTTTTTCTGCACGCTGTCATGATTATGCTAATTGATTATCATAATTAACATAATCCTTTGGCTACTTCACTAAGACTCTTTGTTTCCTCGATTCCCAAAAAAATATCAAGTAAGAGACAAGCAGACATGAATTTGCTGATAGAATTCATCAAAATAAGCAAGAAATTGGCGGCGAAAAGCGAAGCGAAGGCAAAACGGGAAGGAAATCGTCGCCGTTTCAAGAACATGAGGCACAGAGTTCGGCGATCGGCGATTTGCATGCACAGATTCTAAGTGTTTCCTTACCTCAATTTTCGCGTTTATTTTGCTTGTTATCCTCCAAAATCCTTCAGAATAGTTTGCTTGACTTGTATTAGGTTGAGATTCGTCGATACAAGGTTCCATACTTCGGAAAACCGGCTCAAAAAAATTGGCCCGCGACTCGCCATAAAATTCAAAATTTTCGAAAGCTCGGTGTGTCACGGTCAAAAGTCCACAGGGGACTGGAACTAGGCAGATGATTGGCTAAATCTATTAACTTCCTTAGTGCCAAATTTGGGAGCAATCGGAAGTAACGCAATTTTTTGCGAAGGTGCTGACCTCATGGGTCCTCAAGCTCCCATTTCACCGACCCCTGAAGACAGTGAGTTTTACAGTCAAACCAGGTCAAGCGTTCCCCCCAAGAATCCATTAATGAATTTGTTATTCAAAAGTTGAATCCGTTGCTAGTTGTAGATTTCAGATTGATCTCTGCATTCTTGTATGTGTAATGAGCCGTGAATTCACACGCGAGGCAGTTATGAAATTTCTACCAGCTCCATTTTCCTGAAATTGATGTAAATGTCTTCTAAGAAGCTTAATCCATTCAAAGATTTCCAATCTGACCAAATACAGAGAAGTTCTCGTAAAATATTCACTGCTCATTACGCATGCAGAAATGCCGCTTTGAATTTGACACCAGTTACGGGAACGACTAACGGATTCATTTTTCAAATAATCAATTCACTGATAGAATCTTGGGGGGTACGCTTGACTTGGGGCGTGTTCCTTTCGGAGAATCCAAAAACGGATTTTTACGCGGGATGACGTAGTCAGCCAGCGTCTAAAATTCGGTAGCACATTCCTTTCGTCGTCTTTGGAGTCAAAAATTGCCTTGTTTTTTTAACTTTCCCGTATCCCGTGCCCGTCCCGAAAAATTGTGTGGATTTTTATTGGCCGCAACGTCGAAGCACGTGCAAGTCAGGCTGGATTGCACAAGCCGGAAAAAGATACTGCGTCAGCAAAGGAGGGAAAAGTAAGGTCACCGTGTAGAGGAGGACGAAGACGCAAGGCCGTGCTCTTAATACGGCGCAAGACTTGGCCTCGGGCGACTGAAAATATTGTCTAGGTGGCCCAGCCGGGCGACTTGCTGGTGTTGGTTTCTTGTCTCTGTTGAGTTACAGTCAAAAAGCTAAGAATGTCTAGAATTTATTGACTTTAGCTCTCTCGGTGGCTTCGCGGCCTTATATAAAAAGAACGCTCCGCTCGCTAAGAAACTCTTGAGGTCGACTTGTAAGTAGCAATAAGAAGCATGTCTATCAAAAAACTTTAGGAAAATGTTGTTAAATCGGGCAGCGGGCACGCGTTGATGTTCAAAGGTTGTTTCACGTGAATTCACATGTAACATAATCCTTGACTATGAACGTGACAAGCTGCACAGTTTTCGATAGTAACAGCTTTTCATAATAACATTGAAATTTTTTCTTCAAATTACATTCGTTCATTAGTTAGTTTTTCAAAACAAATTGTTACTTTTGCTCTGACAGGCGTGAAGTACGGTCGGCGACGCAAAACAATATTTTTGTATTTTGAAAAATCGCTGAATAAACAAGGGGTCGGTCTTTTATGTTCTTTAAATATTTTTACCTTTTTTTACTGCTGTGTCTGCGAGGCTAAAACATAACTAAGATTGTTATTCCAGTAAAATACGATGCATAAAAAAGAAAAGAGACGGCTATAGTAATTGTGATTGTTCTAGAATGGGGAATAAATCCCGCATTGTCTTTCGTGTCGTGACAAGGCATTACGTATCACGTACTAAAATAAATACGCAAAAGCTAACCGAATCTACATTTGTCCCGAACATTTCACCGGTAATATAGAAAGAAAATACTTCCGTTTTGCGCTTAAACGACGACTTTACAACAAGATAATCTATTCAAAAGAGATAATGGTTTTAGGGCGGGGGGGGGGGGCACTTCCTTATAAAGAGGCTAATGGAGATGTGCCGCTGGATGAGGTCGCATTTTCACGACTAGATTGACTATTAATGGGGTTGCATTTTCAAAAGAGTTACTACTTTTGGGGGTAAGAGAGCTGTGCATATTTACGGTTAGCAAACGTATCAGGATATTTGTACTGTAGGTGAAAAGTAAAGTGTTCTTCATTCAGTTTATTAAAAAAATGGGTCAATTCATTTTTTGATGACCTATTTAAAGGATTGATAAGTTAGATGCGTAAACAGAAAGTGACTAAGTTGGGATCGCAAAAATTACATATTTGCCCAAGAGTGACTAATGTGGGGTCTACAATTGGCCACAGAAAAGACTATAATGGGGTAGGGGCTCTGAGAGGCCAGCGGCACACACCCAGCAAAAATTAACGCAAGTAACCCCCCGGGGGGTGCCGCGGTTTCGTTGAAATCATAACAGTTTTCCTGGAAAGCTCCACGGGATCTCAGTCAATCTTAATAAGCGAATTTTCTTTTCAACCTAAATCAAAATGATTAGTAAAAAGAATAGTGCCCTTATTTTTGACCCCAAATTTACTTTGCAATTTAAAAAACATGAAATGTTCGGCGGCATTGTCCATGTTTCTCATATGGCGCGAAAACTTACTTTCATATGACAACGTGCCGGTTTTTTTTTTTTTTCGCACGCTCAGGAGGTCAAAGGGATGTGATTTTTCATGAAAAAAATATTCACAGACTTCTGCTTGACTTGTTAAGAAAATAATTTGTTTAATTTTTAATAATTAACTAACAGCTCATTGATTTATTAATTTGGGCGACAAACTTGGAGGCCCCGGGCACCCCAGCTAAAAATGCTTCGGGAGCCAAAAGGGCTCCCTGAAGTTTTCCCTAGAGCACTTCCTTGAAGCCCTGTAGTTATTGGAAGTATGATACATTACATGCTATTGTTAAATGTGGAAGCGCATTTTTTGAGAACATTAGTAAAGGAATGCAAATTTTAGTGAACTACCCCATACTACTAAGATATATGGTGGTAATATTGATGTAAGTTTTGTTTTGAGTAGCAAAGGAACCCTTGTGTGTAACTCATCTTCTAGTGTATTAGTCCTTAACAGAACATCTCCGTCTCTCCTGCACACATTTGTTGCATACACTGCACAACTTTCCATTGCCATCCAACATACCCGTAATTCTTTCTTAAACCCACACATCCCGCGTAAACGCCTTCGGGCGTCTTCTTGTTGATCATAGATTTGCCAGATTTCGCGGTCGAAAGGAACGTGAAATCCGAAATTGGATTTGTAACCTTGGTAACCTTTCGCCAACGCGTGCAGTATGCACGACAGCCTCTCAAAAAATGACGTGTTTTCTACTCTTTGACAAATTATGCGATTATACCGTGCGAATTTAGTGGTCGGCAGTTCGAATAGCGACGATTAAACATATAAGACAGACAAAGAAAGAAGCGCATTAAAATTGAAAATTATCTAAAGAATGTCGCCAGTTTGATCCAGTTCCATTGCTCGGATTTTTTTATGTAACACGATCGAGTGCCTGTCGCGTCTACAAGCGAATTTGTAGTTAGATAGCAGTCCATTTGTTACTTTTACTTATTTCTGATTTCAAGCAATCCTTAGAGACAAATGGTTAGTATATGGATTTTTTAATGTACAAGGAACAATCTTCCAGTGTTTTCAGATGTTTTGCGGCAAATGACAGCAACGAGGAAACTCTACGGCCTCTATGGGAATACTTCAACTGGAAATACCGCTGGATCATCTGACTAATTTCGGATCCACTGTGAATGGAACAGCGTAGATCACTAATCCGTTAATCTGGATTTGGATTCTTCGGATTTCAAATCCAATGAATCCTTTTTCAAAAAGGATTCACCAGATCAAAAATTCGGATTTGGATTTGCCGAAAGGAACGCGAAATCCGTTCATAGATCTAAAATCCCTTTTTGGATTCACCGAAAGGAACACACCCTTGGTTTGACTGTAATCTTGCCTAAAATATTGGGGTGTTAAAAGATCTCTTAAAAAGGTCATGAAATCGGCAGTGAAACACGTGAATATTTTTATCATACCTATATTGGGAATCGTTCATGCGCAAAGTGGCCCTGGTTGTTAACTTGGACGAAGGTATCGCAAATCGCCTTGTGTCTTTTTAAAAGTGTAGTGTTAAAATGGTTGCTATGCCTTTGAAGATCTGTCAAGTTACAACGAGTGTGCTTCGCTTCGATTTAAGCAAGAAGTTAAATATTCCTATACAGTGGCCTTCCGGTGTAATCAGGTCAGTTTCTTTCATTAAAACACTTACTTGCTTTCAATGATGTGATAAACACGTGTTGATATACGTGCACATTTAATATTCTAGGCCGTTGCGCGAAGGGTTTGTCTTGAAATCACTTGTCATGAAATCATATTTGGATATTTTTGCTGGCCTTGTTGGACTCAAATGCCGCTTTTTCAATGTGATCGCTTCGCTTTTCATCGCTAGCCGGATTAAAAAGAGAGAACTTGTCAGCAATCGAGCGGAGATCGTAGCGATTTTGATGTAACGATTGAGTTGAGAGGCATGTATTGGATTTGATCAACACCTTAATCTCAATGGATGACAATAGTACCCGTTACATTTTGCTTCCTAATGACATAATTTGTAAACTAGAGGTCTTGCACGATCCAGTGCCGAGTTTTGTATCTCGATCGCTGCCGTATTGCCAAGTTGTTGGTTTATAATTGTAGTGTGTACTTTTTTCAAGCTGTAATACTTACCTTATTATAGGAAATTAACGCTCCATGAAATTAAGGTATTGGAAATTAACGCGACTTAAATTAACGCGAATTTAATGGGAAACGACTTTCGAATAAAGAAAATTAACGCGAAGGAGGAGGTAGAATTTCATAATAAAGGAAATTAACGCGATTAATTACGCGAAATCAAAGGAGAAGATATTGACATCACTTCTGACAGCGACAACGATGGAGATGAACACTTTCGCCTTAGCTTTTGTGAAAGATGAAAAATAACGGGTAAATGGAAAGAAAGAAAGCTTGTAGTTAATGTTTTTTAAGTGTCAAGAATGTCTGGACAGGTTCCAAAATTGGGGTTAAAATACTGGAAATTAAGAGCGCGGAAATTAACGCTGCACTTAATTAACGTCGCGGAAGTTAACGCTCAACAAAATTAACGCGACTTTATAAATTAACGCGAATTTTAACGATTCGCGTTAATTTCCTATAATAAGAAAGTTATTAACTTATAATTTCAATCGAGTTCACCTAGAAATAGATTTACAAAATCGTTTTCATGATTAAATAGGTTTAGATGAACATCTTATATGTCTATCAGTAAAGAAAATAAATTGAGACCGATGTTTGAATGCTGAACGGCCGATCGCGTTTGAATATCATTTTTCGTTTTTAACAACTTGAAAATTAAGTCATCTAATTAAAACAAAATTTATTGAAAATGAAAAAAGGGTTTTAAAAAAGAAAACCAGCAAAAAAAAGAAAAGAAAAGAAGAAGAAAAAAAGAGAAACTTGTCCCCTACGAGATTTGAACTTGCGCCTTTGCACACGAAAAACAGAAAAGAATACTGAATAAATCCACTCGACCACGCCAGCAAGCGCTGAAAGTTAGGCTTAAAAAAGGTTAATATTCCATCTTTACAATGATTGACAGTTTTCAGGAATAAGTTTTTAGGTTTTTTATACAACTATGGAATATATTTAACTGAACTTAACTAGACAAAAAGTTAAAAAATAAAATTACCTTCATTTGAAAGAGTCGACTGAACTTGATAAAAAGGTCTTTCACGACATTTCTCCGTACGTATCTTGATGTACTGCTGAGTTGAGAATATCGAGCAGTGTAAAACCAAAAAACTTAATATTTTGATATGACTACATCATTTTAAACCCTAATAATTTAATAACCACAAAACTGGCTTTTTTTCTGTGGCCCACGTCTGCTAAACTAAGAGCGATGACGAGCGAGAACAATCCCATCCCATTTTGAAGCCTCGCATCGATCACAGTAGACTTGGAAAATTGTTCAGAATGCTGGTTTTTCATAAGCAATTTTGGTTATTACTTTTGGCGAAAGGAAAGCTTGACCACTAAAGACTTTAGGTAAATAAACCTTGGAAAGAAATGAGAGAGTGATTAGAAGACTCTGCTCTGGATATTTTCGACCGTAAGGGCGGACGGAGCAAGAATGATCCGGCTTAATTTAACTTTTAATCTAAAATTTAATAGTCTAGAAATACGCATACGACTAATAATCGTACAATTCCACGTATAATAACCGTAAAGTTTCGTCACAGGACGAAATAACGTGTTTCCGTATTTTGTAAACTCGACTGAAACGTGAAGTTGCTTAAATCCGTCTCGTTTCCGCCCCGGCGGAAAAATGGTGATCTAGTTTTCCATGGACGAGACGCGTTTCCGTTATGTTTCCGAGTCGGAAACGAACGATCATGTTTCCGCCACATTTCTGTTATCACATTTCCGTTCTTTCTTGTTTCCATTACGTTTCAGATGACGTTTTTATTAAACCCATGTCCAAGATCGCATGATAAATGTTTCAGAAATTTTGCCTTTGCGTACAATGAAGGTGAATAAAGGTAAATTTACTCTTGAGATCGGGCCATTAAACGGTCAGGCTCTTGCATCAAATGCTCGCGCGCGTTGCATTGATGCAACGACTGTGAAGTGCGCGAGGTTGCCACTGTTTTCGATTCTAAGTGATTAAAATGACAGAGAATACCAACAGCTGTCGATAGTTGCCAGATTGATCTCAATCAGTACTGGCATAAAAATAAAATGATCTTAGACATCTTAGGCTGAGAAAACAAGACAGAATAGGGAAAATGGGTCCTAGAACAGAGCGGAGTGCTGGTCAGTGGACGCGTCTTTTGCTCATGCTCATTGCGGTCGTTCTTTTTGGCGTCCATTTTGAAAGTGATTGCAACGGCTTCAAAGTTGCCAGCTTCTGTAGGTTCTAGGAACGTGGAGTCTGTATATTTTTGCTTTCCTATTGCACCACAAGACATCTAAGGGTTGTTATGTATATTTGACGACCCAACGGCCTTCAGTAATCGATCGCTTCCCTCGTAAAGCGACCCTTTTCTGACACAGTTGAGTAGGATATGAGACAAAAACCTCGTGATGGCCAAGAATAATTTGAAAGCTGGAGTGTTTGATTGCGCTAAGGATATCCAAGACTGAATATTGTGATGGAGAATACTGATAGCACGACGAGGTAAGCTACCCTGATACCAAATCTAAGCTTCTTTAACCACTGATCAATAACTACTAGTACTTAGCAACTTAAAGAAGCAGTGTCACGAAATTTGTTAAAACTACAGCAGTGGAAACCACCACCAATCTCAGTGGAACATAAAAATACTGCTCAAAACATGAAAAGAAGTTTTAAGTAACAAAGCAAAGAGCAAGAGTGAGTACAAATAAAGATTTTTGTTAGTGTAAAAATGAGGAACAGATGGACAGACTTAAAGAAAATTGAAAAGGATGGCAATTTGTCCTTTTGAAACTTGTTAGCCTGACAGTTTTCCAGATTTCATTTTTGTGGTCTTCAATGTTTGATATAATGCTTGGGAGTCATGTTTGTTGACACAAGTAAGTAATTTCTCAAGTTTCATTTCCAATGCGGTATGGACATGTGTAAGTGTAATTACAGTTGATTTCACATGACATTACTGCACCACGTTGCAAAGTTCGTTGGCAAATTGGATACTACGTTGCAGAGTAGCCAATACCATGGCGAGTTAGGGAATCAAATTGCGAACTTTGAGACGTAGTTGTCAACTTTGGTGCTACTGAACTTCATAACTTCATATCTTTTTTTAAAAACAGGAAACTACAACATAATGAACCCGAATCCTTTTCCTAAACAGGGCAAGGGTTACCGTGTGAGGCCTGTGAAATGATTGATTGTAGACAAATGGTTAGAGGGTTCGAAACCATTCCAAATAGTGCACCAGTTTAATTTACCGAGTAAGACAGAAACAAATATCGTCGATCAATTTGTGCATACAGGAAGGCCCTACACAGAGTTTTGTGATCGGCAAAGATCAAGTACAGTATGTATACTACGGAAATACAAAAACAGTTCATCAAAAATTAGGTTATTGACCCGCAAAGGTTCAATTAGTCGAGTATTGACACTCGATTTGGTTTACTCATACAAAAAGTTGACAATATTTCCAAAGGAGTGCTTATAATATAATAATGCTTTACTGAGAATGCTCAAGAAAAGGTTGAAGAATATTTAGATGTTTGCAGTAACTGTGATCCCAGGAATAGGGACTGTTTTGACAAGAACTCAGTGATTAACGCAACTGGGAAAAGAAGTTACGGTTAATAAACTGAAAATGTAGTATCTGTACTCCAAAAGTATTTTGACACTCCAGAAATAAATTGACATCTGTTTCTTATAATATCATGGGTGACAAATTACTTCTTAATTTTTGCGCGAAATTTGAGCTTTAATTTATAATTTTACGTGTGAAATTGCAAAATACCAACGTTTCGTGCATCTCAGTGCCAAGATGGCGTCCAAGTTTAAAACTGTTAGTGAGTGAAGATGTCAAACATTAAAGACACTTTAGAATAAACGCACAAAAGAGCACACCAAAAAGGAACCTGTCAGGTATTTTGTCGAAAAATTCTAAAAATTATGAACATAAGTCACAATTTAAGGTCTAAAAGTTTCAGCGCATGGAGTTCTCGATCGATACGATTAAACAGAATGTCATGTCAAAAACCCACGATTGTGAGCATAATTTGTCACCTGTGATATTTATAGGTAATCAGATAATTACGGGATAATTTCACTTGCGTTTTGTTCAAATCCTAATAATTTTGGCTCGGGAAATTTGTAGAATTTTGGATAAAACGCGCGTGAAATTATCCCCATATAAAGAATAAAGAAAAAAATAACTTCTTAGGGGACCTGTGTTAGAGACGATATTTTGATTGTTAGTGAAATCTAGCTTTTCAGACTTTTAACTCGAGTGTTTGTTTGTTTGCCGCAGCTCCTCCTCCTCTGGTGCCGATATCCCCTCCTGACAAAGAGGCAATCCATAGCAACTCATTTAGAGTTAAGTTGGCAAAAGCTTCTGATGAGAATGGAAAAGTCAGGTATGAAAGTCATCGCACTTTCCAAGGTGTAAAATTTCAACACTATAAACTCTTCAAAATGCGCATAAATAGAATTGTAAAACAAAATTGAGCACAAGTGAATTCAACACTTATTTGAAACGTTACTCTGACTCGCTACTTTTGACTGACGCAAAATAACCTGTCAACTTGCCAGACTTCCGGTTAGATTAGACGAGCGCAAAAATAGAAGCGGGCGAACACGATAAGGCAAGCGAGTGAAAAACGGTGGGAAGACAGAATGGGGAGAGCCTCTACTCTGCCCACTTCCAGGAATCAAAATGTCAAATGCCAAAATGTGCGGTGTAGGAGGTTTCTACACGCCATGTTCGTTTGACTCTGCGCGCGCATGGGGCATCTCCTGTCCGTCAATTCTGTTTTTTATACTGTTGGTTCTTAATGCCTACACTGTAGTTCTTAGCAGCTGTTAATCGTCCCCTGTTTTTTCTATTTCTTTAAATCTTTTCCTTCAGTCAAACTACTAACTAGAGCTGTACTACTACAGTGTAAATGTTAAACTAAGATTTGCGCCTGTAATCAAAAAGAAAATTATATTAAGGGGCAGACAACTTCATTAAACTCGTGATGAATTGGATACTTGAACCATTGAAATGATCATGTCATACTGCTCAGCGAATAACCTGTTTTTTAACAGGTACTAATGTTAAATTAGTACCATAGATGTAGGTTGACTTTGGCCAAAGCTATTTCCCCGAGATAAATGCAAAGGCTCTGTGCCTGATACTCCCCTCCCCTCCTTTCCAGAGTCTCCACCATCCTCCTGCCCCTTCCTCCAGAGTCTGTACGGACTTTTTCATGGGTACAAAGCGAAAAAAGTTGCTATGTCCCATAACAAGTGGAGCTCTGTAAAATCTTAAGAAGCTCCGCAGCCAAGCCGGTCATATAAACGAGTTTATAAGGAGCCCACCATTAGTCAGCATGTACTACTTCTCTAACTTCTTATCCCATAGGACGTTACATCTTTGACCGCACAGCGGAAACAGTTTCTGTCAGTTGCTAATCTACCAGCTTCTGTTAAGGACATGTCGAAAACATCCTATATGTCCTTTTCCCACCGCCTTCTCGGTCTTCCTCTTTCTCTTTTCCCATCTATCTTTCCCTCCAAGATGATTTTTCCCAAGGCCTCGCTTCTTTTCAAATGACCAAGATACTCCAGCTTTTGTTTCTTTATAAAGATTTCTAATCATTGCTCTTCCACTTTCAGTTCCTCCCCAGTTGACTTATTTGTTCTGTGCTGCGTCCATGATTTCCTTAAAATTTTCAAAATCGTTTAAAATTTTTTTATGTACCTATAAAATAAGGAAAGCCTCTTATTTTTTATTCTTTGTTTATTCTTAGTTATTACCAAGTGATAGTGATTGAATTGGCCACAAACAATAAAGGCAAGGCAGTACCAGCTCAACCGCCAGATTATTACAAAGGAGGAGATCTCTACACTTACGATGAAGCACGAAGGAAAAAGCCCACTTTAGTCCCGTACATAGCAGCTGAATTCATTGCCATGGATTTTGATGATTACGAGAATTTCACCGTGGGAGATAACAAGCGATCCAGTCGAGCAAAAAACAAAACTAGCAGAACATGCAGAAAAGAGGTCAATAGACCTTCTGAATTTTTCAACGGTCCTCTTGAAGGAGGAGCATTATACGCGGTGTGTCTGCGAGCCTATGTTAAAGAGGTTAGATTTCATCAACAGTTATCTTCTTTGTTTATAATTTAATTTAACTTTTTCAATGTTTCGAGGTTTGTCCCTCTTTATCAGTGAACCTTTGGTTACGTACCCCTTTGGGCGAGTGTTACTGATATAAGTATAAATGTTAAACGGCAGACTTGTATTTTCCAGGTCACTGAATGACTCTAAAGTTTTTGTGGTTAGGGTTATGAAACAGTAAATAGAGTTTCAGGTCAGTTTACCTTGGATAATGACCCTGAATGGAACCTGACTCACTCAGTTACCTAACCCAAATCATTAAACTTCAGAGTCATTCGGCGGTCAGTGGCCTTTTGGCGTTCTGCAAAATACCCCGGCCGAATTTCAACAGTGGCAGACGGTTTTGTGCGAGCGGGAAAAAGCGTAAGAGAAACCATAGAGAAACATTACCTAGAGTTCAAATCTCTGTTCTTTCCCTACGGATGGGGCGTTCTAGTGTATTTTACTGCTTTATACTCCTTCTACATTTACATGTAATCCATTGCAAAAGCCTGAAAACTGTGACCAACCGTGGGAACTACGACAAACGGAGTGCTGAAAAGCAGGAATATTTTTAAGACTGCATATTGGGTCACTCCTTACCATTTCCGCCTAAACTTCCCTGTTGTTAAGAAGGTCGTTTAGCATTAAACATAATGATCGCTAAGCTTGTTTAGCAGACGCCCTGTAATACCCGGACATGATCCTCAGTTAGTATCTGTCCTTTCTTTCCTTATTTAACAGATCTAGCGAAGACAACACAATAATAGTGGCAACGGCATGCGCAAATCTTAAACAAACTTGACCGATGATAGAACGGTTAAGTTTAGTCCTTTTTGTGCTCATTCGCCTTCTTATTTGACGTCGCGTTCTCATTGCTAAAATAATCTGCCTGTTTTCTGCCTGAATGAAGCGAACTCCTCTAGGGAACACTGGTGAGAATTCAGCGGTTTTCAGGTTAGTAGTATACTATGCTGGGAGATAAGTCTCGTTGGTGTCTAGCAAGGTCTAGCTAGGTCTAGTCGATGACGTTACCCATTGTTATAACCTAGGGGGAAAAAGTGCCTTCCTCCATACTAATTAAGTGTCTTCCTGCATACTAATTCGGTATAGGTTTACTAATGAGCGTCTCTCTACTTCAATAGAAACAATAGACTTGCCTAGACTTGCCCGTGAAGTAACTTGAGCTCGGTTTTTGGACCGTCTATTAAAGGGAACCTCCACTCTTACTACAGAATAAGTTTAAATCGAATAAAATTATGTTAATAAACAAATTTGTTCGAAATTTGTCTTAAAAAAAGTGTTTATATCAGGAAAAGTGAATTTTAAAATCGCTTATTTTCACTTTCAAATTTCGCGGGCGCCGCCATCTTGAATAATTGTGACGTGTTACGGTTGCTCTATTGTTCTGACACAAAGAGCTTTTGTTTAATAACAATAGGGCAACCATTACACGTCACAATTATTCAAGATGGCGACGCCCGAAAAATTTGAAAACAAAAATAGGCGAATCTAAAAGTTATTTCTTTCGGATACAAACGCTTTCTTTAAAAATATTTTAGATTGACTTGACTGTAACAGTTATTTCCTGTGATTTAAAGTTATCTTTTTGTTGAAGTGGAGGTTCCCTTTAAAAGGAAAATAGGAGCGATCACCAAGCAAAGCGAGAAACGGCTTCCTATATCTTATTTAGCACTAAAACTCAGATATATATAAACACAAAGTGGAGTTGAAAAGTCTTTATTTCAGTTTAGTTTATATCTTCTTATTTAGCTCTAAAACTCGGATATATCAACAAAACATACACAAAGGGGAGCCCAAAACGCTTCATTTCAAGTTTGTCTGACTATTACAGAACCGTTTTCTCCTATCTATCGCGAGGGAATGAAATTCTTGTCATTTTCAAGCACGGTTAATTAGTTAATTATGCGAGTTCACAAGCCCAAAGTTGAATACAAATTAGCTCTACAGGAAAAACCTCAAGGGAGCAACCTTAACGTATTATTATAAAACAAATAACTTAACAAGGATCAATTAAAACACGCGACTCATACTTGCTAGCAATAAAATCAGACACAAGATACCGTTTAAAACAGAAAGAGTCAAATACACAGTGATTTGAAAGAAATCTATTAAAATAGTCAAAGAAAGCAAGCCATCTTTTTTTTTACATTGCGCACAATGTTTTACTTACCCCTCTCCCTTTTCAATTTTATTTCTCTCCTCAATTTCTTTTAATCCCTTCTCCACAATTTTATCATTTTCCCTCCTCAATGTTTTTATTTCCTCCTCCACAATTTTTATTATTTTCCCTCCTCAATGTTTTTTATTCCCCTCCTCCACCTCCTCATTTCTATTGTTTTCTCTCCACCACCACCGCCACATTTCTATTGTTTTCCCTCCAAGTTTGGTCTTTTGGGCCTTTTAGGCCTGATTTTGGCCTCCTCCTTCTCCTCCACCACCACCACCACCACCACCTCCTCCTCAAGGCCAAAATCAAACCATCACATTTGAGTTTGGCTTTATAGGCCTGATTTTGGCCTTTTGGTCTTTTCGAGGGAAAATAGAAATGAGGAGGAGGAGAGGGAGGTGGTGGTGGAGGAGGAGGAGGAGTAGAAGGAGGAGGAGAAACAATAAAAATGAGGAGGAGGAGAAGGAGGAGGCCAAAATCAGGCCTAAAAGGCCCAAAAGACCAAACTTGGAGGGAAATCAATAGAAATGTGGCGGTGGTGGTGGTGGTGGTGGAGGTGGAGGGAAAACAATACAAATGTGGCGGTGGTGGTGGGGGAGAGAAAATAATAAAAATTGTGGAGGAGGGAATAAAAACATTGAGGAGGGAAAATATTAAAATTGGGGAGAAGGGATTAAAAAAAATTTGAGGAGAGAAATAAAATTGAAAAGGGAGAGGGGTAAGTAAAACATTGTGCGCAATGTAAAAAAAAAGGGATGGCTTGCTTTCTTTGACTATTTTAATATTTTTTTGTTTTAAACGGTATCTTGTGTCTGATTTTATTGCTAGCAATTATGAGTCGCGTGTTTTAATTGATCCTTGTTAAGTTACTTGTTTTATAATGGGGACTTTACGAACCAGAACGCGACGCAGCCTGAAACGTCACCGGAAGTAAAGTGCTTCACTGCGCATGCTTGGCGCTAAACTGCAACGCGTCAGAACACGAGGTTGGCACTTACAGCGTTTCCAGAAAACGTGAGTAGTTTCTACTGAATTTGACCTAGAATCAAATTTTCTTTTGCTACCTTATAGGCAAATCTGTTTTCTAAGTCCATGAAAATGTTATTTATTGTAAAAAAAAATACCAAACAAACATTTTAATTTGCCTTTTACTGTAGGTCCGAGATTGGTTACCGCTATGATGAATGGACAACACGCACGCCGAGCTCGATACCAAAGTGGAAAACGGGCAAGTAAGTCCAGTTTAGTTTATTAGAGGATTCAATTTCCTGTCCTGCTTAAATATAAGATTAAAGTGAGTTTGAACTTTATATTTATGTTCTTCATTGAAAACAAACTAAAACAGACTGTTCTTTTTTTCACGCAGTAATGTGATGTACTGGACAAGCGAGCACGATGTCCTGTTAAGCAGAGAGGTTGTTTCCGAGAATCCGTTCAAAACAAGAAAGGGTTCGTCGCAAAGAAGCGAAATTTGGGATAGAATAGCCGACACTTTGAATACCTGTCCCTAGCCTGTCTTTGCTGTGGATAAAAGGTCCGAATCAAAGTGAAATGATGCGGCTAATGCAAGAACAACAACAGCAGCAACAGCAACTCTTGGCGTCACAACAACTGATTATGAGACAGCAACAAGACCAAACTAAAGCACTGATGAGTTTGTTGGACAAACTTGTGAACAAATAGCTACCTAATTCACTTAAAATTTACCAGTATTGCTGGTACAGCTGTCGCTTGATTTTGAAAACCAGTTTGTATATTGTATAAACTATTGTCTTTGTTTTGACAAGAGTCACGACCAACGTTTTCTGTCAGCGATCAATGTTTGTATTTCAACAGTGGCACCGCATTTTTGTTGTGCCGAGGAGCCCGCCCTTTGTTATGTTCTATTATTGCAGTTATCTCATTGGATGGTGGCTTATTAGAAAATATTTTTTGCCTAGAATAGTTGAAAAATGTTTTTGAAAATTTGCATTCTGTTTCGTAAACTACAATAAAATTCTGTATTTACGGTCTGCTATGAAAGAAACTAGTGATACTCTATGTGTTCGAAAACAGGTCTTAAAAAAACTCCCTAGGATAAAAAGGGCTGGGGAATCTGGGGGAGGTATTATGTTGAGGCAAAATATTAAGCTCACATGTCTAATTTTACAATCTGTCTTGTGGGGTTAACAGTACTCTTCACTAAAATCAGTTTAATGATTAAGACACAATCAAGTTGTATTGAAAAAATTGTGAGTTGTATTTCAGTCCCAAGGCTGTGGTCATTAATAACTAAAAAGCAGGATAAGGGTTAGGGGCCAGTGGTCAGTAGGTTGCAGGCATTACAGTTTTTATGTTATATATTGCATTAGACTCGATATATTTTTCTATGACTTTTCCTGCTTCCCCGTTGTGTTATAATGACCACAGTGCAAATCTATGGCTGTATAACCTTTTGAAAATGAGTAATAAGAACACCATTGGGGCATTTCATTATGTCTGGAATATCAAGAACTTCCCGGAGCAAATAAATATCGTTCTTGAAAAACCGAAACTCAGCCTTACACTCATCATCTGTCATAGAATCAAGATCGAAGCGACCATACTTCCACTAAGGAAATTCGAGATTTTCAGAAGAATTTAAATCGTACAACAGGGCAAACTCTGTATCATCAATGCTTTCATCTCGATAGGCAAACAATAAAGCTTCCCTTGCCTCTCTGAATGTTGCCATTTATGATGTATAATACCAGCTATAAAACGAAAATGTGTTTAGCGGAGTTTAGCTCTGCCTCTGTCGTCGCGTTCGCATCCGTAACTTTGTTTTTCCCGCGGCTCGTGACGGCGTTCTTGCCCCGGGCCGTTCTCGGTTTCGGTGTTTTCAAACTGCGTCGCGTTCTGGTTCGTAAAGTCCCTAATAATGCGTCAAGGTTGCTCCCTTGAGGTTTTTCCTGTAGAGCTAATTTGTATTCAACTCTGGGCTTGTGAAATCGCATAATTAACTGATTAACCGTGCGTGAAAATGACAAGAATTTCGTTTCCTCGAGATAGATGGGAGAAACGGTTCTGTAATAGTCAGACAAACTTGAAATAAAGCGTTTTGGGCTCCCCTTTGTGTATGTTTTATTGATATATCCGAGTTTTAGAGCTAAATAAGAAGACATAAACTAAACTGAAATAAAGACTTTTCAACTCCACTTTGTGTTTATATGTATCTGAGTTTTAGCGCTAAATAAGATGTAGGAAGCCGTTTCTCGCCTTGCTAGGTGATCGCTCCTATTTTCCTTTTAATAGACGGTCCGAAAACCGAGCTCAAGTTACTTCACGGGCAAGTCTAGGCAAGCCTATTGTTTCTATTGAAGTAGAGAGACGCTCATTAGTAAACCTATACCGAATTAGTATGCAGGAAGACACTTAATTAGTATGGAGGAAGGCAGTGACTAGGCACTTAATCGGTATGGAGGAAGGCACTTTTTTCCCCCTAGGTCATAACAATGGGTAACGTCATTGACTAGACCTACCAAGACCTTGCTAGACACCAACGAGGCTTATCTCGCAACATAGTATACTACTCAGGTTAATACACGTTCATTGTAAACAATTTCGTTTGCAGGATATCTACAGTTCAAGTCCTTGGATTGATCCGGTTAAAACAGGTATAAGTTCTTGTTTTGTACTTGCTCGTTTATTGATAAGCCAAAATTGAGGCAAAAATGTCTTGGTTAAGGTATTATAAATTGGAGAGTATTGTTAACAGTTTCATCATAGAGAAAGCAATAATGAAAACCGTTTAATTCAAGAATTTCTAGTTACAAATTTTGTTTTATATAACTCTGAAGTACCAACGTTGGTAATTGAAAACACTCCCGTAGAGAATTTTTGTCGGACCACAGAATTTCATACGCAGACATAAAAGGTGGAATAACGTCTCTGTTGTTATTTTATTATTGGCCCATTTATTGTTTTTCTTTGTTTTGTAAATAATATTTATATAATGAAGAGTGGTGAACGTAGGTACTCAGAAGTCAATAGAGAACTTTAGATTCAAGAACGAGAACTACTACGAGTACGAGATTTGATTTAAAGTTTTTTCGCGTATTGTCAAAAAATAGACACCCCTAAGTTCTTTTTTTTCACCAGAAAAGTTAGCACTGTTATCGTTATTGAAGGAGGTTGAGCCCTCTCCCAATTGCAAAATGCTAAAACTTCTAACTTTTCATAACTTGTTCCCGCCACTACGACATTGTCGCTAAAACTCGTAGTAGAGTGACGACGGCTACCACGTTTTCCCTCTAAAATAACGCTAGTTCACACACGAGCACTACTTACTATTGAGAAAATCTCGTACTCGTAGTCACTCTTGTCTTAGAATCTAAAGGTTTCTATTTTATATGTAGGTGGAATATGATCGTTCGGGTGAGTGTGGTCCTAAATAGAACTGTTGTGTATGTTGACAGTCAATCACAAGATCTCTATAGTGGAGTGCTATTTAGCACTATACTCAGCCGGACCGTTATATTCCATCTACGTAAGTAAATGGGTCACCCGCCTATCCCAGCTACCCTCGTCCAGCCAACTTTTCGTACATTTTCTAGCAAAACTTGGCGAACTGTTTACATGAGAAACAAAAACGTTGGCTTGTCGAGAAGGGTGACTCTCCTAACCTGGTCATCCTTTTGTGATGGTTGGGTCACCCTACTTGGCGGGCCAACTTTTCTTCTTATAAACACTTTTGGCTTGGCCAGCAGGGTCAACTCGGTGAAGGTGAGATGATCAGAGCATGCGCGAGTGCTGTTGGCGCAGGGAAAGGGTGTACCGTACTTTGGTATAAGTGGCCTGTCCATGATCTTGTGCTTGTTATCCCCCCTCCACCGCTTGGCAAAGTTGCTAACAATATAAGATCATGCTCAAAACTTGGAGGAACAACTTTGAGTGGGAGGCAGGAGGAAGGTCAGCGTTATATCTCACAGACCTGTGACTAGCAGCGATTTAAAGCGTGAAAGATTGTTTTTTTCGTGGGAGTGTCTCGACATTTTTGCAACTGGTTGTACCAACATTTCTTGAATGGGTAGAACCAAATTTTCTTAGCCATGGGGCTACGCTACAACATGCTCGTCCCACCGACGGGCTGACTCCTGACTCCGTTTCCCCTCCCCAGAGTCTGTACGGTCGCCGTTCGGTCGTACGCTTACGTCATAACCTAATTTTTCTCGGATGGATAGATTGCCAAATTTTCTCAGAGATGTGTGAGCTCCTTGTTTGTATTGTCCCAGTGCGCCCCTTGCTCTCCGGCATGGCGGACGTGTACCACGTGAACGGCTAGCTGCAAAGGGCCTCTTCATATCCTACGAAAGCCGAATTCATTAATTGCTTTATTATTCATTCAAAATAATTCCTAGTTTAAAAACATAGCTACAACATGCCTACCTGCATCGATGTCTAAGTTCATCTTCGATAGTGTACGTTTAGGTTTGTCCAGTTCCGCAATTATTCTCCAAATAGCAGATGTCGTCCTCCGAGTTGTCTTCTTGCTGTTTTTGCCGTGTTTTTTGTTATTATTTCGCCTAGTTCCAGCTGCAGTTCTTGCTCTTGAAACGAGTGAAATGTCCGCCATTTTTTTTTCACAACCATAACAATTCAACCTCGTCTCCAGGTCTTCTCGGTAACAGTCGCCTTAACTTGTAGCGGGCTGCATTTTTGACGTCGTTTCCTCGTTAAACACAAAATTCTTCCAAATTTGGTCATCACTAGACTACGAGTAGTCCCCCATTTTTCCTCAGGGATAGTAGAGCGAGCGAAACGCGAGCGCGCGTGAAAATCACGGCCCTTTCTCGCGTGGGGTGATTTTCACGCGGGCGCTCGCGTTTCGCACGGTCTACTATCCCTGAGGAAAAATGGGGGACTACTCGTAGTCTAGGTCATCACTAACTGGTTATGGTGAATTATGCGTGTGCTTTTAGCCAATCAGGATTGGGGAAATATTTTGAATGCACAATAATGTAATTTAACTGAAGCAATAAGCGATATTGTCTTTGAATATTTTCTAGTGTCAACCAGCTCCAACCCAAATCTATCTCCAATAGAAGTTCTTAGTAAGGAAGCCACTGTTGCCCTTTCTGTTGTCGGAGCAATCCTGTTCCTCTGTATCGTCCTTGGGTTCGCCTTCTTTTGCTTTATACGCCATCAGCGGAAGCAGATTCTGGAGTATCGTAATCAGCTTTTTCCACTATACACTGGAAAACACCAGGTAAAATACCATGTAAAACGAGCTTAAAATGAAGCCACTACATAATAACCAGTGCCTGCTTGGATTCTGCAACTTATTTTGTCTGAAAATGATGTTTGTTGGACTGCGTAAATTTCACACCCCTCCCATTCCAAGATCATACTCAACACCTAGAATGACAACTTTAAACGCGGAAAAACGGAGGAGGGGGATTTCTTTTACTTGTGAAAATTTTGTCTCAGCGAAGCAATCAAATTAGAAAAGGGGTTTTATAAGCAAACGTCTCTCAACCTTTGTTCAAACATGACGGCGAAAATAAAATGAATTTGCGATCTTTCAAACTTCATCTCGATTAACGTCATCTCCTTTGATATGTGAAACGTAGGTGACTTTAGGTGGAGTAGTTGAATTTCTATGCACATGTTAGCCAAGTTAAAAAAGGGAATAAAAAATTTATCGTCAGTGCCGGTTAACGTCCTTCGCAAAATGTGCATTAGGACTAATTCTTCACGTCGTAGTCGTGCAATTAAGTTTGATGGTCCGTGCAAAGTTGTCGTTTTTGGTTGTTATAATCCGACCCGCTACTGTTTTACCATCTCGTTACCGTCGTCGACTCTCTATTGCTTAAAATCTTTAGTAACCTTTCGAAAGTGCAGGGTTGCTTTACTTATGGCCACTTTACATTCGTGTAAACTCTCGTGGTGTTGGACACTTTTGAGAATGATTCTATATTTATCAGCATCTGAGTTGCTTGTTCGAGGCCAGTCGACAGACATAATTTGCAAAATTGCAACCATAGATTGCTCCTCGTTTTAAAATAGATATATACTCAGGGGCACCCAACGAGAATATAGTTCAAAACCACTTAAACATAGCATTGTTAAACGTATTTTAGTATTTAAACGGTCGATATGGGCATATTTTTATCCCCTATAAATTTTTCATCTGTTCGGATTTCCTAGCTGAAAGTCTAGTGATCCGAAAATTATAGGGATCAAAACTTACCTGTTCGAAAATTTCAGCCAGAAAAAAGGCTCCCGAAAATTCTCGGTGACCTTTTTACGGTAAAAATCCGTTGAAAATGGGCAATTTTACCATTTCTTAGATGTTCGAAAATCCTAGGAGAGGCAGGCAAGCAAGAAATTTTACAACAAATGTTCCGAAAATTCTAGATCTCAAATCGTCTTCCGAAGAGATATTTTTCCGAAAATTGTCGTTGGGTGCCCCTGTATACTCACGGATAGTAAAGATGGCTGACATTTTGTTCATTTCATTGCAGGCTACGAACCAGTCTGTTCCGCAAAAATAGTCACGACTTTTTTTGTCGACCTAACGTGAACGAGGTGCCGAGTTTCTTTGCGGAGTGGCCATAAATTTAAGTCTGCTTTTCAAACCTAACCTGGCTTTTGTTTATTCTTTGACTCGATTCAAAAAGTGATCCATTGCCCTGAAATGGCCTTCTAAATTCAGGTAATATTCATGAACCAAACAGTTTCCAGTTGGAGGGAATGAACTTACCATTGCTTAGACTAAATAGGTCCCTATTGTATACGTTAAGTAATAAAATATTTCTTGATTGTTTTAGTTTGACCCTAATCGTACACTGCTTGAACAATGTAATGATCTGCCTTATGACCCTGATTTCGAGTTTCCTGAGGACAAGCTCATTCTTGGGGAGTTGCTAGGATCAGGGGCCTTCGGAGAAGTCATTAAAGCAGAGGCTATAGGAATAAACAACTTTAGTCCCAGAGACAAAAGTCAAAAGAAAGGCCAGCGGCGACCTAAAATGTTTCGTCAACACAGGGCCGGCCATGCGTACCACGATCCCAGAGGCAGTGCGTACACGAAGACCATCGTAGCTGTAAAGACTGTTAAAGGTAATGTTTCAAGTCAAGAGATCTCTATTTCAACTTGTGTAACATTTACCATGGAGCAAGGATGGCTGGTATCTGTCGGTGGTTGGTGGAGGGGGACAAAAAAGGAACTTGGTTTATAGTTATTGTAGCAGCTGATAATATGCGGGGGAGGGGACGAGTTACCAGGTTACCTGCGCGGTAATGATTTGGGAGACGGGGTAGGGTTGATTTGGGAATCTGTGCCTACCAGTGGAAAAACCCCAGCCATGCCCCTGGATTCAGTATGGGTGAGGTGGGCAATTCGCATAGGGCCTCTCTCATGCATGAGTACCGTTCGTGCTCATTCCTATAGCTGAGGTTTGTGCCCAGTTAAACTGAACGTTGCTTGTGACATGGTCACATGGACTCCACTAAACCCTGTGGAAACTGTACCTTTTTAACTGACCGAGTACGATATTTTGGCACTTCAGGGGGAGCTACTAAAGAGGAAGTAAGAGACCTGGCATCAGAGCTGAAAATTCTAATTTACGTTGGAGAACACAAAAACATTGTAAACCTCCTTGGTGCTTGTATCAAGCAAGATCGTATACTTGTCATTCTGGAATATGCACCACATGGGAGTTTACAAAAGTTCTTACGAGGCAAGCGAGATGTTTATGACGCAACCTGGACTACGACTGCGAGAGACCCAGAGATAGGATTGAATATATCAAATCTTGTAAACTACTCTTACCAAATATCCCGTGGAATGGAATACCTGGCATCTAAAAAGGTAATGTAGTAATGTTGTCCCGTTCAAGGATTCCCACATTCCTGAAGAAAATTCAGTTCTAACAAGAGCTGTAGTGGCTCTTGGTTGTAATAGACCTTTTTGGCTTATGTTTTATTTTTCCATTTCACACCACGTGATGTTCGCAAGGCAATTTGCGTTTTGTCTTTTCATAAAATACATACATACATATGCTCGTGGATGCACGAGCAAAGGACAACTTTTCAGAGGAACGGTTCTCTGGGGTACCATCAAGTGGTCTGAAAAGGGAAGACAAAACATACAAGCTAAAACGGTCTATTCTCCAGCACTCGACTCTAAATCTGCCCCTGACTACTTGAACCGGGGCGCTTGAAAGATGATTATCCAATCAAATCGTTTGAACTTGCCGTTTTTTTTTTAAAACAAGAGATTCTCTGTTAATGTAAACGGACCAAAAAAATTCAATGTACAACTATGAAACTGTTGATAACTTAAAAACCGTTTGAACTTACCTGACCTCTCAGGAATTAGCCCTCAAATTTATTGAGAATCTTTTGTTTTCAAAAACCGCCATGATTATTATGATTTGTGTTTGGATAATCTATTTCCAAAAGCCCAGCTTCGAGTATTCGCACTGTAAGAGTTTATTATGAGTAATAAATGGTAAAAAGTAAAGTAACTCAGAGAGAGGCGACCTCAGTAGCCAAAAGCTCGCGCAAAGGATTAGAAAAAGCAACATGTAGGAGAAAAGGTTACGGGAACTCCCCTTACAAGCTCACCCCATTATCGACTTTCTAAAATTAGCAGACTTATTATTATTGTAATTATCTCCTTCTTGTTTCTGATTTCTTGATTTTGCATTTCTTTTTTCAAAACATATCTGTTTTATATAGTGTGTTCACCGAGACTTGGCGACCAGAAACGTTCTTGTTGGAGAAGACTACGTCATGAAGATCGCTGACTTTGGTCTCGCTCGAGATATTTACAAGAGTGACCTATATGTGAAGGTGAGCTGTGGTGTTTTGCCAATGAAGTGGATGGCGATAGAATCATTGGTTTTGAGGGAGTACTCTGAGAAAAGTGATGTGTAAGTACAAATGACATTTTAAAAAAATGAATAAAGGGAGAATATGAAAATATGCGGCGATCGTACTCAAGGATGACAACTATATAATTAGTGCGTAACTAGGCGTTCAAATCAAAAAGAAGCTGGCCTTTTGATTACTGCAATTAAGTTAAACTTGCCATAACATAGTTTAGTAGGCGCTCTCCGATTGGCTGAGAAGTATGTTTGCAGGCGAGTAACACAGTTAAACGCAACCACGCAACCATGGTTTGAAAAACTCGACAAGTTTACTTTATTAACCCATAACTTAGAGGCATGGAACTTGAAAAATCTTTAAAGGGAACCTCCACTTCAACAAAATGATAACTTTAAATCACAGGAAATAACTGTTACAGTCAAGTCAATCTAAAATATTTTTAAAGAAAGCGTTTGTATCCGAAAGAAATAACTTTAAGATTCGTCTATTTTTGTTTTCAAATTTTGCGGGCGTCGCCATCTTGAATAATTGTGACGTGTTATGGTTGCCCTATTGTTATTTTAAAATTCACTTTTCCTGATATAAACACTTTTTTTAAGGACAAATTTCGAAAAAATTTGTTTATCAACATAATTTTATTCGATTTAAACTTATTCTGTAGTAAGAGTGGAGGTTCCCTTTAAAAACATGCTATATCAAAGTTTTTACGCTCAAGACGACATTTTATCCGTCCTTTAAAATATCACCTTTTTTAACAAATAAAGAGGCCTTGACTGTGCTCTGTTCTGTACGTTGTAAAGCACGCACGACTGGCAGCGGCTAGAACACGAGAGAAGTGTAGGGGGGGAACACGCGATGTAGTCGTGTATTTCTCTCTACTTCTTGAGTAGTACAACAGAATAGAGATCAGTCAAGGCTTCTTTATTTGTTTTATGAATATAAAGAATCCGTTAAATTCCCCACACATTCCTTTTTAATTTTGATTAAAAATCATTATTTTTTAAAGCAAAAGAGTGTCGTCAGCACATGTTTTATACTCTCATAAAGCACGCTTTTGCAACAAATCAGAGCGCACGTTATATCTGAACTTTATTATAAATGCAAAACAAAAACGTACTGATTACACGTACAAAACTTCGCAACTAGTAAGAACTGCTCTTTTCATCAGCGCCATAAACAAAGAGCTAGGTAGGAACTTTTTCTCGTGAAAGTTGCCGCTATAAAAGCACCTCGGCAGAAAACTGTTTTTCTGTGGTTTGCAATTTGTACGAATTCTCTTAAATTCTCCCAACACCCGAATCTCGTGTTTATATCAGGGCATGTAAACACAGCAGATAACGTTTTCCATTTGTTATAAATAATACTCGAAAGAAAAAGAATACTACTGATAACGATTCTTGAATGTGGCGCTTCATATGCAAGCCATGTAATTTTTGATTCCAGTAATTCCCTTGTAGTGGAGTTAATAGCAGCTTACCATCTGTTTCCTCGAGTCCATAGTTTAGCTTAAACAGCTTACAGAGCTTTATTGACACCCTTTTGGTTTGGAATGACCCAAGCTGTGATGACCCTTCGAGTGTGTATGTTTTGAACCTTGACATTTAATAATGCAGATGGTCGTTTGGTATTTGCTTGTGGGAGATCTTTACACTGGGCGGCACACCGTATCCCACTATACCCGTAGAAGAGCTCCTAGACTTTCTCAATGATGGAAAACGTATGGAAAATCCCCGAGAGTGCCCTTCGGAGATCTACAAAATTATGCAAGATTGCTGGCAGGAAGGACCCGACAAGCGACCTAAATTTGATCAAATCAGCCAGTCGATTGGCTCAATACTTGAGCAACGCGCTTCCCAGGTTAGGCCTTTTTTCTACTGTTTTTGAGGCAAAGGAGGAACTAAGAGAACTTATCCTCTCTCTTGTCAGAACTTATTGTACACTAGGTCCTTCAAAAGAAAAAATGAAGTTTATCAAAAGGGGATACTCTCTTGAGTGTATATATCCTTTGTTCTGATGGGGCGAGCGGGAATTAAGCTTTGCAGCAAGAATATGAAGAGATGACTTGTACTGTGTGCTCTTGAAAAAATTACCATATTTGCAATGACAGTGGCGTATTCAAATCTCTAACTAAGTGGGGGACCCGCTCATTTAGTCCCGTAGACTGCAGTTTGGCCTATAAAGAAGGTGGAGCCCTGGGCCCCCGGGGCCCCTTGGCCTCTCCCGTAGATCGGCCATGGAATGATATAACACGATCTGCATGCTGTTTTTTTTAGACTGACCCAATGCAGCTGCTAAAGCTATACAGATTATAAAAATTTACGGGTCTATAAGATCAGAGAATTTCGACTGCCAATTGAAAGAAAGATTATGAGGGATGCGCATCTTTTGCTGGTCAGGAGCCCATAACCCGAAGTGAGCAACGTCTATGCGCTTGTGTCACGATGATTTCACGAACCAGTTTATTTTTAGAACGGTTTTGGCGCGAATTTTGAATATCTTTTGAATTTCACAAACTAGTCAGCAAAACCAAACCTATATAGAAATGGTATTTGCTGCCTTTTAATGACGTTTAGGTTTCCGTTTTGAAATCTTATACTTCGAATGAGCCCACAGCTATGGTGGAGATTTTATTTTCGCGGTAAGAAGTGCCCCTTAAAATGTGTCTAAAAATAAACTGATCCGTAAAAACGCCGTGACATAGGCCTAGTATGGAAGTTGCTCGCTCCGGGTTATGGGCTCCTGGCTGGTATGTTTATTCTAAACTTCGATATTGGGCTTATTTTTCACAACAGAGTGTCTCGACTGAGTACCTTCACTTAACAGAAGACAACAACGGTGGCAGAAAAGATTACTATCTTGAACCACATGACTCAGACCCCACTGTTTCTGTGACGAGAGCAGATGTTTATGACAGGTTAGTACTCTTTCGATTAAGCATTTTGCTTTTATTCTTGAAAAGTTCAGCCACAAGCGAGTTAGGTTGTCCATACCCGGTATTCCGTACCCCCAAAGGAGCCAACAAGTCCCAGGCTAAAGAACTTCCCAATATTAGTTCGACAATAAATACGTTATGTTATGTTATGTTAATTCAATAACTGATAGGTAGGGCCAGTTCTGCTTATATACTAGCTTGGCCACTGAGGGAGCGCTTATTCGGGGAAGAAATAGGTTCTTCAAAGGAGTACTGAGGAGACAGTATATCGTTAATGAGACACGTGCAAGGAACGAAAGGGACTCAGTTACATTGTTACGTAAGAAATAACAGTGCTTAACTCGTGGGATACAGTTAATGGTCTTGCTGTGCACGGTAAATTTAAAATTGAGCTGAACGAGTGGCTAATAAGAAACTGTTCCCTTATGTCAATGCCGGCGTTTAATCAAAGGTAAACAAGCGTTCAGAGATTGAGAGAAGGTTCCCTTATAACATCACTTAATATATTTAAGACAGTGTGCTGGAGGTGATTGTTATTCAAGGAGACTCTTATTTTTCAGTTTGGCAGGCGAATATTTAGGGGAAGACGCTTAATCAACGTGAACGCCTTTTATTTTTGACATTTAAGGCGTAATAGCGTATAAATCTCAGAGTGAGAAAATCTAACTCCGTTCGCTGCGTAGAAATCATCTTTCGAGTCCATTGCGGTTGGCATCAAGATTTGAAATAATGATAATAAAATAGAACATTGCGATCTTGTCTCACAGAATTATTGGCTCGTCGTAAAATGTTTTAGTGTGATTTACGTTGCCTTCTATAATCGTGCGCATGATCTAAAATATATGGTCAATTTTATAGGAATCTACTTTGGTTGACAGCGTTGTTTTCTTCTTATAGGCGATCAAGTTTAAATATTGCAAGCAATCCCTTGCCTCCATTACCAGGTGACATGGAAGATCAATTCGATCCGGAATCAGGGAAGAGACGACAGATGCTGAAACCAGAGATTCACGGTGGCTCGTCGGGGAGAGAGGGCGACATAGAACTAGAAGAATTCCATGGTAATGAGCATGTGACGCGCCTGTGACGCCTATTGCTCACTCTACAGAAAAGGCCGGAAATTCAAAGCGGGAAACTACAATCATCTGAGACTTGCACTAAAATCAATCTTTTTACTTCCAGATTCAATAATAGAGGCATTTTAAAAATAGTCCCTAGTTTATCTCTGTTGTAAAGTGCTTTGATGTGATCGGCTGTTCAAATGAAACCGTATCTGTGGCACGTTTACATCACTGTGTTTGTTTATGTTTTACTGATTTAGTTCGAAATCTTACTTCAGTGACTAGTCCGTCGATGAAATCCAATAGTTTGACCATTTAAATTAAAACCTCTTCAGTAGCGTGTTCACATGAAACTAGCTATTCTGCATGTAGTTCTAACTATTGGTCTCTGGGCAAAATTAGATGATGTGACTATCAAAATCGAAGCTTTCTAGTAGTACGTTCACATGTATAGTTTATGTTTCGCGCGGTTTTAAATTTGGAATCTTTTGACGAAAACCTACATGTGTGACTATCCAAATTAAACCTCTTCATCAGTAGTACGTCATATGCACGAAGCTATTTATGGTGTAATTTTTAAATGACACCTCTTCAGCAGTAACTCGTTTAGGGAAAATAGCCATATGAATGACAACTTAAATTAGTTTGTGTGTGAAAGAGGAAAGAATCCTTCAAAAACGATTATTAATCGTACTTGGCACATCTTTCTTATCTATAGCTTCCAGACAGGCTGAAATTGGTAAATGTGGTCAGGGACGATTATTAATCGTACTCAGTGGCACATCTCTGTACTTTCTTATCAATAGCCTGCAGACAGGTTAAAACTGGTAAATGTGATCAGAATTAATCGTACTTGGCACATCTCAATACAGTACTTTCTTTCCTCAGCCTTCAGGGGACGTAAGACTAGGCAGAGATTGTCAAAAACGATTATTAATCACACTTGCCACATCTCTATACTTTCTTATTTATAGCCTGCAGACAGGTTGAAACTGGTAAATGTGGCCGGGGACGATTTTTAATCGTACTTGGCACATCTCAATACTTTGTTATCCCTTGCCCGTAAACATGTTGAAATTAGTATTTGTAGCCAGGAACCCTAATTAATCGTACATGGCACATCTCAATACTTTCAAATCCCTAGCCTGTCGGCCTGTTGAAATTGGTATTTATGGTTAGGAACGCTTATTAATCGTTCTTGGCACACCTCAATACTTTCTTATTCCTAACTTGCACACACGTTAAAATTGCAAGGCATGGGCACGAAAGCTTATTAATCGTACTTGGCACATCTCAGTACTTTTCTATCCCTAGCCTGTGGACATGCTGAAATTGAAATGTATGATCAGGAACGCTTATTAAGCGTAAGCGTACTTGGCACATCGCAATACTTTTTTTATTCCTAGCCAGCAGACATGTTAAAATTGGTAGGTATGGTAAGGGACGCTTATTAATCTTACTTGGCGCATCTCAATACTTTCTTATTCCTAGCGTGTAGACGTATTGAAATTAGTACGTATGGTCAGGAGCGCTTCTTAATAGTACTTTGCAAATCTCAATACTTTATTTCTTTGATATGTTGAGTTGGAATGTATGATCAGGAACGCTTATTAATCGTACCTGGCACATCTAAATACCTCGTTATCCCTAGCCGGTAGACATGCTGAAATAGGTAGGTATGGCCAGGAAAGAGTATTAATCGTACTTGACACATCTCAATACTTTCTTATCCCTAGCCTAGGGACATGTTAAAACTGCAATGTATGGTCAGGAACGGTTATTAATCGCACCTGTCACGTCCAAATACTTTATTATCCCTAGCCAGTATACAAGTTGAAATGGGAAGGTATGGTTAGAAACGAGTGGTAATCGTACTTGGTGTACCTTAATACTCTTTTTCTTTGGACATGTTGAAGTTGAAATGTATGACCAGGAACGCTTATTAATCGTGCCTGGCACATCTTAATACTCTCTTATCACTAGCCTATAGCCTTTTTAAATTGGTAGGTATGGTCAGGAACGCTTATTAATTGTAATTGACACATGTCAATAATTCTTTATCCCTAGCCAGTAGACATGTTGAAATTAGTAGGTACGATCAGGAGCGTTTCTTAATCGTACTTGGCACATCTCAATACTTTCTTACCCTTAGCCTGTAGGGGTATAGACATGTTGAAATTGGCAGGTATGCTCAGAAACGCCTATTAACCGAACTTGGCATATCTCAATACTTTCTTCCTTTGGATATGTTGAAGTTCGAATGTATGATCAGGAACGTTTATTAATCGTACCCGGCACATCTCAGTACTTTCTTATCCCTAGTCTGTAGATATGTTGAAATTGTTAGGTATGGTCAGTAACGATAATGAATCGTACTTGACACATGGCTAGATAGTTTCTTAAAACGTCTTTCCCAAAAAGGAAGAAGATAGAGGGAAAAAAATTACACTTGCCGCTAAGCACTTTGTGCGAGAAAAATAGTCACAGGAATGAAAATAAATACATGAACAAATGAATTAAAAAGGTAATCATAAACCTCTTCTGTTATGTCTGATGTCTGTGGGCTTGTTTTGTAATGACGACAGAACTCCACCTTTCCACTCCCAAGAAAAAAAAATAAAATAAAAACAAAACAGACTTACATTAATTTGTTAAGATATCCATTCTTCCTTTTTCTCCTCTACTTTGATAAGATTGCAACAACTTTCCACCTTAGGCGATGCAAAAGTCCCGTCTCCTAAAGTGGAATCATTTTATATGGAGCTGCAGCCCACTCAAATCCGGCAAACGACAAGAGATTCAGAATATGGATCTCTAGTGAAGAACCCAGACGGGGATCATGATGATGCCTAAAACGAGACAAGATTATGCTAATGTCGCCTTCCATCGGGTACCTAAACCGCGGGAAAACGAAGTATATCAAAATATATAAAGGGACAGAAATAAAGTACGTGAAAATGACAAATACCTTCACAGCTTTGTGCGCGGGAAACATGTAGCAGAACCAAGGTTTGTTCGAATTCTCCCCGAAGCATATACACAAGTAGCGTGCTTGTTTCGACTAGACTTCTGGTAACTCCAGTGGACTCCAATGAACTCCAACAGACGAGTTTTCAACCCTCCTTTAGGGTTAATTGTACTTCCTGTTTCATTTCACGACTAGAATTCTAGTTACTCTAGTGGAATCCAGTTTTTGACCACTGGAATATAGTTGAGTGTATTGGACATGACTGCCCGGATCGGGAACTTAACTCGTTTAATCCCCTCCTCAAAGGGTACATCTAAGGCATGAATGATAACCGGGAACAATGAAGTACCGACTGAAGCTGTATATAAATTTTAGTGTCTGTGCTGTTGTAATAAATAGAGCGGAAGAACGGGATCGAGGTTTCATGAAAATAAGGGAACAGAAATGACCTTTTAAAAAATGTCAGAGGTAAAATATTGGTAATTATAAAACAAAAGAGTTGAAACGTCAGATTTTCAGTTAAGTTAGTTTGAAGAGCGAAACGGGATCCTTTTTTGTTTGTTTGTTTGATTTGGTCATTGATTTTACAAGAAAAACAGCCTCGATCTTAGAACTGAATACATGAACTTTCACTTTAGACAAACGACTTACTCAAATGAAACATTTTATTACATGCATATAGAACGTCTAGTTGCCGTTCCTTTTGCTTTTTTGGTTTTGTTGTTGGAATTTTATAGCAGATTACATGCACACAAAGTTGTGAGCATAACGAACATCAGTTGTAATTTAAATAAACTCAGTCTTATCAGTGTTATCGTTTGTTTCTAACCGAGACTTGCGGAGCCTTTGTTTGTTTCCGGCCGTCAGTGTGGATAAACTCCCACAGTTGTTTTGCACTCGCGGTGTTCCCCAAGGTACTCGCTAGTTTCTCCTCTGACAACTGACACAACTCTTGAATGTTTGTCACGTTTTTCATAATAAATCTGAAAAGAAGGCAGAAGTTAACGAACGGTCAGTTCTCTCTAGCGACACAACGATGATGTCTATAGCTACCAGAATGGAAGGAATGGAGAGCGAGCGAAACGAGAGGCAAGCTGGGGAGAGATGCCTCAGTCGCTCAGTCGCTCGCTCGCTCGCTTGCTCGTAACATGCTCGCCGACGCGTCAGTTGTGAAGGACTGCTACAAATCTCATGACGTAATATTCCATCTCATGCTGGCGGTTTAGACTCTTCTCAGAAGGCAGTATGTCATTCACTGTTTCTTTGCTAATTGCCTTGAATAAACTAGGTACCAAGTTCCTGTCTGGCTTCTTTCCAGGCTTTCTCGATCATTAAATTCGCCCGTAACCACGTGACCCGAAATGCATAGGCCGCGCTGGATAATGAGGCCTTGGGACAAAGCAAAGCAGTAACGGAGAATCCGTTTGACGTGACGATAAAGAATAACGCTACAAAAGAAATTGTCATGTAACGAGTCTGTACCTGTAGTTTTTGTAGTTAATTCCAGGAAGTTTCAGTATAAAGTCCTTGACAATAGAAGAGAAAATGACATGCGGGTAAGTGGTGATGGCTTTTCTGGCGCAACTTGTTTAAAAGGTAGATAATGCTATCCACCAAATGAATCTCTATCCAATGGATAACCCAGTTGCTTCTCTAATACTTGTCCTCTGGATGGCGCAATGCTACTTAAAGTAACAGACAAACGCTAAACCAACTTGCAACAAACCATATAAGGATTTTAAACAAACATCGTGATCATTATACGTTTCTGGAAACTGTCCACCTACCCCTCCCCTAAGCGAACAATTTGCCCTAAGTGAGAAGTAAGTGCTAACGTTGACTTAGGGAAGGGGTAGGTGGGGATCATTCGGACGGGAGCGATCACCAAATGACTTAATACAAAAGATTGAAAAGACGATGAATAAAAACCACACCGACAATGGTTTCCACAACACCAAGAAGAACCCAATACTCCCTCCCCCCCCCCCCCCCCCCCCCCCCAAAGAGTTTTTCGTAAGTATTCAGGATGTAACAGACGTTCAAAGAGAAATTTAAGACGCTACTGTACCTGTGGCCCTGTGTTATATGTGAAGTCTGAAGCAGCTGAAGTAGCGTCTGATCCTATCGACATGGCTGTACTAGCATCAGGTTCAGGATAATTTGCCTGTTAATCAATACAAAATATCGTGAATATGTCAGTTTTTAACAGTCCTTTAATCCTTTAAGTCCCAATAGTGACCAACATCAATTTTCTCCTAACGATATCCATACAATGTCAAGAGATTAGGTTATGAGAATTAATAAAATGATCACCAAAGAGAAAATGCTTTGATCTTTTCTCAAATTCTCTCAACTTATTTAAAGAAATGTATAGAGATCAGTTTGGAGAATTTGCTTGCGGATATTGGGGCTTAAAGAGTTAATATGAGAAAACAGCAGACATTTCGCGGCGCCATCACTGGTTTCCCCGCGAAATAACGTCTGACGAACAACTGCAAAAATTCCATACTGATGACGTGTCACCATGGAATTTATGTGCTCGTTGATCAGACGTTATTTCGCGGGGAAACTAGTGATGGCGCCGCGAAATGTCTACTGTTTTCTCAGCCTAGCAGTAGGGAGTTTACGCAACGAAGACGACGGCGGCATCGAGAACGGCAAAAAAGCAACAGGTTTAGGGCCTGTTTACATGGAGGTGGGGGACCCCAGGTAGGTGAGGTAACCCGCTTAGGTGAGGTAAAAAAATAACCCTCCTTTACATGCAATCTTACAACCCCGCCTTCCCGGGGTGCACTTTCTCAAGATTATTGAATGGTCGCTAAGCACGTAAACAAGAAAAATGCGGGCAAACACTCACTCTCTTGTTGCTCTTGCTGCAACCCGTCAGTGCAATAGCTTTCTATTGTTAACTTTAATCATAATGCAAAGACACCGCGAAAGTGAATTTTGCGCGAATTTGATGTATCACGAATCCGACCCCGGCCAGGCGGGTTACCCCACCTTGAAACGTTTACATGACAAATTGTGACCCCGGCTGAGAGGGTAACCCGGTCTGGTAGACCGGGCTACCCGCCTTGGCGGGTCACCCCACCTATCATGTAAACGTGATCAAATGAAAATGAGAGATTATATGGACAGGCGGGTTACCCCACCTAAGCGGGTTACCTCACCTACCTGGGGTCCCCCACCTCCATGTAAACAGGCCCTAAGACAAGCAAAACAACAACTTTGCACGTGCATCACGCGTTTTTGTACATTTCTCTGCCGTCGTTGCAAGACTACAACGTGACAACGTGAAACTGCCTAATTTCACTTTTTGTCGAGGACGGGAACAAAAGACAACAGCTTTCTTTTTCTTTTCCTGACCTTTGATGCAGTCCTTTAGAATTCAACTACAAAAAAATTGCCAACATTTGACGAAATAAGCGAGATGGAATAAGCGCGATAAAATTTGCTGTAGGGCAAATTCACTTTTTAAGTGACGTTTCGTAGCCGTCGCCGTCGTCGGTGCGTAAACTCCGGCCCTAGTCCTTCGGTGGCGAGACTATACCAAGAAAGTTGGAAAATTAATGTCCAAAGAAATAAAGTCGCACTCACCTTTAGTTCATCGAACAACTCAGCGGTTGCGTATGGACTATGACACCACAAGATTCGTAACTGGCATAAAAGAGAAACAGCACGTATTATGATTGCAAGCGGCAATGAAACCTGTACCAGAACTGTGGATACTATAAGCCGGATAGCGTAATTTCAAAAAAATGACAAGATTAGAAATTTCAGTCAGTACAAAAAAGTCCATTTTTGCAGCCTAGTCCCTAGGCGTTCTCGGCGCGGTCAATTCTGGACTCTACCGTGAGCTGTGACGTCACCGAGAGAGACTTCGCGCGAACAACGCGAGAGAATGCCTAGGGATTAGGCCGCCATTTTCGTAGACCTAAGTAGACTTGCTTCTTTAGAAGCGAGCGAAGTGAGCTTCAATGAGGACAAGCGAGCGAAGCGAGCTTTAATGAGAACGCGCAGCAGGGAACAAATATAGGACTTTTAGAAAGTCTAAGACCTCAGGGGCTAAAGACATCGGTACTCATTTTTGTTTTACCTTGGGAAAATGAAGCGTGAGTAAAGACAACTTCGAAGAAATGTCGTTGAAGGTGACTTCGCTTGAAAAACTTGATTTTGCCTAAAAATGAATAGATAACCCAGTAGAGAGATTTGTATACAAGCTAATAATAAAACGGATCAGTTTCTGAAATAAGAAGGGAAAAATTAAGTGAGCGACACACGAGCTAAAAACACACAGGGTTCCCAGAGATATCTAATTAAACATCAAGATTGTCATTGGCAAGAAAAATCTTCACACACAACTGGGAGCCATGCCAAGGCGACCGTGCAGTCGGTGGGCGGGGCTGGTCAGGCAATGGCGGATGGCAGCAAAAACAAACTGAACTCTGAAACGTCACGTGACCTAAGACTCCTCACACACTCGAACCCATACTCCCACCCGCGTGTGAGAAAAACGTTTTCCACTTCTTTTGTTCCTCAGCCGCGCAAAACCACACTTCTTTAATGACGCATAAAAGGGACGATTTTATCCTAGCTCACTCAAAGAAAACGGTGGATTTAAGAACATTAGTTGTGCTTTGGCGACTTCCTTACCTGTAGTGAAAATGACTTGTTAGGATCAAATTCAATCAGAAGAATTGGCCGTTTGTAAAATCTGGTCATTGCAACAGCCTGGTTGTACCTAGAAGGATAAGGCCAATATAATCAAAGAAGTATAAATAAATAAATAAATAAATGAATGAATGAATAAATAAATAAATAAATAAACTGACTGACTGACTGACTGAATGCTGGCTGACTGACGGACTGAGAACTGACTGACTGGCAGAATGACTGACTGACCGACTAACTGACTGGCTGACTGACTGACTGACTGACTCAATGACCGACCGACTGACTGACTAACAGCTGAATGACTAACAGAATGTCTGACAGACCGAGTGACTGACTAACAACTGACTGACTGGCAGAATGACTGACTGACCGACTGACTGACTGACCGACTGACTGACTGACTGACTGACTGACTGGCAGACTGACTCACTCACTGACTCACTGACCGACCGACTGACTGACTAACAACTGACTGACTAACAGAATGTCTGACAGACCGAGTGACTGACTGGCTGACCAAATAAATGAACCAACGAACAACTGACTGACTAACAGAATGTCTGACAGACCGAGTGACTGACTGGCTGACCAAATAAATGAACCAACGAACGGACAGGCGGATGTTAGTCCATTCAGAAAATGGCTCTTCATCTACCATATCTGAGCATCAATTGAAATTGGAAAAGTTGGTTTATTACGAGAGGGGAAAACCGGAGAACCCTGTCGAAATCCTCTAAGAGCAGAGGAAAGAGAGAAACTACAAACCTAACAGCTTTGTCCTCAGGACAGTTCGCGCTATCCGAGTCCCGACAAGCTTGACATGTAACGTCACATTCGAAATAGCCGAGAAAGACTGGGAACGAGGCTCCAAACCCGTCTCACATAAAGCGTGGAGGCCAAAACTCGAACCCAGGTCACATCGGTGCAAGCCGACTGCTGTCAGCACCACGCAAGCCATGCTGTCCAGTGCAATGGAGGCTGGGTTTGAGTTTTGACATCGCTGCCTAAGTCTATAAAAAGTAATCAGTTTCACTTATCATGTTATACTTACAGTCGCCCATTGTTTAAAGAGCCAATGAGATCGCTTATGCTCTTCCGTTCTACACACATATCCGGAGTGAGAATGTAGTCTCCAACCTAAAATAATAAAAATTGATAAAGTGAGGAAGTACATTGTAGTTTCCTTTTTTTTGCTCTAAGATAAATAACAAAAAGAAAACCTAACACTCTTGTCAAGTCTCGCTCAAAGAGAAAGACTTCACTCTCTTTAACGAAGACCTTTTAACAGAGGCTTTAATCGGTTTGGTTTCAAAAACCCAGCATGCAAAGAGAGTAGTGTCCGATAACCCGGGACTAGTGGGTTTTGCTATCGGGCTAGTGAATTCTGTTCTTAACTTGCCCAACGGGCAAATGAAGGTTTTTGAGGAATTCAATTACAGATGAACTGTGAAAACAATTCTGCCCATCAAAATGTTTTGGGGGCTATGTGAAATGACGTTTGGGCTAGTATATGCTAGCTTCAGGTTGCCCGAATGGCAAGCTTTAAAAATGACTTTCTTTGCACCCTGAAACCTCTCTCACACTTGAGCAGAGATCAGAAACAAGTGAATATGTGGAAATTCTAAGGAAAAGAGACACCTTTCTCAAAAGCACTACCTAACTGGAAGCTAAATTCCGAAATGTCTTTGAATAGAATTCTTCAGTAACCTAATACTGCAGTAGTAATATTAGGTCAGATATATGATATAACAACCGGCACATGGCTTCTTTCGTAGGAAGATATTGATCAAGCATTGCAACTTATGTCGAACATCTTATCGCTTAAAATTTGCTCGCGCTTTCTGTCATCGTGTTTTGAAAAAAGTCGATGATGAAGTAGCACAGTTTGCTGTGAGCACAAACCTCTAGCGTGACAGGTTCTATATCAATTCCTCTCCGATGAATTAGTGAAGGAAGTTCACTCCGAAACTCGCGCATATCGACAATGACCTGCAACAAGAGGCACTGGTTAACATCCCGTCTTTGATCTAGGGTATATACGAAGTCAAGTAATATATTCGTAACTCTTATTTAAGTGAGTCTGTCAAAGGTTTGAACCCAGGAGTTATTTCATAAGTAGGTCGAGTATGATCGTTCGATTGAACATAATCCTGAATAGGACTGTTGCTGTTGACAGTGACTTACGTTTCGACAACCTGTGCGGTAGTCATCTTCAGCGTCAAAGTGAGTTGTATCATGTCAGGTCTTGTCTAGTCTCTGTGCGGCCTCTGCACGACGTCTTCCCAAGCCTTCCCGGTCACTGCATTTCAGTGACGTATCCGAGACGAACTCTCTCGGACCACGTGACCCGAAACGCATGGGCCACGCACAGTCTATAAAAGAACTTCTTTCCTATAAGCAACAAATGAAATAGGGTCCAGAACGAGGGCGGGGGATCCCGCATCCCGAACCTCTGTCATCGCTATCACGAATATCGTCTGCTTTCCCATTCCCGCATCCCGTGCCAAAATTATGGAGAATCCCGCTTCCTGGGTACAGTGTAGCAGTCAAATCCCGCACCCAGTTAAGTTTCCCGAATCCCGTACTGTATTTGGTCAAATGCCTGATCCCAGGAATACCCTTCCAGACTCAAACCAGACAGAATTTCTCTCCGAGTATTTTGCAAAAGATACTTGAGATTCCGCTTGTTTTAGGATACTGAATTTGAAGGTCACGGCGAAGAGTGTTTCAAAGTTGAGACTGACCTTTCTCGATGTCTTTTTTTCTCCGTCCTGCCCTCCTGCTTTTCGCGTGTTTACAGCATCTGTGGCTTTAGATGGGTCTCTACTCAGCATCATGGCTGCCCCCGTTCGTCCTTCGCGCTCTTCTGGGACAACCATGGTCTACAAACAAGAGCACCCCAGATAAGCTCATTTTTACGCTCAAAGAGCGATTCTAAGTCAAGTGATGCTTTCGATTTTGCAGTCATATGCGACGCGATTGGCTAAAAAGTCTGGCGCCACTTTTTCGACCTATCAAAGACCATTCGTGACTTGTTCACAGGCGGTTTCCAGCGTTTGGCGCCCGCTACATGTATTTCTTTTTAATTCTGATTGGTTTGTTGGATTATCTGCGTTTTCTGTAATTGGCTTTGTTTTCACAGGAGCTGTTCTAGTTATGAGAACTTCAACGCAATCTCATTGTGACCGTTGTGACGTGACGATTGATATGGAAGCTATGGTTGCATGGTTCTTTTATAGCTTCAAATTCATTAGATTCTCAAGCTTTTATAAGTATGCAGTCTTAAATTGCGGAAAACTTACTCCTTTATCTTTGATCAGAGTCTCGAACGCTTCTTTTTCTTTGCGTAGTGTAGTTAAGTATTTCTGAGGAGAAAATGAACAAAATTATAATTACAAAAGAGTAAAATTATAGAAACGAGTAAACATGTCTTGGTCTGACACATAACACATAAAATTGCTAACGATTTAAATTAAACTTACCTATAGCATCAAAACATCAGAAAACATTCGAGAATAATAGATTTTGCTCATTAGCATTCAGTATTTATTTTCGGCACAGGTGAAATGCGACGTTTGAACTGGGCGTAACTCAAATATACCTGTTCTTCGACAGAGCCAGAGTAAATGAGAAAATATACTCGCAATGGAATTCCAGGTCTTGAGGCCTTGAAAACCTGTAGACAAACAAATGAATATTTCGTAAGCGTGATACATCTGAAGTTAATAATCTGTCGTGACGTTTCGTGGATGAAATCTAACATGTTACCTCTTAGATGAAAGCTACAACAACAACAAAAATTTTATTGTACCCAAAGCAGAATATTAGGGCCATTTATACGAGGAAAAATAAGACGCGAATTGTGCCATTTATACGAGCATGTCTTATCTAAGACAAGAACAGCTCGTATAAATGGTTCCCGTCTTATTTCTGTTCTTGACTCGTTTTCATGTAAATGTTGCCCGTAGCAACGGCAATCCAACGTGACGCGCCAAAAATTAACGCATGCGTAATGTGCGTTCGCGTCTAATGTAAGACGCGAAGGTCATTTATACGAAGTTTTTCTAGTCTTAGCTAAGACGAGTCTTATCTAAGAACAGGTGTTAAGGGCTGTTCTAAAATAAGACGCGTCTTAGCTAAGCTGCGTCTTATTTCAGACGAAATGTGCCGTTTATACGGAAAGTTCGCGTCTTATTTTTCCTCGTATAAATGGCCCTATTATAGTTACTTACAAGTTGTTAAATTAATCAATTAACTAAAAAGGGGTACTGACTTTCTGAAACAACTAATAAGTTAAAAATGCCAAGAAGCCAGATTCAGTAAGATAATTGAAATAAGTTTATTGTGCGGGCTACAATATGGCAGCATATCAGACTGTATACACATATCAGTATACACACTGTGTACAGCATATCAGACTGTATACACATATGTTTACACATGTATACACAGCTACTAAGCTGTACTTTCCTGTACACCTGATCATTAAGCTGTGCAAGTTAGTCTAGGATAAGAAACTCACTTATCTATCTGTGCTGAACGTTAAGAAATGGTAAAATTACAAGGAAGTTAGACTGGACAGTTAATAAAAACTACCTCTAGTTGACGTATAAACTGCATCTGTGCATCGTAGAGCACCACATATCGAGGTTCGACTTCATTAAGAGTCCTCAGCAAACTGTAGCGATCGCTAGCAAATAAAGAAAAACAAATGCAACTAGTTTATTGAACATATTATGGAGATTGAGCAAGGAAACGTCTCAGAGTGTGAATCAACGCAACACTGACCTACAATCAGCGACAAAATTAGGTGAGATATCTTGCCCTAAAAAGACCTTTTTGACGTTAAGCTGACTTAAAAAGGGGAAAATGAAATTTCCCTACCTCCACCCCCTCCATGCAATGTTGAGTCACTGTTAAAGTTACTCGCAGAAAATACCCCATTTTTGAATGAAGGGGAAGGGGAGGGGTATGGATTGTTTTGGTCCGCGAACTTGCCACATTTGAGAACAGTGTTTCGAAAATGTTTTGAAGTCCCAAGCGTAGCATGAGCTAAATGTACCTCCCTCAAGAAAGCTGTCTTACACGGACAGGAGTTCCCTCCGCTTCCTTTCTCCACCCTACCCCACTACCTGCTTTCTAACTCCGCAACCTCAAAATTACCGATGTGCTACCTTCCTGCGCTCCCTTATACGGACAGGGGTACCCTCCGTCTCCCCTAGCCACCCTACCACACCAACTGGTCTCTAGCTCCAAAACCTCAAAATGGCCGACGGGCTACCTTCCTCCGCTCCCTTACACGGACAGGGGGCTCCCTCATTCTCCCCTCCCCACTCTACCCTACCACCTGCTCTCAAACTTCGCACCATTAAAATGGCCAATGTGCCATCTACCTCAAGAAAGCTCCCTACAAAGGGAAGGGGGTACCCTCTAACTCCCCTCCCTACCCTACCTGACCATCAGCTCTCTAACTACGCGAGTAAAACATAAAGCGTGATACTTTTAAAGTGGTTCACCTGCATCCCGTTAAAGGGTGAATGATAACAACTCGTGAAGTCAAAAGTTTTATCTGCCGTGAATCTTCTGTTGTTTCCTTGTTGTCCTGATCACCTGGCTAAAGAAATAAAAAACAATAATGATTTCCACGAACCGAAAATCCCTAAACAAAAAAAAATTACGTTGCCGCAGTTTACATGCGCGCGCGTCTCTGAAGAGTTAGCCAATCTTTTAATTACTTCATTTCCCTTTTTTAAAAAATTTACCAAACTTGGCTTGCCACGAGTCTGTTTGCGAAGAAAAAGAAACCTGCCTGAGATATCGTTCTACTAGCCTAAAGCCGCTAAACAGCAATTTCATGGCGCAATGAGTCAGGACAGTTATAGGATTAGAGATATACCTAAAGAGTGTGTTCAGTATTTAATTTAAATCATTTCTTAAAGTATTAATTCTTATATTTTGTGTGCAAAGTTAACGTCAAATTTCCAGTAGACTGGTTTGTACTCACTCTCAAGATGACATTTGATCTTGACCCTTCAAAGAGAAAAAAAGAACAAAAAATAACCTTAAGCTTTGAGCACAACGATAAGAAAATCGCGCCTTATTAGTGATAACAAATAAATAACAATTTCAAATTACCTTTGAACAATTGTTCTGTTGGTGGGCTAATTGGAAAGGAGAAAAAGTCAGAATGTCAGTTCAAATGGCCATGACTGTTTTAATCATACACTAAGTGTTTTTTGTTCCGTAGAAATCAAATTTTAAAAAAACAATTATTTACCATTCGTCAATGTCATCTGCCTGGACAGATTTCTTGGAAGTTGTTTGTTTTCCTTTTGTTTTCCCTTTATCTCCAGCATTAGCTCTGGCTTTACGACCACGCGAAGTCGCCGGCAAATTCTGTAACATTTGAAAGGAATAGTGTATCCCCAACATCATATCAGTATCGGTAAACATTTAGGAGTATGTAACTATTTATAAGTGTATTTAATTAAACATGTAATGAATATTTTCATGAGTAACTATTTATGAGTATAGCTGAGTATATTTATGAGTAACTATTTATGAGTATATTTAAGAGTGGAGTATAACTTTCACGGATAACGGTTTGTCCAAGTAAATGGTAAACAACCGTTATATAGCTGGAATTTTTTCGACGACAGTTGGGCTGTCATTGGTTACTTCAGAGTCGCATGACACTTAACATTAAGACTGTTTCCCGCAAAAAGTCTCTGAATGTGTAACATTGCAAAATCTCTGACGTCAGAAGGCAACAGTGCACTGTTCACTGCGTATGTTCCAGACCACTTGCAGAAGTTTACTTTCGTAATTATTTACACGAAGGTAGACATTTAGCAAATCACTTAGTGAATGTTCTTTTCCTGGAATTTAGTTAATTTTGTCCATTCATTAAGTGTTTACATTTGTCTAATCGGTGAAAAGCTTACCACGTTTTTGGAACATTCTGCTTCATCCTCGCCTCGTAATGTCTCAGCGCTTAAGGAAACTTGAGAAAACAAGTAGGTAAGAAAGTTAATTAAGAGCTTTAGGTTAATTAAACGTATCGGGCCTAGTTAAACTTGGAAACGTTGTTATGGAAACACTGCGGTTAAACTGAAAATCAATTGCTCTGGAAGAAGATTTGCATCGGTGAAAAAGAGGAAGTTTTTCATTGGGTTTAAATACATTATTTGCTTTCAGGAAACAAAATCTGCGTTCGCAACATTTGTTTCTCGTAAGGATAAACTGGAAACCTTTTGCATTTGTGATACCTGTTTCTGAGGGTTCAGCCACCGTTGCTGAATTCTTAAACATTTTGTTGTAGAGTCGTTTCAGCACAGCCTCGCCTCCATCACACAGGAACTACATTAAGAGAAAATATTTTAATAAGAGGAGAATTATTTAAGCTGCACTTCAGGAAGTAAAGTCAGACGCAAAGCAATATTATAGAAATCGCTTCAAGAAAATTTAATCGCAGGATTGAGTGGGAGATGTAAAGTAATAAACAATAGAATAATAATCACAAAAAATTACAAATTCAATCTGATAGTTGGGCTTAATGAATTTGGAGGCTTTAATTGACTCTCGGAAGTTAGTTAGTCTCAAGACACTCTTACGCGAAAAGTACATTTCTAAACAGCGTGCAAAGAAAGTCCTGTACGATAGCCCGGGGCTAGTGAATCTTGCTGTAGGGCTAGTGACTTTTGTTCTAAACTTTCCCGATGGGCAAGTGCTGTTTTTGGGGGAAATTCAAATTACAGAAGGATTGTAATCAATCCTGCTAATCAAAAAGGGTTTAGGGGCTAGTTGAAATGACTTGTGGGCTGCCTAGTACATCCTAGCTACAGCTTGCCAGAATGGCAAGCTGTAAAACTGACTTTCTTTGCACCCTGCTAAACCAATTCTGATTTTTTGGATATCCTCAAGAAACACGCTTCATTGTGTTTGATACGTTACAGGTAGTGCAACTTACGTCTCTGAGTTGCGAACAGGTTCTTTCGTCATATGCAGCAATCAGGACATGGCCAGGACCGACTAAAGAAACATGGAAAAAAGACACGCCAAAAGTGAGCAGTTGATGTAAGTAACTCCATAGAAAGTCCTTGTTTATTGTTTATTGTTTATTGTTTTGTTTGCCAAAAATTAAACAAATCAAATAAAATCTAATTACCTTAACTCTCATGGCGAGGAAGCCCAAGAGAAGCCACCGGGCTTATAAGGAATGGGCTCCCTCAGTTAGATAATTAGAACAAAATATTATCATAATTACACACGGGAAAATCAATGGCAGAGCTACAGTAAATCTTATATTAGATAGTCGCACTAATCATAGTTCTAGGCTAAAAAAAGCGAAATGACAAAAAGAAAAAAAAACAAAAACAAAACAAAACAAAAGAAAATAAGAGAGCAAAGGAAGAAAAAAAATACATATATATGCAATGTTAAGGGCCAAGTTATAATACATCAAAACTCAAGCGCGTTTTCCGATTGGACAAGAGTGTGGCATGTGTCATGTGTCAAAAGTCACTAACCACCTCCCTAGGAAACGTAGGACTGGCACGTGACCAGGTCATGTACCTTGTCAGTCCTTCTAAGGAAATAATTGTTTTCGAAGTCACAGCGGAAATTTTGAGTTAGAAGGAATAACAAAACACCCAATAAAAGGACTGCGCAATCGTGTTAACATAAAATAAACTTATATACTTGGTTGAATAAGAAAGCATGGCATGAGAAATGGTCATGAGAAATTTCGAACGTCTGAAGTTTTTGACAGAGTTAACCTTTATGCACTAATCTTATAGTTGTGCTTATATCTTTGTTCAAAAATAATGTTAATGTTCCATCAAGAAAACAAAAAAGAAGGACAGTATCAGAAAGCCAAACAAAACAGAGATATTATTACGTTTCTTTTCAGTTTTGGCGTCATCACGCTCTATCTCTTCCAAGACGTCAGCTAGTAATTTCCATTTAGGACTCTCTTCAAGAACAAATTCTTCTGTAAAACAACAAAAACAAAGTTCAGTTAAATCTAATAAAATCAATTCTTCTTCATTGATCGTTTTCACTTGACGTCACTGTAACCATATCAGGGAGGTTAAGCATCACGTTTACGCGAATTTGTACCGCGCAACCAAGTATTTTTCTTAACTTGTCATAATTCATGGAATGCGTCCCGGCCGTAAGATGCAAACATCGATCGATCGATCTCGACATGTGTATTTGTAGAAATATCCCGTTCATGAAATTTCTGTGGCAGTTATTATGGCTGTTGTTTAACCACGCATTATATTTCTTTTAGCCTTTGTTGTGCTTTAAAATAGAAGGACTATATTTTAATTTCAGTATACTGTAATACGGAGTTTTGGAGTCTGTCTTCAGATTAACTTTCTGGTTACATAAACGCCAAAGCATTTTCAATTTCGGACTCGTTCTTTGTTTACTGGGACTCATTGGTTCTAGACTGGGTCTCATGATTTTTCACAAGATGCGTCCCAGGACTGACCATAACTATTTGTAACAAAATCACTGAGTAAGCCGAAATTTTTTTCTACAAACCGTTCAAGCCTTTCATTGTCCCTTATAACAAGTAAAGGAAACGCATACCTTCCCGATCTTTGTCATTACTGGAATCTCTGAAATTAATCAATTGAAAAAAATATAAATCAAAGATGAATTACATTTGTGTAAGGTGTCTACCGGTCTTCCAGTACACTTTTAAAAATTAACTCTCACAACATATTGTAAATGAATAAACGATCAAATTTTTATTTTTCAATTGTACTTACATTTTTATACAGATAGTTTATGGACGCGAATGCGCATATTTTTTTCTGTGGTATGTTTGTAAAGTTATTGTTGCGGCTTATGTTTTTTTACCCACGTAAACGCTTGTTATCATCACTTTTTGTTTTGGTTTGACGGCATTCATTCCGTCACTCACCCACTCATTCATCCTTTTGTAGCTTTTTGCTAATTTGTTTAAGTTGATTTGGCTTATTTATTAATTTGCTTGTTGATCAAACCATGATCTCAGCATTTGCCACGATTTTACCAGCACTCTACAGTGAGCAGTCTCTCCTTTTCTCCAGATTTTGTGAGGTGAGTGCACGCGCGCGCGAGCATCGGAGAGAAGCGAAAAACGAGGGCGGCGGCCCGAGAAGAAAAAGAGGGTAGCCTCTCCTTTTTCGTGCCTCTCCCATCTCGTGCCTTCAGTCACGCGCGTGGTCATTTGCGTGTCTTGTGCGTTTTGCTCGACGCACCAACAAAAAAGAGAGACTGTTCGTAGTCTGGCATTATCCCAGCATTTTGTACTTACTGCTCTGACTTTTCTCCTTTCTTTTTCTTGTGTTTCCTTTCAGTGCTTTCTATAACTCTGGCTTTGGCGTGCTGTCAGGAAAAACGATAGTTTTGTTCGCAGAAGAATTCTAAAAAGTCACCACTCCCAAAGAAAACGACCCTCTAAAATTGGAGATAAAAACTCGAAAATGGTTCTGAAGTAATGAACATAAAAATATAATTCCTTGTTAGCCCTTGGGGGAGGAAGCGGACGTAAAAAATGAAAATATATAAAACCTACCGAACCGACAAGCACGTCAACGTAACGTAGGGATTACACTAGAAAGAACGCACAATATTTTCTCATTTTGTGCGTTCGAGCAAGATCAAACATGAATGGTCTGCAAGTGTGTAAAATATAATAATTAAGACCTTACCACAAACAGAGAATCTGCAGCATCCATAAACATCCAAAGGGAATGATTTTTGACATCGCGTTGGCTGGCCCTAAAAGGTGACATATAACTTTTGAGTTTGAGTCTAAACAAAAAATCTAGACGTAATAAACACATTGTAGCAAATCACACTGTGCTTTTTGTTTCTTATTCTTGTCTCTGTGGAGTAATGACCCAAAACGATACATACATGCAAACTGAATTGACAGCATCCATTTGATTACAACCTGCGATCAGACACATGGCGATTGTGATTACCTGAGAGACTCCAGAAAGTTGTAGAAGGTGACACAATCATACTGTGTAAGGTAACTGCAACAAAATAATAAGAAACACAGTTATGAAGGTTGAAGAAAATTTTCTACTGGACAAATTGGCCTACATTAAATATATCATACACCAAACTATGAAGATACTGTGCATCTCAGATATTAGTAAAATCCAACCGGTGGTCTATTATCAATGCTGCGTTTTGATTGGTTGAGCTACTACTAGGCTATATGTTATGGCCCACTAGTAGCGAAAAGTGCGGGCTTTTTGGCGGCGGAAAAGGATTAAAGTCTAGCTTTAACTAGCGAGAATATTTTTATTCTCGATATTTTTGACCAACTAGTTGAATTTACTAAAACAATAAATTCCTCTCGCCCTCATGGCCTCTGAGTCAATGGTCCATTCAGCCGTTATCGACTCAGAGCCCATTCAAGCTCGAGGAATAATTGTTAAGTAGTCAAGGGAATATTAATTGTGAAGGTGCTATATGTGACTACATGCTAGGTTCGTTCTCGCCTCTCTGGTCCTGCGTCAATTCAGTCACAGGCTACAAGAGAGGGATAACTGACACCTATGCATTCTTTTACTGTTTTTTAACTCCAAAGAGTGACCAACATCAATTTTCTCCTAACAACTCATCGATACACAATCAAGAGAAAAAGTTCTGGGAAAGTGATTTGGTCTTTTATGAAATTCTCTCTACTTATTCTTTAACAAAATGTAAACAGACCAGTTATGAGAATTTGTAGGTGGACATTGGGACTTAAAGAGTTAGCAAAATAGGATAAATAAAAGGATTTAGGATGCTTACAGCAAAACTAGCCTCAGGACTTTAAGGTCAGCAACCAACTGCTTGGTCTTGTTTCCCTGGAAATGTACAAAAATAATTTATTATAGAGCATTAAAGATGTAATATAATTAATAGAGGACACTTCATGGCCATGAAGAAATCTCTTATATTATACGTTTCTAGGAACCTGCCCACCTAAGTGAGAAGTAAGTGTTTATGTTGGGTAAAACTTGAGAGTTTTGCAAAGTTCAGCACGCTCTTTCTGACTGTGTGGGTCTTGTGTTGTTTATCCTATAATGTAGAGACTCATACCCAGGCCTTCTTGGTTTGAAATTAGAGAAAACCGTCCACAATTACAAACATGCTGGTTAACAAACACTACTTAAACAGGTTAAAAATGATAACATATTTATTTACCAACTGATGCCAGATTGGATCCAACTGAAACCTCAGAACTTTATCAAAAGACTTGCTAATACTGTTCTCCACCGTCAGGTCCTCAGGGTCAAGCTATAACAAAAATTGCCTCCATGAAATTTTGATAGAAGTCTTACAGGGTGCAATATTTCCTACAAATGAGTGTGTACTGAGCGTTTCAACAAAAAAAAACATAGTTATTTCCGATAAAACTCACAGTAGGGTTGGCCCTCTTCAGCTCTTTCAGACAGCTGTCAATCAAATCAAGAGCTGCCGTTTGAATAGCCAGCATTGAGGGTGTTAAGTGTAGATGAAGCTCTATAACGTCTGGCTGAAAAATAAATACTTTGTTAACAATAAGTTATTGTTACCTCTCAACATGTCTAGACAAGCTTAGAACATCACCCACCCACATGTATTTTGAGAAGACACACATAAAAGGAATTCATCTCAGGTACCCAAGGTGTAAACACAACACCATAAATATTCTCACCAGGGATTCCTTCAAACAATGGTGAATTTCAGCATGTTACGTGACTCCAAACCCCTGGAATTTTAGCATGAGAATGGTTATGCAACCTTTGACACGTTTTTTGGCTATATAATCTTATTCCGGTGCGGTCAGTCCTTTATAACCTCAAAAGTCCTTTCCACGGCGTTTGGGGAGGTTTAGCTAAGTGCGCCCCTCCCTCCTCCCCACAGCGATGATAGCGCCTACGCTCCAGGTAGCTACCTACTCACTTCCGCCTCGGGCTGGCCTTTCCCATATCTTATAACATCCTTGAGGCTTTGTTTGTGGGTAGCCCTGGTGAGAATATAATTATTACTATTCTGTGCTGATTCCCAAACACTAGTTAACATGCAAACAATGTAATAATAATAACAATAATAATTTAATTTATACATACAGTGCTATTAACATATGCTGATCAATAGTACAACAATGTACACATTTAAAAAACATTACTAAGTGAGAAATAATTTTTTAAACTGCAGACCAAAACAAAAACCTCTTAAGGTTGCTTTTAAAAGTACTAAGTGTCATATAACAGCATGCACGTCAGCAAGTAGGCTGTTCCATAGAGCATGTGTGACCAAAATAAAAGACCCGCTACCAAGTGTAAAAAATTGCAGTATGTCCTGAGGAATCAAAGTTCTAACAATGGCTGTTATTCAAGCATAATGCATATGAGCTCTTGTGCTTAATCTGTATCACATCACCAAGGGTGAAAAAGTGTCTAGCACACACTAGAGGAATTAATACCTTGTGCTTCTCCAGGAAAGCTGACACAGTAGCATGGAATCTATTGAATTTCACCAATAAAAAAAATGCAAATTAATTGAATGTAAAGACACACAAATTGATTGTTTGGGCATGGATAAACTGGCTTTAAATGCAGAAATTTAATGTTGAAGGGTGGGCTGTTAAAAACAAGTTACATTCTATCCATGGGTGGATGGGGGGGACATACACTCTCAAAATTTTTTTGACAACACAACATTGTATCTGACATTATTTTGTTAGTTATAACATCAAAGAATAAGTTCTTGGAGAAAAGTGACCGACGTGTCCTTTTTAAACTGAAACATTGCAACCATCCATGTACATACTGTAAGGACTCATCAGAGCGACTTCAAAATAGATCCATGATAAGACCCAGTGTTAATACTGAATGTTTTAAAAATAGCTTTTTTGGCAGTTTTTAAGTAAAACTTACAAATGTAGCTGTATAGATTTTCGATTTTTTTTAACTTCTTTACTTGTATAAATGTTAATGTTATTCTTAATTCTTAAGAATAACCTTGCCATGGAAATATTAGATTTTAGAATTTTTATTTCTTTTACAATACTTTATGCTTGCTTCTTTACATTTCAGTGTAATATAATTATGATACACTGTATGTATTTTTATCTGATGAATAAAAAATCTTATTATTATTATTATTATTTCACTATTTCACTTATAAAGCATTATCTATGTAACAGTCAATTCATAAGAATCTTCATTTTTGAAGGAGGTGGGGTTACATGGAAGAAGATGAAGAAGATTCATGTACCTTGGCCACAGATAGAGTTTTCTAACAAAGAGGTTTTTCATAACTTTTTCCACTTGAAAGAAGCCCCTTGTGAAAGCCTGTGGATGATCTGAGAAAGCCTTTATAAAACCAGTCTGAAAAAAAAAAGAAAAAAACAAATTATATCTTGACATCTTCCCATTTGAAAAAAGCAGAGGACCAGACATAGAGCCCAGTGGCACGGTCAACCTTTTATGGGTAGGGTAGGTAATTAATAGTAAAAGAAGTTCCTGTTTTGTACCTTATCACCTTGATGATTCACTGTGGCAAGTTCAACAAACATAAACAGATTTAAACTTGGTCCTGAGCTAGTATAAAAATATGTGTAATGTGTTGGACTGGACTTAAAACCAAGAGGACGTTAACAAAGACAAATCTAAGGGACTGTTTACATGGAGGTGGGGGACCCTAGTTAGGTGAGGTAACCTGCTTAGGTGGGTAACCTGTCTGTCCATATAATCTCTCATTTTTATTTGATCACCTTCACATGATAGGTGGGGTGACCCACCACATGTTACATCGCCTATCTGGGGTCCCCCACCTCCACATAAACAGGCCCCTTAAAATGCTTATACCGTCAGCTACCTTAGTATCAAATTGCTATGTTCCACTGCATACCTTATTATTTTCCCGGTAAAGTCGTAGTATGAAAGCCTCCTGGCAAGATTCTATGATTCTGAAAAAGAAATGCCAGTAACATTATATAACTGACTAGAGAAATTGCAAAACAACATCATGATTAATATCTAATTATTATTGTATTAAATTCATTGAGTACATGCAGTCAAACCCCTTTAATAAGGACACAGAGGGGGCCAAACAAAGTGTACATACTAACAGAATATCCATATTTAGTGGGCTGAATTTAGAGAAAATGTAAGGACTCTCTTTCCCCAGGGACAAAGTAAACTGTCCATAATAATGAGGTGTTCATATTAACTCTTTAAGTCCCAATAGTGACCAACCTCAATTTTCTCCTAACGATATCCATACAATGTAAAGAGATAAGGTTATGAGAATTAATGAAATGATCACCTAGGGGAAATTGTCTTAACCTTTTATCAAATTCTCTCAACTTATTTTTGAAGGAAATGTATAGAGATCAGTTTGGAGAATTTGTATGTGGGTATTGGGGCTTAACCCTTTAAGTGCCAATGGTGACCGACATCAATTTTCTCCTAACCATATCCAAAGATTGTGAAGAGAATAGGTTATGAGAATTAATATATTGATCACCTCAGAGAAAATGCTTTGACCTTATATCAAATTCTCTCAGCACATTCTTTAAGGAAATGTATAGAGATCAGTTTGAAGAATTCATATGTGGATATTGGGGCTTAAAGGGTTAAGCAGGTGTCCGTACAGCAGGGTTTGACTGTAATATCGTTAGCAAAACCTTTAACATACTTGTGAGCACGATATACAACAATCCCTGTAACCAAATGAATGGGAAGTCTCTTGGTCAACATATCTACCACTAAGATTCTTGATGTCACAAACAGAACCCCTCCACTGAGGTACACAGACTCTCTGCAACACAAAAATAGCCAAATTTAATTGTCATTTTTATTTTTTAGAAAAACCTTTGTCCTACAAGGTAACATATTCTTCATATTCATTAGCAAGGTACAAAGAATGCCAGTTAACAGGCTTGCCATTTGAGCATGTTGAAGTTGGCATATACTAGCCACAAAAGTCATTTTTTAACTACATGTAGCCAGAAAAAGATTTTTGATGAGCAGAATTGATTCCAAAAAAAAATTTCACTAGCCTGTCAGGCAAGTTAAGCAAAGAATTCACTAGTCCAATAGCAAAATCCACTAGCCCAAGGCTACTCAACACGACTTTCTATGCACACTGCACAAACCTCTCTGAGGAACTGAATTCAGTGGTGATGACTTTTGGGAGTGGCACATCTGTAGATTTCAGCTCATCAAGAATATAATCCTGTAAAAAAATAAAATTCTGCAAATCAGCACAAGTAAATAGAGAAAGAAGAAAGGACACCTGAAAACAAAAAGTGTAAATTGTATACTTGAGTTGGGACACACTAAGCGACATATCATAGCAACATGGTGCATAAACAAATCACTCTTTGTATACCGGTCAGGTGACATTTTGTGCAAAACATTGTGGGGGCAAATCACTTCTTGCATGCTAAAGAATTTTTGTGAAAATCGTTGTCTCTGCAATATAATTTTGTACTCACTATCTGTCTCCTTATTGGCTGAGAGCCTACGATTAATTTTTGAAATCAGTGCAACCTACAGTGTAAATAACTAATCTAAAGGCTGAGTGCACAATGTATGATTTCCAAAAACAATATTAAAAAGTATTGCGTACAATGCATGGCGGTTTGTAGTTACTTTCTTCAAATACATGTTTATTAAAACAATTATTGGATTCTGTATTTGTGATATCCAGAAGAATCAAGGACCTTGATAATTCCAGATATCACAAAAACCTCAAACGATAATATTGTTCATTATCACCTCTTCTTGATCGGTTGTATTAATCACCAGGACCAATGAAATAGAAGATGGATCACTTGTGACACAGTGTATCTTCAGAAAGCTTGCTATTACTCTCTCCATGCTCAAACCCCTACAAACCACAGATATTAAGAATGAACTAATACATAGCAACAAGATTGCATCAGTGGTCTGCTCACATACATGTAAGTTTACAGGTATCAATGCGTAGTGCTTCTCAGATCACGCTTGTAATCAATCAATCAATTTTATCTGTTGTACATGTATATGAGGTAATGAATGAAATTGTAGAACATAAGCTTAAACTCAAGCTGAAATAAATAGCTATAGTTGTTCGCTCTCTATCAATGGTCTTTATGTGCATATAAATTCAAGCAGAAATCAAGACATGTTTTTTACTTTGAAATGCTTACGTACTTCGCTGTAACGAACAAGCCATCGTCGTCCATGAGCTCAAGAAACATGGAATTTTCATATTCCGACAATGAGGCCGCCATTTTTGCTATAGTCTCCGGGGAAAAACCGCTGTTCAAAAAACTCCTGGGCCCAGTTGTTCGAAGGCCGATTAACGCTTAACCTGGGGTTAAATTTAACCCTGGTTTCTCTTTCTTGTGTTCAAAAGCATTTTCTCGGATAATTTTCTCTGTTATATTTAGAGTTTTCAATCATCAACTTGTAGACAAAAAGAATTAAAACTGAAATGCTTATTAAGCTTTCAAATCTGAATTCAAATCTCGCACTAACCCTGGGTTATCTTAACCCTTCAGGGCGGAAAAACGTTTTGCGCAAACTTCTGCGCATCCTTTATCTCAGGCTCAAGGCGGGCTTTTCTGTGTTCGACAGTTTGTTTGTTTGTCACTGAGAGAGTTCTGACTAAGACTGAATGAAATGCACAAGTTGTGAACGTTTGCTCCTCGAAAAGCCTTTTTACTTTTCTGTGGTTTTTGTTTTTCGTCACTTGAAAATTACTTTGGACTCGGAACAACCAATGTTAAAGGAAAAACGGATCATTCCGTCAGTCTGAGGTGGAATAAAGAGTTTTGAACATTTCCAAAGAGGCGAGTATTTTTTTGATTGTTCATTCGAATTTATTTGTGAGTTGATTTCGCCTTCTTTCGCCGGGCTGAATTAAAACCCACTTTTTTTTAAATTAGTAAATACTTTTTCACATGCCCAGATTTATTCCCTTTGTAGAACCAGCTTTATCCTTCTCTTCAGTCAAAGAACCATTTTGTGCGCCGTAAAACTTTCTCGTAAATACCGGTAGAAGGCCAGTAAACTTACTCTAGAAAAAAAGAATCATTTTTCTGTTGCTCAAATACTGTAAGTAGTCAGAGTTTTCTTCACTTTTAATTACATAGTTTTGTTTTCCGCTGCACTGTGAAAGTTTCTGTTCTTTATAAGAAAAAACTTTCTGTACGCAAATTTTCCATTTCACTGGCTGTGAAGTAGAGGACAACTGCCGGCAGTGACTTCAAAACAATTGACTCTGCCCGTAACACTGAATTGCTAGAGCTGGATTTGTCTGAAGCGAGCAAAACAAATACCCTTATGTGCAGTTTTCTGAATTTTGTAACGACTGGCTGAAATTAATTTGCTTGAATGAAGACCCTCACACGGACCAGTTATTCACTGAGTTATTAAAGCGAGGAGAAGAGCTACATTGTGAATCATGGTTTAGCTGCGAAGCTTACTGCAACTGATATTTTGCTTTTAAGATCTTTAGGTAGGTTGTTTTCGTACAAAAAATTCATTTCTTCATTGTCAGCAAGAAGTTTTTGCAATAATGTAATTTTAACTTTGTTTGAAGGAAATCCTATTTACGTGTAGGTTTTTGACAGATGTTATGTATTTTCAACTTGACAACACAAAGCATAATTTATATTTATATCTTAGTACGCGAAACGATCAAGTTTAAAAATAAACTATAGTTGCTTTAAAACCGATTTTTGGGAAGATTTTACTAGATAAAGATTGACCTTTTTTCTGCCCGCATATCAACGGAATAACTTCTACATTGAGCATTTTGTTTATATTTTAGTTATCTGCGAAACTACGAGTGTCCGATCGAGCGAGGGTTTTAAAATATCAGCTCGAGTGCGACAAGTTCAGTGCCTTCAAACACATTGTGGGCAAGCGTTAATTTTTTTGGGCAAATCACTGTCCAAAGATATGTTGTTTTTGTGTCCACAGTGGAGCTCCGGACCTTATATATCCAGGAACTTCCTTATATGAACACATTTTGTGAATGCATCTTGAAAAAAATTGGACCTACGCATGCACATTTCCAGTACAACGCAAGGAAATTGATGTCGTTAAAGTCCGTTTTACTATGAGGTATTCTTCGAGAAAATTAAGTAACGACAAGGTTATAACCACAGCTTGCAACTTTTGAGGACAAATTGCCTGTTCTTTCCAGGTTATGAGTGGAAACATCTTATTTTTAGGCAATAAAATATTTGAAATCCCGCCATTTTTTCAAACCCGGCCAGGGGATCTGGGCAAAAAAGTTCACGCATGCTCATTACGTTTTTCCGCCCTGAATCTTAACCCAGCTTTGAACAACTCGGCCCAGGGTTTCTAAAAGTCACCAGGTTCTTCGCGGTCAGTGGCGGCCCGGAATCTTGGAACGGGAGAATTAGGAAAAGATAAAAAGAGGACTGGGAACACTCGCTACTGGCAAAGGTCAGGTCAGCGTTGAATATATAGGAGTATGGCCTTGGAGGGATTTCACGATATGAGATATGGAATAGGCAGGCCAGGTGTCGTTCAAGGTATCTGCTAGACAACGTCTTCTATTCTTCCATGAAACAAAGGAATTTAAAGACCTCTAGTGTGTCTGAACGCGCGCAGGCCAAATAAATTTTGAATTGATCATGATATCTTACCCTTTGTGGAAAATGGTTTAAAATGGTGCCCTTTGTTTAATATCCCTACAGAAGAGTTTTGATCAATAGCTCTCAGCGGGAAACTTTGAAACACTTTTCTTTATAGTCACGTACAGTGAAAGGAACTGTAGATAAAAAATTCTGAATCTAATAGGTTTAGGGAAATGATTTAGTCCTTATTTTTGAGTCAGTCCAGTTCAAGACGAGGCTGTTCCTTCTGCTACTGTGCTCTTGCGGTGTCGTCTAGGTTCGCGTGAGTATTTTCTTAATTAGTGTACATTGTATGCTAGCGATCTCGACACTATAATAAAGTTCTTACTTACTTACATACTTACTTACTTACTTAAAATCACCAGCTACAAAAGTGAACGGAACAAATCAAAAGCCATCCGCTGTAATTTTAAAGGCTCGTCTCGTCTGTATTTGTTCGCCAAATGAAAAGTTAAGGAAACCGCAAACAAATTTGGCGACAGGTTATGTGAACTATAATTACAAGGCGCAAGGTTACAAGAAAAAAAGAAAGAAAATCGTTCTGTCTTAAGTTACTTTGAACAGGTTAAAAATTTTGAAAAGCTCAAAAATTGTATCCAAAATAGCCATTGTTATTCGTTTTAAGGTAGTTTCCTGTTTACAATTTTTTTATTTATTTCACTCAGTCAGGAGACAAAAATTGAGAGCCATTTTATATTATAATAGCGGTTACTGAAAATCGCACTAGAGATAATAAGTTTGCCTCCTAGAGTGATCATGAAAATATGGCGCTTTTTGTAATCAATTTCCTCAATTTTTGACAACTGAGTTTCTTCTCAGATAAATAAAAAGGAATAAAAGTTTACACATTTGACAGAGGCAAATACCAAATACAATACAATATGAAAAGTATTAATTTTACAACCATTGAGGATGGGTGAATATAGAGTTGTTGTTTGCCATGACTACGAGGCTCAAAAGCATTTGCAATTTTCTGCATCCTTTTAATCAGGAAATTACCGGCAGAGCGAAAAGAAGCACCTTATTTAAAAATTAGTTTTCATTGAGAAGCTAAAACGCTTCTGCTGTTTTTGGAGTTTTTCTAGAGAAGGTTAGTCACATAATGCTTTTTTTTTTCTACCTAGCGTAATGCAATGCAATTTCCTGTCTGAGCATTCATCCCTGGAAGCAATTACGCTCTTTTCGTTTCTATTTATTTTTTTTTTACTTTATCTTCGACATGAAGATTTCGGTACCAAAACAATCCATATAATTACAAAAAAAAACAAAGTAAAATAAAAGTTAAGTAAGAAAGAAAAGAACAACAACTATGATATTGAATTACTGAATAGTATTAACATAAGAAGAAAAACTACTAGGCTATGTACGGCTTCTACGCTACTCGTACGGTAAGAAAGTTAAGTTAGAGTCCGGATTTATAACAATTTAGAATATTTTAATATTCACAATCAATTACGTGCATTTAATCAAGTACAGGGCGAAAAAAAAAACAATTTAGTTGTTTGACGCAAATGACATTTGCCTGACAGTACTTTAAAATAAATGTTTTAAAAGAAACCGGCGCCGCCTTTGGTTACGACATTTGTTCAGCTGTCGGAATATGGCAGACAAGCGTTCAAATCAAAGATGTCAAAGATATGCTATTTATATCAGTTCTATAAAGCGAAACAACCATAAACTATTGTCGACAGACGGAAAGAGCTATTTTGTTTCAACCGCCAAAAGTTACTGGTGTCGGCAGCACGCGTGTTTGCTTCAGTTGGATTTTAAGGAAGTAACCAAAGCAATCCCGGCGATAAGGGTACTCTGTTTATTTCAAAGGTAACTTAAAATACTTTAAATATGAATTTTACAGAACTTATTCCAAACATACCTTAAATGACTAGATACAAAGCAGGGCCGTATTTAAAACACAAAAGAAGCATACATCCTCCGTTTAAAACCAGCGTCATCAAGCACTGAAGATTAGGTATAAGTTAGTTTTTTAATGGCAGGGGTGACGAATGGTCTTTGCGAGCATTCGCGAGCATGCGAGCACTGCGATTTTTTTGCGAACACGAGCAGAGATAAAAAAAATTGCTTTGCGAGCAGTGAGCAGTTTAGAGAGTACCGACTCGCGGGCAGCGAGCACTTCTTATATTTTCCGCTTGCAGCAATCCATATGGAAATCCTTTTCTTTAAAATGAAATAGGAAATGGTTTAAAAAGGGACATGACTGATGTGGATGAAGAAGAATCTGAAGAGGAAAAAGATCCTCGTGTCAGAAAAACCTCTTCTGGAAGAATCGTAAAGTTTCCAAACCGATTTTATTGAAAACACGGCCCAGTTAAAGCCCAGTGAGTAGAGCGGTATAGAAACTCAGAAGAACTCAAGATAACAATATCTTCTCTTTTTAATCATATATAGCTAGATAAGCTAATTTATTATTTATCGTTGTCATTTATCGCGTGCATTTCCACTGAACTTGATAGCCATATATTTATAGGAATTAAGCACCATACAGAATTACATTTACTTTATTTCAAAGAAGGATTTACAAAATTTCGAGCAATAATGACAAGAAGGCGAGCATGCGAGCAACTGCAAAAATTTGGGGAGCACGAGCAAGCGAACACTCGTTTAATTTTGCGAGCAAATCGAGCAAAGGTAAAATTTTGCGAGCAGTTAAAAATTTTAATGGACAATATTTCATCACCCCTAATGGCCGTAATCCACACAAACTCGTGCAGTACTCGGAAAAGCCGTCACCGAACCAGTCAGGTGAGAGATTAGTAGCCCTTTGCATGAAATGATACATGACAGTTTCACAGCAAGAAATGCTAGGGCTTTTATCTCGTTTTTCCCTCAAAAGCGTATGTTCCTGTGCAGCGCAACGTCTGATCATGTATCAAACAAATGCTCCTAAGAAGACCAGCACAAGTAAGAAAAGGGTTGATTTGTGACACCTTTGTCGTAGTTTGCAATGACCTGTAAAAGCAAGGGCAAATATTGTAATGGAAAAATTAAAGCTGCATAAACACCTGTAAATGAAAAGAGAAGAGTTTACCAGCAAAGTTTGTATATTCTGTTACGATGCTCTCTATTGAAAGGAAGGGAATTTCTAATTCATTTAGAGAGGAAATTGACAATTTGTATCCTAATTCCTGCTGATTTTGTAATTTGTCGTCGGCGCAATTTTCGACGGCTCGTTTTTGATTATTAAGTTCAAACAATGGTCCTACCCCTGTCCCCAGCCGTGGGCTGGGTGCGTCGAGACATCCGCGGTTGGAGACCAAGCTTAGCTCAGTCATAGTCCAAGTAAGTATACTTTGAATGAAGGTTTTGAAGCAAAGTCATTTAGAGAAAAATTCAAACAAATGTTTACTAAGATGAGTTTTACAGAATTGGTTTTAGTGCAGATTAGACGAAGAGAAGGGTGGATTCAAAGAGGGTGATATGAAGCACCTATATAGAGGATAACCTGATTAAAAAAATACTAAATATGATTTCTGATCTTGAAGATAAAGTAAGCAGGTTAATCCAAAAACACTCAAAAAAGAGAGGAAAAACTCAATGATAAGAAAAATTCTAGCAAAGAAATAGATGAATTCAAAACGTGATATATGTCATGAAATAAAAGGTTTCCTCACCAAAAAACGCGTGAAGTTTTAGAAAATTAAAAATTCAGAACTGTCAAGGGAAATTAAAATGCGAACATTATGAAATACTTTACCAAATTAATATTTTAAGGATTGCACCTCTGAATTTTATCCATTTCCTTCTAAACGGAAGGAACTTTCATTGTATATATCTCAACCTTTTTAAAGTAATTTGCTCCAGGGCTTAATTACCTTTTTAACCCATTCGCCGCGAACCGCCTGTAACCGCCCGTGCGGATCCACGTCCTTTCTACCCTTTGTGACGTCATCAGTTTTAACGATCAAGGACAACTCTGTAAACTAACTTATGCAGAGTGAAGAGATCTTTCAAGCCATGCCAGAATGAGCACAATTCAGTCAAGGACACCGGAGAGAGAAGGAAAACACCATGTGTCATTGACCTGAAAATCTCCATGAAAATCTTGTTCCGTTGCTCACCTACCTTTCCTTTCACCTAATCCTAAGATCGTAAAAGCTTTCCTAAAAACTCTTCCCGCCGAAACGAAGCCTACAAAATGCCCAGCAAGAGAAAAAAAAATGAGGCAAGAAAAGCGAAAAAAGAGGGGAGGAGAGAAAGCGAAAAGTAAAAGTCAAGCCTGCTGTGTCACTTTTGAACCCACGCATGCCCGAACTTCGCAAGCTGATATTTTGCATCTGGATCAGAAGGCCGCGAAGTGTACGACCTGTAAACCGGTTTGTGGTACGTTTTAGCTCTTTATAGCACGGCAGTGACCAGAAAACCACTCGACTAGCCTCAAAACGCGTTTTTCGGCAAAATCTCCAAGAGCGAATGGGTTAAAAACCATTTTATCGCCAGCACCAGGAGCTCATAGCCCAGTGCCCTCTCGGCCTCCTCAGGCTGCGCTCGCTCCATGCCTTTCTCTCCAAAATAAAAACTGCAGTTGATAAAATAGCTGAAAATAGCACTGAGTACGGAACATCCAACCTCAGCCACATCGCTGTCAGAGTTTTTTTATATCTTTTTAAAATTGCATATTTGGTTTTTCTTTATACTTCGGATATTGCGGATCGGAGGAGTATCCCCTATAATGGTGTAACTTCATTAAATGCCTGTCAAGTTGAAAGAATTTAATATCAAGTTGGCTTAATTACAAGTGTGACTTTAATTTCAGACCTTCATTTGAGCCACGCAACAATAGATAATCATTGCAAGAGCTTTGTTTGTCTTTTTGTTTCTTTCTAGCTAAGCTTTTTTCTAGCTTTTTAGTCGAGCTTGCTTGAGCAAAGCGAGACTCTGAAACTGCAGTCGCTTTTCTTTTGTCGCTGGGACCTAGTTTAGTAGACCTAGGCCGCGCGTTCCTAGCGATGACCGTGGAGACTAGGGATAAGAATCATGGCCACTTTCACTATATGCAAACGAGTCTCGTGATTAGCATGCGATATATTTTCGGGGATGACTGAAATGACCCTCTTAAGTTTGGCAATGATGTAATTTTCCTCGAATGGAGGCCCTTGATTTTCGTGTAATTATGCACGACATGCGGGCACTGATTAAAAAGGAAATATCCCCAAGTAAGATGGGAAAATATTATAGCGGGGAAATCCTATTTTGTGGTGTTTTAAGGCGTTACGTTTCTCAGAATATTGTCGCAATTACTGGAAATCTACGGTTAAATAGTTTCACTTTGTTTTATGTATTTAATTGATAGATTTTCGCAGTTGTTAAGATGTGAAGTCGTGTTGCACTTTATAAATACTTGGGATATCAAGTATCCACTTTCACGTAATTTTTACGTGCGTACGTGCGCAAAATTTGCGTTCACAAATAAAATAGAGGCCATGTATGAAAGGCCGCACGTACAATTATGTTAGCGTAAAAGTAGAAACTCTCTCAACTTGACGTTTAATCTTAACACTTTATATCTTACCTATATTTTATTTACGTGATTCAAATTTACGTGCTTTAACGTGCGAAGCCAAAAACGCTTCAGTGGAAATCTGCCATACGTTACATATGTGTCACGGATGTGTTATATACGAGTAGCTTTGAACTTGACTATCCACGCACTCTACTTGCAGCACTTCATGTCCATAGAATAGAAATCCCATATCGAGCTTTTCCGGAGCGGGTTGGTCCAAGAATTCTATCGCTTGAAAGTGTTGATTATTTTGGAACAACTGATCACTTCAGTGGTCGGAAAAAAAAAAGAATAATCTTGAAGGTTTACTGGAAAATCTGGATCGAGGATCGATAGTGAAGGGTATGGTTTTCAAGCAATCAGAGCGTTTGGGTTTCCGTTTATCATTTTTCAGGAACTGATCAAAGAAAGACCGTGGAACTAGGATTCTGGGGGTTTTTAGCTGAACGCGCGAGAAATCCAGGGAAACAAGATCCACCCAGAAATTCCCCTACCCGATAGTCTGCTTTTTTTTACTTGCGCCATTTTTTTCGCGCGGTTTTTTTTTCTTTGCGCCTTTTCGTCTTTTCTCGTTTCTCGTTCTTTGCTCCTAAACCGCACGGAAACGCTTGCTACGCAGGCTAGAGGACCGAGGAATCAGGGATCAAGGATTGGTCAAAAAGAACTTGAAAATAAAACAAATAAATAAATCGTGGATCAGTGGTGATGTGAGCCGCAGACTGTAGATAAATTTCACAGAACATAACCTCGTTCGCTGTACTGAACACTAAACTCAAGTAAACTAATCCGAGTCTGTCTGAGTCAGTGATTGTTTTGACGAGAAAGTGAAATTTTCCTGGTAAATGAAACGCTTTATCCCAGTGATACTGTAATAAAAGAAAAAACTTTAACAGTTTTTAATTTTGAATTGTACATTTGCTTTCACTACTCCTTACTTTTCTTGTAATTGTTGTATGCACGACCTCATCAGCAATGCTGATCTTTTTATCGTGCTAAAATAAAGTTCTTATCTATCTATCTATCTAAAATGCATGCTGTGTACAACTCCAAACATTGTACTATGAGACTGTACGGAGATATTAAAAGTAGATACTTCGCAGCTATGGAAAATGTAATTACTTTCACGCCATTTGGATATCTTATAAAACGGACAACAAATTCAGCAGCAATACGTGCGAACTGAATTAACTGTGTGTTGTATAAGGTTCTGTTAAACTGACACATTTTTCCTGTGCTGAACATATATACTGTACCAAGCCGTATCTTGGTCCGGTACAAAGAAGCTATGTATATTTATACCGACAGAGTCATGGGCCCCTGATATCGATAAAAATCATCGTTCAATTTTTGGAGTGTAAAATCCCTGAAAGAGTATTCCTCAATGGGCTTTACCTTTTACCGAGGTAAAGCCCGAGGTAAAGCCCCTCAAAGGAGCAATATCAATATGTAGGCTGAGATGTGCGGCCTCTCTCTCCTTGCAATTTTTACTTTTTGAGTATTAACATTATGACATATAGCACTCGTTTTGTATTCCAAACGAAAAAGTAGTATAACAGCAAGGGCGCCTTTGACAGCGAAACTCATCTCCAAGCAAGCAAGACTCAACGCCACTAAGAGCGTACTTGTTTAACTATAAACGTTTCCCATCTGTTTTATCTCCTAAAACATTCTTACATTATTCGGCAGGCGTCATGCACTTGATGGAAGTGTTTCATATTTTCGCTACTGTGTCACTGTTCCGTGACCTGGTGACTAGTGCCAAACCCTTGGAGAATTCTAGCGATTCCCCGACTGTTCATCCAAATCAAACTGATGACGTTGACTCCCGTTGTCATGGCAAGTTCTCTCCAAGAGGATTATGGGATGCTACATGTCAACTAAATGGTTCCTTAGGGCCACCAGCCCCTTTGGTCTTTTTTGATTCGCTGTAAGTTTTTATTGAACAAAACTCTTGCTTTATCCTACCTTACCGATGCCCCTTTGAAACTACCAAAACTTTGCATCTCCAAACCTTCAGTCGGCTGGCTTTATTGAGCAATCAGTAGCCTCACTCTCGTGCATCAGTTTTGCGATTGGTCTGAGAAATTAGACGGATTTTGCGTGAATTAACGTCACTATCGAGTACTTTCTTAAAAGCAAGAGTCCCACTAAGCTAGTGAAGCTTGTGTTCAAGTCACTCGCAAGGTTAAGTTACACGTGCTTTACATTTTTATTTGTTTATTTTTTTGGTTTGACGCGTTTTGTCAGTTGGTCTTGTGTATAAAAGGTCAGAACTTTTCAAACACTTTGGAGGATCGAGACACACACAAAAAAATTTGAAGGTGGCAGGGTTTCTCTTGAATTTAAAAAGGTGTGGAATTTTTTGTGCAAAGGGATAACAGATGTAGTGTCGGACAAAATTAAGAAACAATGGTATTACTTTGAGGGGATTTTTCCGGAGAAATTAATCCCTATCCAGATTGCTATGGATGGATAATGTTTCGCCCCAATGTACGGGAATATTCAAGACAGTCTTGGATTCTGGATTCCACGCCGTGGATCCAGATTCTAGGCACTGAATTCCAGTCTTTGTCAGTGTAGCTTGGAATCTGGATTACAATCGATAATGCGGTTCTGTATTCCCTCGAGCTGTATTCCGGATTCCAAAGTCCAGGATTCCTGATTTTACAGGCAAAAATTTCCCGGATTCATTTACGTGGGGCGAAATGTTACGGAAAGGATTTATTGTTTCAAGATCCTCGATTATTAACCGTTCTCTTGGAGGACTGAATTAAGTAAACAGTATGTTTCTCGCCTTTTCTTCAGAGATCTATCAAGAAACAGACTTGAACACGTACCAACAGAATTTCTTTCAAACCAAAGCCAGTTGACAAACCTGTAAGTAAATTGTGCCTTTAGGTACAAAATAATTTAATTTATTAAAACTAGATATAAGGGGTTGTTACTAACTTTCAGTATCACCTTTGCAGATTCAAAGGATCTTTATAAAATGACTGTCAAACGAAAAATAATGGTTTGCCTTTGTTTTTTGTTGTGCACTCAAACGAAAGTTCCCAAAATAAAACAAGGAAGTAATGTCGGTTCCTCCAGTTTCAATTTTATGACGGGCACAGCAAAAATGAACTGACTACGAAAATTTATTTCCAAAGATATTGCTTTGTTCTCTCTGAAAATTCTGAACTTTTAAAACGTGATAGCTCAGTTTGAAGTCTTGGCGGTCGTGAATTATTCCCTAGTTTTATCCCCAAGATTAATTGTAACCTCGCTGAGGCTGAACTGGAGTCTCATGATGAGGAATATCCACTAAAAAAGCTTGGTGCAGGCGTAAAATAAGCTAGCACCCCCCGCCCCTTCCACCCCCTTACACTTTACATATTTGTTCAGTTTGTGTTAAGCGTTTTCCCAGGCCTTCTCGGTCAATGCGTTTCGGTGACGTAAAACGCGCACACCGCGTCAGCCAAAACTCATCGGCCCCGCAAAATAACGAGGCCTCGCGGCTAGGCAACAGGAGGTGGAATTGTAAAAACATTCTAACCACTTTTTTTTCAGTTCTTTAGCTCACAACAATATCTCCAGCATTGGAAACGGCGATTTCGGGACACTCTCAAAGCTTAAAATATTGTGAGTAAAAAACAGTAACTTTATTCCCTTTTACTGCACTGTATATTCACAGGCATACTAAATACGAAATATCAATGACAGATCCGTTAATTTTGACACACTTTTTAAGGTTTACCTTGGCTTGGCCCTAGTGATATGAATAATAAACAACGAACTTCTCCCCGGAAACGTCCCTCAAAAATGTTATGCAGCGTTGTGTATCTGAGTGCGTACAAGAAGACTCAAACTAAGGAAATTATTCGCCTAAAAGGGTGTTAATGTTAGCCACGAGCCAATTAAAAATCAAGTTTCGCGAGAATGCGCGGCTTTGTCAAGATCGAATTGGCTATTGCTTAAAATGCAATACAAATTATATGGCATGTAGAGCTCTGCGCGTTCTTCAATTCTCTGCGCATTCTTTCAATTCTCCAATCTTTATTTAGTTTTAATCAACGAACGTGAGTCCAACGATATTTTCGCAATTTTAAACTTGTTTTTCCTTTCCACAGAGACCTAAGTTTCAACCCACTGCAAATATGGGAAGGTGACGTCATCAGCCAGCTTCCAAACCTCGTTACATTGCACGTGACCGGAAGTAATTGGATCCCTGAGAGTAACATCTTGACTATTTCCTCACTGAAGACCATAGAGGGCGTTACTTGGAGTCAGAAATGCGCGAACTGTACACTCATCAATTTAAAGAAAAGAAACATGTCTGTTCCGTTCACGCCTAACGTGAATCGCGGCGACCCAGCTGATAACTTTGTTGAACATGGATTTTATCCGTTTTGTTCAAAGTATCAGACGCAGTGTGCGCCAAAGTCTATTAAATATCCAAGCGTCGCTGAGATAAGAAAGAAAGTGAGTCTTCCAGAGAATCTGTTCTATGCTTCCTACCCAATGGGTACCATCGCTATTTTATTAAACCTGATTATTTTCTCAACGATACTATCATCAAGAACCCTTCGTAAATCAACGGCAATGCTCCTTATCGCTAACATGGCCTTATGCGATCTTCTTACTGGAATTTATTCGGTCATAATTGGTGACTTAAACATATTTCATTATTTATCAAAGCACAGACCTGGAGAAAAGCTTTTAATCGGGGGAGGTGTTCTTTGTCCGCTTGCCACCGCGATGTTTACCTCCTCGCAATGTGTTGCTGCAGTAACGTCTTTACTGCTCACAGTTGAGAAATACTGTTCAATTGTTCACTGCATGAACCCTGTCCATCGACTGAGCAAGAAAGTAGCTGCTTTCTTGATACTGCTCTTTTGGCTTTTCTCTCTGGGATATGCACTCGCTCCCATGTTTGGTGTCGTAGATCTCTTCTTTAGTGCAACATTGATGTGCAGCGTCCCAGTTGGTAAATCTACGGAAATGTTTCTGGTAAATTTCGGAATTCTGATGGCGCTTTACATTGCCAACGTCCCTCTGTACGTGGGAATATTCCAGTTTGTTCATCGATCAGACGCTCATCTGGGTATAAGACGGGAAACTGCCATTCTACGAAAGATCGCTCTGGTTGTCGGAACTAATTTTGTACTTCTTCTGACCCCAATGATCTTAATCATTACTTTGGTGCCAGTTGAAAACATTCACAACTTCATTGACTTGAGCAATGATCGAGACAACAAGTTGCTATTTGTATTTGGATTCTGGTTCCCTAGCGCTTGCTTTGGATTGAATGCCTGTATCAATCCCTTACTCTGCGCTTTTAGACAGGGACAGTTTGTCAAGCAGATCAGGAGAGCACTGGACTTCCGTTTACTGCCTCATCTAAATGTCGCCTTTTTTTCACGACGACACAATGGAGGTATCCCCTCGGTCTCTCAATTAAGCAGCAGTTCATCTCAAGTCGTTCTTTACAGGATAACTCATTATCAGAACTAAACTTCTAATAATAATTGCGGGCCACAAGACTAGCTCGTAATCCTGGCTATTAGGTTGCTATTACGCATGCTTGACACGTATGTAGCCAGCATTCGTTTGGACTCCCACTAGAATGCAGTTTGTACCTTTTACTACTACTACCACTACCACTACTACTCTTATTACTGGAGAAGTAGCTACAACAAGGCAAGGGAGAGAGACATCCGCAAAAATAAGGTTCATGCAGGGTCTACCCCAGGGGGACGCTTTGTGTCCTAATGGTAGCATGGCGCCTGCGGGAAACGGAGGGATACCGGTTATCCAAGCCTATAGAAGTCAAAGTCACCGATCTCCTGTATATCGACGACCTCAAGGTTTTTGCTGCCTCCGAGAGCAAGCTGAACCGAGTGCTGAACGAGACTAGAGGAGCGGAGCAGGATATCGGCCTCCACTGGAATCAGAAAAAGTGTTCAGTGGTACACGTGAAGAGGGGAGCCCAAGTGCTAGACCGGTCTGGTATGAGGATGGAGGAGACAACTACCATCACGGCTCTTGGGGAAGGAAAACACTATAGATTCCTGGGGGTGCTAGAGAAAGTTCGACAGGATGAACGGCTGGCCCTAGCGTGTGCGGCTAAAGAGCATCTACGCAGGATATCTATTATATGGTCCAGCCCCCTGTCTGATTGGAACCGTGTACAGGAAACTAGTCAGTATGCACTCCCGGTCCTGCGGTACTTGATGTGGACACAGCATTGGACTCTATTAGAGTTAAGAGATGTGGACAGAGCAGCTCGGAAGATCATAGTTGAGAACGGTGGTAAGCACCCATCTAGCCCAACTTCTTTGTTGTATCTACCGAAGGAGAAATGGGGTAGAGGCCTGCGATCAGTCGAACACGAGAACAAGCTCACTAAAATCAAATCGCTACTGAAATTGTATCAGAATTCGGCCCAGACCGTGGAAGCAGTTAGAGAATTTGAAGAACATGCCATGGCATCAGGCCACCAGTCGCTTGTAAAGGAAGCAGCTAAGTACGCTGAAGAACTCAACATCATACTTCAGCTAGATATCGTAAATCCCGTGTGTTACAACAGAGGGAAAGGTGCCGGTGACTGCAGCAAGAGCTAGGAATCTCTTGAGGAATTCTCAAGAGATGCAGTTCTTTTGTGGAAAGGAATGTTATTCCGTATCAGATTGGAAGATGAGAGCCTAAGCATAACCAGCTGCTTGCATGGTTAACAGAGGTTGGGCTAAATGCCCTACATATACCATCGCGGGCATGTATGAACTGTACGAGCAGTTGTTACCTAGGAAGCTCTACATAAAGGAGAAGACGCAAACCTCCACCGACGGCGACGTCTTATGCAGGTTATGTGGGAAGGTAGCTGAGAGCGTTGTACATGTACTGGTTGGATGTTCCTCTCTGGTGCAAACCCTGCGAGAGCATGAGTTGGTAGAAGAGGTTCCACCATGTTACTCACCGGTGATGCCTAAACCAGCCTAACAAAACACCACGAGTGAGGCGTTTTGGGATATTCCCATCTATGCAGAGCACAACGAAGTTAAAGCAAATCGGATCGACGCGCGACTTGTCAGCCACGAGAAGAAAGAAGTCTGCACAATTGAAATAAGCTGCTCATGGATTGAGAGTAGGGCCAAGAAAGATGAGGAAAAGACACTCACGTATGGGCCCATGATGTGGGAGCTGAAGCAGAGATAAAATGGTTACAGGGTTGAACAGTACAACGTAATAATTGACATACTGGAAGGTTACTCTAACCACCTAGAGAAGTCGGTGAGGAAGCTACCAGGAGCGAGAGCACGGGGCGTACTTGAGCGGTTGCAGAAGTCGGTCATCTCAAACACTTCAAGTTGGACATTGCCAGAAAATTTAAGAAATACTTAGTTAGGGCGAAGGACACCAGATTTTAAGTTTTTTTCTCCAGAAGTCCAGAAACACAAATGTCACAAAACCTGTGTTTGGATTTTATAGCTTAAAAGAGTTTGATATTATTCTAAATAGGCTTTTAGTAGAGATAAGGTAGATAGGAAAAGATAGTAGGTTTATAAGAGATAATGAGAGTAATGAGAGTATAAAAATGAATAATTTTCTAAATAGGCTTCAAGTAGAGATAATTATATCATCATGTCTTTACGTAGGTTTCACAGAGTATACGAACTTAATAATATTCTAAATTGGCTTTTTAAGTAGAGAGATTCAGATCATTATGTATATTAGGATTGTATTAGGTTTCGTACCGAACTTTTTCTACTTCTAAGTATAGCTTATCAAGTGGTGTAGGTTACGTAGGTTATGCGCCCTGTACTACTCATAATGTGGACAGCATTCCAAAGTTTTATACTGCGAGATAATAATAATAATCATCATCATCATCATCGCGGGAGACAACAGAAGCGCGCAATTCTTAAATCTTCAGGTTTCTATTAAGCATGCACGGCTCGTCTGTAACAAGCTTCGTTTGGACTTTCACTAAGAATGAGTGTAATGCACAAAACGCAATCTGATCACGCGCGTTTCCTACTGTTTCCTCTTAGGGCTGATTTCCAGTGTCGCGTAATTTTTACGTGTGTACGTGCGTAAAATCTACGTACGGCCATGTTGGTGTCCCAAGCCAAACCTCTGGGAGTTGTTCTCTTTTCTTATGCAAACGCCTTCTTTTGTTCCAATGAATTTGCATAGATGCTGGCAACGTGAGTGAAAACACTCTATAAGAGGCTTATTGAGGAACTTGGCTAGAAAAAAAATGTCAATTTTATTGCATGTGTTTTTTATAAATTTGGATTTGAGTCTATACATGGAAAATAGGTATGAAAGAAATATATTTTAAAATTAATTATGTTTTTTTTCTAACATTGGTTAGCCAGATTTTGCTCTGATTACAACCTTAACTTAACTTACCTTAACTTGGTGAGAGAAATAACATTGACTTGAACGTTAATAAGTTTAAAAACAAATTTTCAGTCCATAGTAGTGTGTGACATTTTCGGCTTGTTACATTTTTTGTCATATAGCAAAAAAAGTCAAAAATAAAATATGTAAAAAAATAATCACGTTACATAATTATAACTTCGAAACGGAAAAAATACTGATGAAATGAAAACACAAGTATTAAACTGCGGCGTAAAACTGGTAAGAGTTAACAACAACAACAACATTTATAGGCATTTCCATGAGTAGATGGCATTGCCGATTACCATATTGATTATGTTCAGATAAAGGGAAAAAAAGAGAAAACAATATTTATCATTGTAAATAATAATAGTAATAAAGACAATTTATAACGGCTATAATATCATAGGTGACGAATTACTCCTTAATTGTGGCGCGAAATTTCAGCGTTAATTTGTAATTTCACATGTGAAATTACAAAATTGCCATGGCAACCCTTCCGTACGTCTCAGTGTCAAGATGGCGACGAAGTTTTAAAATGCCGTGAATGAAGATGTCAGGGCACAAAAAGACGCTTTAGAAAACCAGAACACCCAAGAGAACATCAAGAAGGATTCTAACAGGTATTTTGCCGAAAAAGTCTGAAAAATACTGAACTTTATAAGCCAAATTTACGGTCTAAACATTTGAGAGAGTGGAGTTCTCGATCGATACCATCCAGGATAAACATGTCAAAAATCCAAGATTGCTAACGTAATTCGTCACCCATGATATTAATAGGTAATCAAATGGTATACTCGTGAAATTAGGGAATAATTTCACTTGCGTTTTGTCCAAATCCTAAAAATTTCCTAATAATTATTAGGATTTGGACAAAACGCGCGTGAAATTCTTCCCTAATTTCACTCGTCACCATTTGATTACACATACTAATTACACGGAAAATGCTAACTATATTGTAACTATGTTTAATGATCTACTTTCACGTTTTTCGAAGGCTAGAAAAATATAATGGCCAAGTTTCTTTCAGACAATTAGGGATCTACATTATTGAAGAGAAAAAGCATCATATCGTTTGCACTCAATGAGTGAAACTTAGGATATTTGTGACTTACAGAATCAAGGAGATATTGTCTTTCATTAAGGTAAAGAGTGCAGTTTATCATGAAGTGTTGCTCGTCGTCGATTTCATTTATAGAACAGTATTGACACAATCTGAGATGTTCAGGAATTTTGGGCGTGCGGTATCTCCCCTATTCTATCATTAATTTATGATTGCTTGTTCTAAATTTTGCCACTGTGCGTCGGTGATTTGTGCTTTTTATAAGGTCCAAGTAATGAGATTTCTTGCTGTCTTGTTTGAAAAGAGAGCAAACTTTTAGTTTCTTATTTAGTTGAATGAGAGAGGATTGATGTGTTTGAGCTATCTTAGGAGACAAAGGAATGATTTCCTGCATTTGCTAATTTTTTTGATATGATGAGACACTGCTTCGCGATGCTACTTTCGGTTAGTTCTTCTAAATGCTGCCAGAACTTGAGGATATTCAAATAAATTGTGGGCTTTAAAGATCTTTGCCCATCTTGAACTTGAACTTGGTTTGAGCGGCAACATCGGAAGCCCTTTTGTTTAATCCAAGAAAGTATTTAGAAAATTGGCAGTGAAGTCTTTCTACAGGGTCCTGTTCCCATTTATCAAGATTCAGTTTGTCATACGCACCCCATACCTCTGAGGTATATAATAATATAGGTTTGAACCGTGCGCTAAAAAGTTTGTTGCAAGTATCGATTGATAATTTTTTGGAAGTCAAGAAAACTTTTTATTGCAAAAATACAGCGTCTCCAGTTTTTTCGATTTATACTGTTGTTGTTGTTATTGTTGTTGCTGCTATGGCTATTTTAGTTGTTGTTTTTATATTTCACCATTGTTGATGTTGTTTTCAATTTCTGCTCTCCCCCTTATTGATTTCAATAAAAAACAGAAATATTCTGCATCGTTGAGCGTGGGCGTCTAAGGTAAACAGCGTGTATCCAATCAATAAAACGCTCAAACTACAAATCAGTTTTCGAATATTTACCGAGGAACGAAAATGTTAAGACCGCGGAGAGCA